ATTACTGAAATAGAGAGTCATATCACACTACAATATATTTCACCGCCACTACACAAATAATTTCTGTAGTTCAATAGTCCATGATTCAAAAATAGAAATAAACTGATTTTAGAAATATCTCATGAAATTCACACGTCGTCACAGTTTTCTCATTCATATATGGTTACACAGTAATCTTTGATCTTGGTGGTCAGATCGACAGTCTTCGGAACCTTGTGGAACTCTCTCATGTGCCTGTACCAGTTGGAACGGATTTTGCTCTTATACGAGCAAGATCCATTACCACAAAGGTAATAAGAGTTCGAGAGACAGACTTTTTTGTGGTACCTGAGGCTACAGGCTGAGCTGAACCATTTCTGACATCTTTCACATTGCGCGTGAGCTATATAAAAGAAAAAGAAATGTTAGAATGGGTTAAGCTGTATGTTATAGTTCAGGATTCCACGTGACACGAACAGTCCATCATGCGTTAACCGATGTAACTCCGGCAAATTGCACGCATAGTTCATTTCACGGTTTTTGGCGGTTACGTCACAATCATGGGCACCCAAAGAGATTTTTGCGATCATCGCCAAAAGATAGTTTTTTTGGATAAATATGGTACGTTTACATCTGACATATATTGCATGATATTTATGTGAGACACTACTTCTGATTAATGTAGATGACCAAAAATTTAGGTCTGGAATATATAAATCAGTCTTTGGTAATATATGTCGAGATACCTATACGATTAATGTGAACATTGCTGCTTCTACAAGGCTCGACTCACCGGAAATAAATCGCGCTAGTTGACAAGTCGTCTACTTTTGAATAAGTGTCCAGTGTCATATAATCGTCTTTCAGTACTTGAAATACTGTTCTACATACTTCCGGAGTAATTAAACTTATTTTGCACTTCGGTATTCTAAATAAATAACTCAGGCTGGCATAAGAGTCACCTATAAATAATATTACTACAAAATTTTGAAACTTAGAAGGTAGAAATAATTTGTAGAATAAATTTGTATAATGCGAATACTGATAGCTTTTCTGAACTTGGTATCTCGTTTTGATAAGAAAGGCGCTATTTTATTAGCCAAATTTTCAAAATCAGATAATTTCATTCGAAGGAAGTTTGAAAATCCATTCTCGAACCCACACAGTTCATTTTTTCTTGTTTCTTTTTTCAACCTATCAGTAATTACAATAGCAGCACATTTTTTTCGATTTCTTCATCGTATAGATATCCACTATACCGAGACACCGTCCAGTCTGAACTGAGCTACACTTCAATGTATGGAATATATGCGATGTCCTACACAAGTATATGATATAAATTTTTAATAATGTAAACAGTTAATGTTACATATGCCAGACGCTCTTAGATAAATTTCATACAATAAGTGTCAGATGTAAACGTACCTTTAGGGTCCAAACCGGATCCCAGGGGTGGGCATTTATGATGATTTATATCGAAGATCAACAAATGTAATCGCATGTCCATGACAAGCAAGTTATTATATTGACAATGACATGCGTAGACGTGGAAAAATCATTCAGGGACAAGATAAAAGTTGAAACAAACAAACGTCCGCGGATATAAACCGATTGCGTACATCTGTTTTGCGTGTGAAAGTAGTTCTTGTAAATATAATGTAACCCGCCAAAAACCGAGAAAACTACTGTTACTTTCTACATTCTACAGAATAATGTGATAGTTACAAGTATAGCAAATCGAAAGTGAGCGAATTGGCAGTTGCAGTGTGCCATTGCAATGATCGCTGGAAGTTTCGATTTACCATATTTGTGCGTTTAAACTTCGACCAAAATCAACTATCAACTAGTACTTATTTTTTGTTATTAGTTTACGACACATGATTAACACTTTACATCCAAAGGACAATCGCGGTTATGTCCGCAATAAAGAAACAGGAGCAGAAATAGAGTGACGTACGTTTCTGGTTATTGGCTTCATCAGGCCAAAATGGATGTGTATCGAAAACACCGAAATGAAAACATATGCTTATCACGTCTGGATACGGGTGTAACCTGAAGGACAACAAGGACGGAAATTCAACTAGAAGCCACCAACAAGAGCCAGCAGGCACATTTATCTCTTCGATCAGAAGACCTCGTATTCACGAGGCATCTATTAACGTCGCCACGGAAGACAGCTATAGCTACTTGCCGTGGTACTTCTTGCCCATTAGTAAATACACACTCACGTAGTAGTATGGAGAGTAGACTGAACCCGCAGAATTCACACAGGAACTTAGTAGCTTCTGATAGCAGTATCGCCGCCGACATATTCGTATGTACCTTGATCTATTTCGCTATGGAATTTGCATCCAATTTGGATAGCCTGTTTCCAAAATGTTGGGCTTAGATGGTAGAAGAACTTTAAAGCAATACTTGTCACTTTTGCTTAACGACTTAGAAGTCGTTATTTTTTATACATAATCTCTTATTTTAATACTAGTGAAATGTGTGCAAAAAGGTTTACCTATAAAATCTTGATAAGGCAAACCCCAAACAAGAACTATTACCGCTACAATACTATTTAAAACAATAGCTCCACAAATTATACCACATTATCATTGCTGGAAGTTACTGTCATACTACTTATCCTGATAGACGAAATCATATATAATGCGATACCCTGAATAATATCTGTGTCAATTACACCCCATTCTGACTATTAGATTGACTATATTAGCAGGTATTAGAAGCATAATCTTTTTTTTATTGTATAATCAAAAATAATAAACACAAAAGGACATTTTCTTGCACAATGCAAGTAGGTCATGCATATAAGCAGAATACTTGTTAAACATTATTATTGTACCATAAATAATATGTACAAAACGCGAAGGATCTAGACATATACACATTAAAAGGTTGGAAAAAATAGTTTTACTCATTACCCAAAACGTAGTCTATGTACGAGTATAACGACTGAAGTTGAATCAAAGAAAACAAAATAGATTTTTTTATTAATTTTTACTCATGTTTTAATAATTACCATATGTACAAAATTTCACATTATACATTATATAGTTTGAGTTAGGGTTGAACTAGTTTTAACTAGGTATTAGTTACAGTTAGTTTACATACACGTAGAGGCCTGAAGAATTAAAAACGGAGTCAAAAAGTGATACATAAACAAGAGAAACCTTTTGTGTCGAAGTTGAGTCATTTATTTTAACAGTGAGTAGATCTGATCAAAAGAAATGTTTTTTTCCTTTAACATTTTTCTGGTAAAATTAAAGTAGCAAAGTTATAGCCCTTTAGAAGTTTGAGTACCGCCCTGTCTCAATAATAATATTATGTGCTCGTCTTTGGCAACAACGGATATAATCCGCGTTATCGGTTCATGACATCGGAAGCAAAAAAGCGAAAGAATTTGAAACGTTTATCACGATGTTTTTCGTCAGTCGATAACGCGTGAGTGAATAGTGGTGTTTGTTGCGTGGCTCAAACTAAATAAAAAATAGCACATGTTTACGAAAATGCTGAACTTGTGGACATGATTCTTATTCTTTACAAAATGCTGCCGCGGCATCACGGATTTGTGCGAATCGGTTTCCCAATCGAGTGCAACCAACCCCTCGTGTCTTTGTTAATATAGTACAAAGGGCTCGTGAATCAGGAGACTTAAGACCTTACAGGGGAGGGCCTGCCGGTGCTCCAAGACCGCACGATCAAATACAGGTCCGCACTGAAATACTTGTCGGGAGGATACTTTATAAAACAAAGTAACATTTTTTTTAATGTTTTTTATTTTTGCACACATATTTTGGTTTATCTTCCTTCTACAATCATTATCTGAAAATTAATGACTCAACTTCAAAGTCACCCTGTATATCCTTGATCACTTAAAAAGTTACCATACAACCTACCGAAACATGGAACTTCATTTTCTTTTCCACGATCCTGGGAAGTATATTATATTTAACCTACTTGAAAAACAATCTCAACATTTTCGGCGTAAGCCACAACAATATTTTATAAAATAAAAGTATGGTGTACGGAAGTGGGTATGGATATTAGAATGACAACAGACCTTACAAACTCCGCAAAATATGTTTATGTAAGCGCAGATTGATCGATATTATAGATAGTACTATCAGCCGCGAACATTCGATGCCTTCTGGCTATATGAACTTGAACTTGATGTCTTCGCTTGAACACCTTGGGGCAGTACCCACACATAAATTTCTTCTCTTTGCCGCAATCCTGGTATAAATGAGCGGACATCGTGTTCAGGTTTTTGTACAATTTGTGGCACTTGGGGCATGATACAGCACCTACAATTAATTTCGTTACTACCTGTACCTAACCAAAACTGGTTTATATGGTTATTAATATGGTCACGATGAATTCCCTATAATTATTTGATGTCTATCCTAGTACCATAGTAATATAATATGTGTCACCACATCAATTACGATATGACAATTCTTACCTGAGTTTGAGATGACGATACAGATTGTATCGAAGTAGATGTATAAACAACTATCGACACACCATAGACTTGAACTGAGGAGCAGAATCTTGCAGATTTACCTTGCTGATTATGTACACTTTTTTCCGACATTGGTGTAAGCGCTTTTGCTGATTAAAGTAGATTACTTCTTAAGGCTGCCACACACAGTGCCGCCGGGCAAGCCGCCGTACACCCGGCGGCATACAAAGCCGCCGGCATTGCCGCGCAAAGGAGCCGCCGTGGTGTGCCGGCGGGTTACGCGGCTTGACGGCGTCACTTCGTTCCTGGCATTCGAGCGGTAGTGTTGTGCGGTTTGTGTGTTTAAACAAATTAAAATGTCGTTTAATTAGGACGACGAAGCTGTGCTGCTCTTAATTGAAAAATTTCATGAAAATGATATATTATGGAAACCCAGAAATGGGCATAGCATAGCATAGCCGCACGGCATTGCCGCCGGCACTGTGTGTAGCAGCTTTTAAAGATAAAATAACAAAACTAGTTAGTAACATCATTTATTAAAAACAAAATAGTTCGACAGACTTCAGAAATATACTATAGAACATCATCTTTAAATTAAGAATATTAATAATTGAAATAACATCTGTACAGGATATCCTATAAATTGACACATCTCTATCTCCTTTATATGACCGTTTAGAAAGCAGTTTTATACAAAACATATAGGGTCCTATATAGTCCCATATACCGCCTCTCTCTCTTTCTTTCTCTGCCTCAGAAAAGTTTGAGTGGAACACCTTGCATATTTTTAGGGAACCGCCGCATATGCAAATACATATTATGATAAGTGACAGATACAATTTGAGTTTTTGGCTTAAATAGTGAAAGCAAGTATAACAAACTACATTTGGTATCACAAAGAAGTTCTATTTTCATTATAAATATACAGGGTATTCCAAACCGTATAAAAATTAGCAATGCCTATAAAACTTTACCTTAGGGCATAGAGCTTTTGTATAAAACTTTATTCTAAAAGACCATACAAAATAATTAAAAAGATTGGTGAATTTATAGCGAGTCATACTGTATATGAAAAAATCAATGAACCCGCATTCTAGACCTTCATAGTTAACAATTGGCATGTTTGTTTCACGTCTGTTTTGAACAAATCACCGAAGTTTCTGATAAACCATAATTTTCTCAGTAAGGCACTCGTTGGTTATCTTGCAAAAAAGCAGTTTTCAAGTTGCCTACCCTTGGTGAACCCACACTGTCGAACGTTGTTGAGTAACATTTTCGCGCGATGCAAATTGCATGCAATGAGTTCTCATAGGATAGATTAAAATTTGATATAATTGAACACCTAATTATATAAAACCATTGATTAACGGCAGATATCCATCCATATGGCGTCTAAAAAAACAGAAAGCGCCATCTATAATTCAGTATCAGAGCACACAAAAATACTGTGTTTGGTTCCGCTACTGGCTTATAGAATGCGTTAGAATCTTCAATCCCTTTTCAGCCTAAGTAATGCTTATTTCTAGATTCATTTTTGTGATCTGCTACTCTATCATAGACGGCGTTAGTACCTTCAAGTTTCCTTTTTGGACCACAGAATACATCATATGGTTGGCTATCTTCGAGTATAATCCGTTAATCAATGGTAAAGCACTATTGTTATCCATCAGGGGTATTCATTTTGACCATATGTACGTAATCCCTCTTCATGTGCTTCATCATATTAGATCTTCTTCTGAAGGATTTTCCACAAACAGGGCATACGTGTTTTTTATCTATTCCACAGTCCAACTTCAAGTGAACCCTTAGTGTGCTGTAGTTCTTGTAGATCTTCCAGCATTGAGGGCATCGAACTGAAAATGGAGTAAATTTAGATACCTACCGAAACAGGTATTAGCTGCATTTTGTAACAATGCTAGAAAAGGATGGCTCACCTGTTCTCGGTCCTGCTCTGCAATATTTTCTTTTTTATACTAAATTAGCCGTGCACAGAGAAATTTTAAGAGCAACGTACTACTACAACTTCAACGTAATTACAAATATAATCGATTCCAAGTTGCCTAAGGTTAATAGAACCCCTGAAAAACCTTTGCAGATAGATTGCTCCACAATCTTGACACCTTTGGGACAAAGAAGCGGTCGTGCCGGCGAGTTTATACTTGTTTCAACTCCTAAAATTGACTCTGAAGCTTCTCGTACCAGTAAGCTCGTCAGTATTGGAACATTTTCCAAGCTCTAATCCAAGTTAAAAACATGACAGGGGTGTTGGTCTCTATAGAGATGTAGGCTAGATCGACCCGCCATATAGTACGGTCATTTCATGATACGGTATAAAAAATAATGGAATCTGGTTCATCTGTATAAGTTATAAACTTGAGAAATGTGCAATAACCTAAAAAGCTCTGACTGATACTGTCAGTGTGCATGGTACTGATAGTAGTAACAATCCCCTTAAGCATGTTTGGTATCTGGGTAGCCAGACCTGACAGACTAACAGACCGACGACACTTTTAACGAAGAGCAAATGTCCACCGGACCGCTCTGACGAATAATGACGAATAGTAGTAATAACAAGGTCTGTTACGTGAAATGGGGATAGCGGCAATAGTAGTGTCCTTAAAAAAAGCTAAATAACTAACATGCCATATCCTACAATTTGTAAAATTATTCGTAACGGTGTCAAACCAAGATAAAGAAGAGTTGACAAGGGGACATCTATACCTTTAAGTGCCAAAATAAGGAACATAGTGTATGATCATTATAAACGTAATGAAATTCCCAGAACAGAGATGGTACATCGAGAATTGATGGAAAGAGGTGAGAGTTGTTCCCTGCGGATATTTCAGAGGTGGCTACCAAAGGTCGGATTCAAATTTGGAGTTATCAACAACAAAAGATCTGCAGACATGGAAAGTAAGCGCATAGTGGAATGGCAACAGGCTAACTTAGAAAAGATCAGAGAATATCGGGAAGAAGGTAGGCCAATATATTAGCTGGATGAAACATGGAACGATACACATGGTACAGAAAAAAGGGGTGGACCCACTCATCCACAAGCTGTCAGTTGAAAGGTGTACCACCTAATAAAGGAACCCGGATGGTCATTCTGCGTTGTGGCTCCGTAGATGGTTGTATATGGATGCCGAGATGTTTGAGGAGTGGTTTTCCACCAGATTGCTGCTAAATTTGAAACTTGGAAGTGTCATTGTAATGGATAATGCCAGTTACCATTCCATAAAAACCGCAAAGGTCCCTAATTCCTCGTCCTGCAAGAAAGACATTCAAGAATTTCTTGTGGAGCACGATCTCTATTTTGAGGATTCTTATACAAAAAAAGAATTGTTGGAGGTGCTCCGTACAAGACAGTTTGAGAAAAGGTATGCGGTTGACGAAATGGCAGCTTCTTCTGGGAATGTGATCCTACGACTGCCACCTTATTTTTGTATATTTAATCTCATAGAGTTAATATTGGATCAACTAAAAAGAAGAGTGCAGACCAAATCACTAAATTATCTTGGAAGAAAACCGTCGACAGAGTCCTTCAAGTTGAAAATGAGTATAAAGACTTAGATGAGACTCACCAAGTGGGCAACGCGAAGTTCATTATTGACGTCAATGATGAGGCTTCGGAAGAAGAGAATTAAGTTGTTGTAGGACTATTTTTAAATAAAGAAGTAAAGTATGAAAGTGAAATGAACTATGTATTTAGGTGGATGATCTTGTTGTGCGTGTTTTTGGAAGAGGGCTGCTCATCACAGCAAATTAGGTAAGTAACTTTATATCTTTGACATCGCTACCATCAGATATACATATGTATATTTTGGTAAATAGTATAAATTTTTAACTAATGTCGGGATAATTAATTATAATAACAATCAACGTTACTACGACAACCTGATTCAGTCATTTTTCATCTCATCCAGACTTGTTTGAAAATTTTCAGATCCGTCTCTGTCCTCAGACTTCCGGTTCTCGGTTTTATAGACGTTTTATGACTATTGGCATAAAATGTAGATGAGTACAATATCGTTGTCGTCTATTTGTGTAGTAATGCAAGTACAGTAAGAAGAAACAAACTTTATTAAAACAGTATACACCATCACACCTTATAAGTACATAAATATATTATTCTCCATATGATTAACAAAATAAATTAGTGAACAACAATATTAGGTACATTTAAAAACACCCGAAACCAAACACCATATTGGCGTTCAGTTATATTTGAACAACCAGATGTGTTATATATAAATTTGGCTAAGTTTTATAGAAAGTATCAGTAATCAAAGCATTTAACGAATCTAATTCGTATATAAGAAGCTAGCCAATATACTCATTACATATACCAAACCGTGCAAAGTGCAAATCAATCACACTTCTTATTGGCTAGACGTTTGTACTAAGGGCGACAAAAAAAAAACATGTTCAGCTTTGACCCAAAAGGGGATGCTTGTAATAACAATTTTTCCAGTTTCAAGGCAAATCTTCCTTAAATCTCTGATACCGCTTTTTTGTGTCCTAGCCCCGATTTTACTAAAACGCGCAAAAAGCACATGGAACACAAATTCAACCAATAAGAAGGCGTCTTTGAAGTAACTAATCTAAAGAATATAGTCGATTTCTTGTAAAATGTGTCTCAAACTTATACGGTTTTTGTAAGATGGGCCCTTGATTACCATATTAAATCAGGAAATACGTCATAAATCACTTGGTTTAACTATAAAAACTCATTTTTTTGTTATTTTCGACCGAACACTAAATTTGCGGCCACGATCACATAATGCACCAATGAAAAATGAGCATTTGTGCCATACTCAAATGGACGCAAAAAATTTTCATTTTATGAAAATAACAGTTACTGTGCAAAATGCTTTGATAAATTCCTTGCGGACATATAAAATTTCAGAATGCTTATTCTTTAATAAACATCGAGTACACGATCAATTTACTTACTTAATTTTAACAGGAAGGACGGTAGGACGTCTACATGTATGCAGGGATGCGTAAAATATGGATGTATGGCCAATTTTCGGATTATCTGGCCCACTGAGCACTGGTGGAAAAGATACCGTGAAAAACGACTAAAAAAGAAGACGCCAGAAAACCTTTTTTTGTGCAAGAGAAAGTATTTTTATTTTCCCACCTCAACGTGTTATGCACTTGAATCGTGGGATCTCAGACTTTCATTTGATGAAAGAATTGGCTTGTTAAAGCTTTGACCATTGACTTTTGGTTAAAAAAACGTCTACATTAAAATTGATTTCTAACATTAGCTAAGTAACAAATAAAAATAAAATATATCCAGTAGGATAGTATAAATGTTAATAGATAAAATAATAATGAAGACGCCAACAATATACTAAAATAAATTATTTCGTTTCCCATATTATTTTTAAAAAACGACATTGTGAAGGAAAGCCTCTATATCAGCAGGTCAGATAAAATTATACTAAGAGTAACAATAATTGACGTCGTTGGTTGGAGATTATTTAGATACAAATATAATACACATATAATCCTAGGAAAGTTATACGTGTTATACTTGAATTACCATTTGTTGCATGGTGAAAAGCTGACAATCAAAATAAAAAAGCCTATAAGTTGACGTTTCAATTCGATAAATACAGCCTTATAATTATACCTCCGTATTGTTGAACTTTAGAAAAAATTATGTTTTTTACAGCCAACTCTCGAACTTCGTAGAGACTTCGTTTTTAGAACATGATTGATAACGTGTCAAAGAATTTTGGCTACGTCACACTGCCTGACTTGCAGACATGTTGGTCCCCTCAATTTTCCTACACTTTTGAATTTGCCGCAAACCTGTAGATCAGTTCTCTGCATATGAAATGTAAAATGCATTGCTCCGCACTAAGGGCAGAAAGTTTTCAACCCATTTTGGGGCCGTATTACCAAAGCAGATTTTTTACAATTATTAACCCCCTCCCCCTTGTCAGCAAAAGTAAGTTATCTCATGCTTACGTAAATACTTTGGTGCATTTTACAATTTGAAGCAAGTATTGACCTTAACGGACATGTTCTGTATATCATTTGATGTATGGAAAATCTGGCTCAACATACTTTGCAGCAAGATAATAACCGTCAGTTTCCAGTGAACTCCATACTCAATACATTTCCGGCAAACCCAAAATTGCATCTTTCTAAATGTTCATCCAAAATGGTCATAAGGCAATATGAAACCAGCCAGTAGTAACTCAGTCCTTAAAAATGTATTAACTAAACCGTGCTTTAACTTAAATCTAAGTGCTGCCTAGGATTTTTTCTCAAACAATTCGTACGGATTAAGGAACACATAAGAATGCATCCTGCACATGTGGATTTGTAGATGTTGCTTCCTCCTGAACGTCTTCCCACACTCAACACAGACATGGTCCTTCGATTTACCGCAGTCTTTCGATAAATGGGTGGACAGAGAATTTTTATTCTTGTAGAATTTGTGACATTGTGGACATCGAATTGCACCTAGAAAATTTATTAATTTAGTACTTTACATTAGGTTTGACGTAGGTGTATGTACAGGGTGAAATAACAAATACGTTTTGGAAAAAGCACCAGTCACCGACAAAGCCACGAAGTATGTACATAGATGATTGGTCCTCAATTAGTTTCAAGATTCCTTAATCTGAATGAAACAGCCAAAAACCTAGGGTTTCGGAATTTTATATAAACAGATGATATGACAAAGCACAAAAACTGGATCGCTTCCCGTACGTTTGATACAAAAACGCCGCAGTGAACCAACTGTGTCGGAACCGTATCGCACTGTATGTGCCAGCAATTGGTATCTGTGGTGAGCTAACAATGAGTGGCGTCGATTTATCGAAAATATTGGAGTGAGCTTTGCTGTACTATTTTTCACGATACTTCATCATGTTATTCAAAATACCCCATATCAAAAGAGACACAGAACTATGATACATCCTATGCAACTCCTGGAACGTATCCAAAGGATTTTATGTTAATAGGACTGACTCCATTATTTGACCGAATCAAACTACATATATGTTTTAATTTATCTTTATTGTACGACGTTTTCAAGTACAATATAGCCATTGTGGTGACTGAAACAGTAAAGAGAAATTAAAACATATTAATATGTGGTTTAATTTGACCAGACAATGAAGTTCTATGATGAAGTGAATGCCAGATTTATATATATTCAATCGTGATTCGCGAGGAGAGAGACTCGACTTACTAAATACAGGGTGTTTCAAAACTTATCCGACAAATTTTAACCACATATGCCCTGTTACGAAAGAAGTTGATTTCTCAAAAAAAAAATGTAATAAAAGACCTACAGAAATCGAGATAATAAAATAATACAGTCTAACAGTTCACTTAATTATAAAAGGTGTTCAAAATTGTTTCCATTGACTGCAGTTGGGCCTGTAATATGCGCCGCGCTGTTGCATGGGACACTTCTGGAACCTGTTGGGCTAACTGCCTTGTGCTTATTCCCGCATTTTCTTCCACAATATCAGAAATTTCGTCTTCGGCATTTAAAACACGTAAAACAATTGAACTAAATGTTTCGTGATGTGGTATGTGCCTATTCGGAAATCGGTGTGCATAGAAACGAGAAGCCGCTCGCGAATTTTTCCATACTTCTCCGTACGCTAAGACAATGACCACTAACTCCTCATTAGTGTACACATGTGCCATTTTTATTAATAAATAACTAAAAACCTAAACTCGCAAAATACTTTCTTATTTAACTTCACTAAAATCGACCGTTCTTCATTCAGATCACCCACGATACAGATTAAACCTTATTTATAAGTTCTTATCAGTATGAAAAAACAAAAAATTCTTGGTATTTTGTTTTCGTCAGAGGTTGGGTACAACATTTGCTACAATAAATTATTAATGCGTGTTCTAATATCACGACGATGAACGCAAAATACAGATATTTATTTTTCAATTTAATATTGAAACTCAGGTTTATAACTTAATTTCTGTACGGCTTTTGTTAAATTTTTTTTTAGCAGTCATCTTCTTTCGTAAAAGTGCATATGTTTATAAAATTTGTCGGATAAGTTGTGAAACGTGAAAGTTGTATACCTTAGTCAATATACCCACTGAATCGATTAGAACCTACCACCAAAGTTATTACCTTTAAACCATAACAACATCATAAAGATGTCTATGAATCGATATCAAGTTCAATAAAATGCATATATACAAATTGTTCCTAAAAGAATAGTACATCAAGCCTATGTTAAGCACATGTTTGGTATAAGTGCCCACCTATGGTTGCATAAATAAAAAAAGTTATTCCCGTTCCGTCGTGTCAGCAGTGACTGCCCTATATAGAATGTTTCATTGGGTGCGAGAAATCTAACCATGGTTATGGGTCATTGAGCGCCTTATGCTCGAGTATTGCGCTTGCTCAACATAGTTGATCCACTTCACAAATACTGCACCAACAACGGCAACACTCGAACATGAAACTCATCGCGAAAAATCCCTTCTACATAAACTGAATTACCTAAACTAATTAAGCAGTTTAACAAAAAGGTACATGGTTAGCTGTTTTTAAGGAAATAAGTTTAGTGTGATACTCCAAATAAAGTGGTTCCGGAAATTTCAGTTTAATTAAGCCGAACGATTTAGTTAATTAGTATAATTAAAAATCCATTACGGATAATAAAAATTTTGGAAAAAAAAACTATTTAATTGGCCACCTTTTCTCATTGTAGTATGAAAAACGTGCCTGAACAGTAGAGTTTTGGAGACCAGAGGAAGTTCGAGAACATCCTTGAATACGCCAGCAGGAATAATGGGAAATCATTTCTGTTACTCAATTTTTAAATAAAATCCCAAATTTTAGAAATCACATTTGGAAAGACAACTTCAAAGTACCAGTGAATCTTTGAGAATAAGAATTATACACTTTGCTCCAGGGTGAACTACTAAAAACACAGACTCTTAGTAAAACCATATATTATTTTTTATAGTTCCATACTAAATTATATAGAAATCCTTGCATAAAAATATCTTTCTACAGTATATACCCTCTTTTATAGCTCCATATTATATCATTAAATACTTTGCGTGAAATAGAATAATATGCCCTTGGCTTTTTTACTTGACGTCCTTGAACCTATGTTTGAAGAACCTCTTGCAAAATGGAGACGTCCATTTCCTGTCTTTGTGACACTCGCATCTCAAGTGTCGCTTAGCAAACCTATCCATTTGTAGGTTTTCCACATTGTGGATAAGCTGCAACAAAGGATGTCTAATCAAAACGATAAACCTTAACGTCGCACAAAAGATTTCAATGTTTTTAAATGAAAAGTAACTGAAAAAAATATAGAGCATGTCGTAGACCCAGAAGTGACCTTAACCTTAAAGCATTCGAGTGAATTTGTGTTGACCTAATTTTATCTGACCTTAACCGGGGACACAGTACGCCTTGAACAAGTGACTATCCTCAAAACATAAGGCAGCAAAATTAACTTCTTTCAAAGATAAATACGAGTACACTCAAGGCAAGGTCAATTGACTTCAAGGTGAAGCTCGAATGTGATTTTAGGTGGACGTAAGTTGTTACCATTGATTGACGTATTCTACCTGAAGAGAGCCAAACTTCTACTGCATTCTCACGTCCAAAAAATTATCCGTAACGTCATCTATAAGAATTTGCGTCAGCAATGTTTCTGTTCTTAGAAAGGTTGGTGTCTCATACATGGCCTAACTATACCGGCAGGACGTACGTCAATAGTCAATCCATGCACTTATTTACCAATCGGTGCGAAAAGAACCAAAATGGCACAATCGTACAGCAATATCGAACTTGTCGACATGGTTTAAATTTACTGTGAGTATCTTCAAAATGCTACCCAGGCTTCGCGAGTGTGTGCAGATCGCTTTGTCAAACGTTATCATTCAGAGCCGCTTAGATTTGTTCACCTTGTGCAAACAGCTAAAAATGCAGGTCGTTTGCAGTGATGTCGATGTGGGCACAGACATACAGAAACACGAATGCTGCAAACTCAGGAAGGGGTATTGAATCTTGTAGAAGAAAATCCTTCAACAAGAACTAGGGAAGTGGCTATACAAGCGCTTGTATCCAAGACTGAGTGGCAAACGTTGCGTGAGGATAGATTGTATCCTATAGTACAAGTTGAGGATTCTCCTGCAGGAGTGTGTTTTGTGAGTGGTTGTTGCAACAACATGAAAATAATCCGGAGTTGAAGTTGTCACTGGCGAATCAACATTCACGTATAATGAGGTGAATAACTCATGTGTGGTCGTTGGAAAATCCTCACGTAGCCATCGGTCACATTTTTAACAAACAGTTTCTTTGACTGTTCGGGCTGGCATGATAAATGGTATGCTCATTGAAACGTTTGATCTGTGCGACAACTTCGAATAGTACTTATAAGTGATAGAGCCGTACTCGAAATTTATCTGCAAACGAACGGTGAGTACTTTTCCATTTTTTTACTTTACTTTTTCGTCACTGTTCCACCGTATATTAGCTTTGTTATTTCAAGCTACATATGTTGTTTTTTTAAGGAAAGTCTCAACTTTCAGGACACTCCGAATATGAGCATATGGCTACGGCACCAACTATGAAATACTTGACTTTTTAAAGAAGAGATTTCTAATTATTGCGGAGAGGAGAATCAGATGTGACTAATTCTCAGAGCTGCGTTCTCATTTCACGTCAGATAGTTATTAATCAATATTATTACTAAGCTACGTACCTGCTAATATATTTTTTAGACACCCAATCTCAGCGACAAAGAAAAAGAACACTCAATAGAAATGGTTATGTTTGAATTAAATTTTGTATACAGTTAGACATGAGCAGAAGGGAGTAGTAAAGTTTGAGGTGAAAAAATTTGCTGTACTGCTAGAGGATGATACGTAAGATGCTGAAGAATGAGGCCGTCGTGAGTGTTATTGAGGTAGTCTATTGTAACTCTTGCAATATGTAGGCAGGCATTATCTTGTTAAGGTTTTGAATCGGTGGGCTATTTTGCGGCGAGCGCCATATTGGATTTAGAATGGTGTTACTTGGCTTACTGCGTTTTTTTCATCAAGCCCTTTTATTTGATACCCATATCATGAAAAATGTAAATCGCTATTTCGCGGCGTCCATATTGTATTTCGAATGACGTCACTTTGTTTGTCGCGTTCTGTAAAATATGTCGTATTGGATTCACATTATCGGTAGTATTTTGTATTGTTACGCAAATTAAACATGTGTTACAGCTCAACTGGTTAAGGTTAACTGATTCGTAATTCAGTTCCAAGGTTTGTCCCACACATACTAACCGTTCATCCTCCCAATTTTATCGGTCTCAGTTCTGTTTAAAGGATGCTGGGCAGGGGCTGTGTTGGAGAAAGACATAACACATAACCAAGGCGTTGTCGTGAATGGTGAAGTTTGAAGTGAAAACATTTGGTGTATCGCTGGATTGCCAGCTCTGCGTGGTGCAAAGCGTTTGTGGAGGGTGAGGTAAATATGTCACTTTTCTTGGGCTACAGTACTTTCTGAGTGCATTTTTACGTCCTCTAATGGAAACTAGACGAGACTTAGCAACATATTTAAAGACGCCCTAAACCATAACTGTTGCAGTAAGGAACACCATAACTGCTACAGTTGCGCGTGACGTTCAACTGTAATCCTTACATTATGTCTTAGTCCAGGCAATACATTCGCATCTGGTAGGAAAAATATTCCGATTCGAATATTTTGCGTAATCTCATTCAAAAAGGGGTCGTTTTATCAAATCTGAATGTTGCCAGGCTCGAATTTGCGCCAAAACTTTTTTAAACATTTCTTTTAAAGAAATTCTAAAAATTGTTTCCAGTAAAGTGGTATTATGATATTCCGAACAAAAAAGGTGTTTTAGAGTTTTTCTCTAAAGTTGATAGTTTTCGAGGTATAACCAAAGTATCTGAGGAGATATTGTTATTGTACACCTTTGTTTTCCTAATTGTTAACTAAGCGCGCGCTCAGTGTATGCACTGCGTGAGTACGAGAGACCTGTATCATCTAGGGATGACTGCCAGCCGCAGCGGAGAACCATTGATCACGTGCTCAGTAATAATTAAACAAGAAAGGTTTACAATAACAACCCTTAAATGCTTTGGACTTTTGTTAACGGACGTTTCAAGGATATTTGGGAACTTTGACAACATTACAATTTTCGTTCTTTCATATTGTTTTTCGGGGTCGAAAATGGCATAATTCGCACTATATTAAATATTGAATCGCTTGCATCTAGGAAACTATCAACTTTACGGAAAAGTCCAAAGTTACCTTTTGGGTTCAGAATGTCCTAAAAAATCTGAATACACTTTGAACGGAGTGAAAAAACGATTTTTGGAAATAATTAAAAAAAATTAAAACGTTTTTGACGCTTTGGGCTTGGCAACAGCAGGTTCGTTGAAACAGGCCCTTGTTGAATAAGATTACCCAAAACATCCTAATCGGAATATTTTTGCCATAAGATATGAAGATATTGCCCGTACTGTCTTACTACGCATTCTTAAACAGAACGGCAACCATCACTGAAAATAATGTACCATTTATCATCCCAATTTTCTCGATCTCAGTTATGTTTTGGGAATGCATGTTGAACGGGCACCAGTCAGAAGTTATTTGGGAGAAAGACATGACGTAAAGCTTTCAGTAGTTGATCGATAATGGTGTGAGGTGCCACTACATAATATAGTGCTAAGTGACCTCTAGTTTCCATTGGAGGAGATATGACGGAGCAACGGTATTTTTAAGAAATTACCATTTAATTTATGTGAGAGCTATTATGAATATTTATAAAAATGCGAGCAGTGCCGCCTAACAAGGAAATTTCATATCAGCGACGTTCCCGACATGGAAAGGCGTCAAACAAGAATGTTGCATGTCTCCAACTTTATTCATTAAATATAGGGATTGATATGTATAACAATCAACATTTAACACCTTTGTTTTTCGCAGACGATCAGGTGGTTGTTGGGAGTGATGACGAAGATATGGCATACATGTTTAGAAAATTAAAAGTAGAATACAAGAAGTCGGACTGAGTATGAAACTGGTTAAGACAGCCAAATTTGAATCTCACTGTATATATACTATTTAATTTTACCATTTCTCGAAATGCTGGACACAATGAATATACCCATATGGCTGCAGCTACATTAAGACTACCTCAATAACGAACAAGTCAACCTACTTCCTTGGGCTCCTAGATTTCCAGACCATTCGCCAATCGACAATTAGTGGAATATGATGTGATGAAGGACCTCATCATCTACCAGTGTTCTGTTTTCTTTGTCACTGGGTATAATCATTTATTATTCACCCCTCAACAACTATGTATCAGTTACAGAGATATATATTTATGCCGAACAGTGAAACAGTTATTACTTACATGTAACTTTATTTAGCAAATCGCATCTATAGTGAGTGCTCACATCTTTAAATTGAATTATTTGTCTTCATATTATGAACGAAAATCATGTGCCTCGTCAGATGATCTTTCCGAAAACCACTGTAAGAACACGCTGCACACTTGAATTTCCTCTGTCTTTGACATTCGTATTTTTGGTGTCGTTGAAGTGTTCCTTTGTACGCGTACTGCTTGAAACACCTTTGACAAGTGTACTCAGCATCACCTAAAATAAAAAATAGTAAAAAACAAATTCTAAAATATTCCAGGTCTCTTCAATAGTAGTTATTCTATTCCAAGAAATGACGGGGAACAGGGGGAACAGAATAAGTATGAATTAAAAATTTCAGTAGAATCCCGATTTCAAACGGCTGAACAGATATTCTTGGAACATAGCTCAGAACACTCATCATCGAGTCACCTTATAAATAAAAAAGAAAAATCCAAATCGGTTCATCCGAGTACTAGGATACATACACACATTAAACTTATAACACCTCTCTTTTGTGGCCGATACTTAAAATTGAAGCTGGTTTTGTTAATTACTTCACCACCAACAGTTTAGGAAAAATTCGATATACTCGTAATGGTCAATACTATACGTAAGACTGCGGCACTCTATAACATAACACTCGGAAAGTTGACGTTAAAATGGATCAAAATTTGTTTAGAAAATATTTCATCAGCCTTCAATGACAGTTTGAACCTGGCACACAGATTGTTAAAAGAAGGATATTTTTGAATAATATTATGCAAAAAACTGACTTACTGAACACTTTGATGCGAATACAATTCCTAAACTGAATGAAAAAACATGGTATGTGAGGTATTTTATTTCAAGGCACTTATTTCATCAACAAATTGAATCTCGAGTAATATTAAAAAAACACAACAAAAATAAACTTATCCTATGAAGTCCACCACTATGTGAGGTTCGTAATTATGGACCAATAGCAGATGCCTCTTAACGTGATCCTTCCTGAAGGCTTTGTAAGGACACTCAGGGCATTTGAACCGTCTTTGCCCAGAACATTCTAATCTAAGATGACGTGTGAGGTTACCTTTACAGCTATATCTCCTGCCACATTTTCTACAACTGTATACTGACCAGTATCCTGAAATTAAATTGTGTAGCTATATCGTCGTAGCTTTTTTTGAAGAAGTTTACAAATTTGATATTCGAACAACAAAGCTAAAAATAGTAATTTCCGATGTATTCGCGTATCACTCCACCCAGAAAACGCACAGGTGTGTGTAATGATATTTTCGATTATAATGGCTAAAGAAAGAACTTAAGCGTATAAGGACTACCACCCTCTTTTTGAAGAGAATAAAATGTTCTACCAAAAAGATTCTCTACGTTTTTTCGTCAACTTAACGGTTCTTCAAGAAGCGAAAGTCAAAAATTCATATCAGTATTACATTTGAGATGTCAAGAAACGTGAATGACCTTTTTTGTAGCAATTTTGTTCCACTACTAAAATAGTGTTTTATATTTTATACTCTTCGACTGGTAGTTTAGCAAGTATAAGCAGAAATATCATTACGTGTACCTTTGATTTCTCGTGATCTGTTCACCATACGAAAAATTTTTGTTTAAGCAAAATGATGGGAAATTAATTCGCTACAAATTTTTTTCCATTACCTTTTTACATAAGTTTGATGGTTTTCAAGATTTTCGACCAAAGGCTTTTATCAAAATTGCGGCAAATGCTGTGGCCCTATTATGACGCCAATTTGAACTTATCATTAGGAAGCAATAAACTACACTGTATGTGTCTGTACGGACGTATATTCCTTAGCTGTCGAACAGTAATAAAGCCAGGACCCATATTACGAACCAAGCAACATCACCTTTTCTTCCATTATATTCATCCTGTTACATCACCAACCGTAAGGCTCGTTACACACATGCACGGTGACCGTACTAACGGCGCCGTTTAAACGGAGCCGTTCTATTCTATTGACTTTTCACACATAAACGGTTAGTACCTATCGTAGACGTGTTATCGCAATGATGATATTATATAGACGCTTAAAAAGAAAAAAAAGAAAAATACTAAGTGACATATAAATCCGAACACCCAGTTTAAATGGTTTTATTTTAATAAAATTTTGTATAAGTACTTAATGAAGCATAATAAGTAAATAATAAAAATTTCAAAATGATTGCACTGCTTTAAAGCCCTTTGACCTTTAATAATGTGTGGATGCACCTTGATGTGCTACGCATTCTCCAACGCGCCTAGGCATGCTTCTGATCAGGTGGTCAATGTCCTCCTGTGGTATCTCATTCCAGGCAACCACCAACTCCTCTCGAAGTGCTTCTAGAGTCTGAGGAGGACATTGCAAATTGAGCAATCTCCTACCCATCATATCCCACACGTGCTCAATTGGGGATAAGTCGGGAGATCTTGGTGGCCATGGTAACAATGTGACATCATTATGTTGAAAGAAGTCTATTGTGACTCTTGCAACATGTGGTCGGGCATTATCTTGTTGGAAAGTTGGATCTGCCAGGGTGTCAAGATAGGGTAAAAGATGAGGTTCTAGAACTTCGTGGATATAACGCTGCGCGTTCATGTTACCTCTGATGAAGATTAAAGGTGACCTGGAACCATAAGCTATAGCACCCCAAACCATAACTCCAACAGTGTGATGAACATGTCTTTCAACAAAAAACCGTGGATTCCTCCTTTCACCACGTCGCCTTCTAACCCTGGCACGACCATCGTGCATGCCTAAACAAAATCGAGACTCGTCACTAAAGACAATACTGTTCCATTCCTGATCCCAGAGTGACCGTTGTCTGCACCACTCAATGCGATTACGTCGGTGTTCTCGAGTTAAAGGGAGGACCCAGTGTGGCCGGTATGAAAACAAGCCAAAACTTCTCATTCGTCGGTAAACACTTCGCATGACAATAGGTCTTCCGTGTTCTGCAAACCATTCATTTGCAATGGACATGGTAGTGGAGAAACGGTCCCTTAAGGCCAATAATCTTAGGCGATGATCTTCACGGTCTGTTGTTCTACGGCGGCGTCCAGTGCCCCTTGCTCTTTGCGTACGGCCTTCTCGAAGCCATGCCTGACAACACCTAACCACAGTGTCTACACTTCTTTGCACTCTAACTGCAATTGCCCGAAAAGAAAGTCCAGCTTCAAGAAGTCCCACTATACGGCCCCTATCAAACTCACTAAGTTGACGAAATCGTACAGGTCTCCGTACTCTAGGCATCGTAACCGATCGTAAAGGATGTCAAGAACCAAAATCCGCCAACGTTGATTCTTTACTGCGGCTGAAATATTCATTTTTAGAGCGTTAGTGAATTAAAAAAAAAGAAGTATAAAAACCGGAATGTCCAACTGATAAGGCTGAAAATTTTTTCACTTGTTATTTACAGTAAGATAAATACATTCACCAACTTTTGTTGAAATAAAACCATTTAAACTGGGTGTTCGGATTTATATGTCACTTAGTATAGATATAAGTGGGTTCATCCTATAAATATGCAAAGAAAAACGTTTGGAGCATTTTATGTACTTTTCGGGCAGCTTAGAGAAGACGAAAAAAGTTCTATAACTATTTCAGGATGTCAGTATTAAGTTTTGATGAACTACATCAACGACTAAAACCATCCGTTCAAAAGAAAGATACTTTTATGCGAGAGTGCATACAACCTATAGAAATGCTGGCTGTCACAATTAGGTAAGTAAAACAAGAACTTTAAATTTTAGAAGTTATATGTTTATTAAAGCCATACTTAAGATATTTATTTATATAAACAGACCATGCAATCTAAATAGTAACCTATCTCTTATTAAATGGTATAAAAATATTTTAATTAGAAAAATCAAATGACTCTTGAGATGATTGACTCTCCACAGAATATGGTGAAATAACTTCGCCAATGGATTCGTAAAACTGACGGACTGAATGTGCATTTGAAGTTGCAGGAACAGGTTGCAATGTTTCAACTTGAGTGTTTGGCATAGTGCTGAATGCTTGCTGGCTTTTCGGCAATGCTGAACTTTTGGTTTGATGGGAAAGAGTTTGGATAGGAATGTTTTGATAGGAATGACTTATGTTGGGATAGGAATGAACCATGTTTGGATAGAGATGACTTGTAGTTGTAGTTATTGGTTGCTGACTGGAATTAACTTGAGGATGAGTAATGTCTTGACGAGATGCAATCATTTTCTTTCGTTGTTTGATAGATGTTATCGTCTGCAATACTGTGGTTTGGCATTCCAATATTTCCTCTTCGTCTAAAGAGCTTAATGAGGGAATTATGCCTTAAAAAAGAAACACAAATGGCGGTCGGGTGTTTCTTTCAGGGCTTTCATCATTTCTAATTCAACGGAATCCATTTTGCGTTTTTTCGGTGGTCCTGTCTTAGCAACTTTGTTGTTTAATGCATTATCTTCAGGCATATTAGTTTCCAGAGTTTCTTCTTCCTCATCTGATTTATCTGATTGGCTAGTATTTGATTTTAAACTATTTTCGGTTTTACGATCAGTCAATATTTTATTTAGAAATTTCAAGTGGTCATTATAAATGTACGCTTTTATAGTTGTTGCTCCAGCCCCTGACCTTGAAGCGCTCTTTTGTTTTTTCATAGATTTTTTGAACGTATCCCTAACATTAGTCCATTTCTTCATGACTTTTTTACCTGCAAAGAAATAAAAAATATTAATGATTCATTTTATCATAGAAAATATTATTATCATAATTATTATTATTATATTATTGTTTTAGTTATTATTTTTTATTTTGTTTTATTTTCAGATATTTAGCAAGCGGATGTACTTTCACAGATCTACATTACAACTATCGACTCGGAATATCTACAATTAGCAATATAGTCAAAAGAGTATGTGAATGTATTTGGTCTGTTTTGCAAGCAGAATGTATACCCAAACCTACTAAAGAGAACTGGAAGATAATTGCTTCAAAATTTGAAAACAGGGCCAATTTTCGTCACTGCATTGGGTCAGTCGATGGGAAACACATTCGAATAATTAACCCACTTAAGTCAATGTATTTTAATTACAAAGGATATTCTTCTATTGTTCTTATGGCAGTTGCAGACTCTGATTATCGGTTTACCTATGTTGAAATTGGAGCTTATGGCAAAGATTGTGATTCTAACATTTTCAAGGAATCGTCATTATGGATATCAATTAAAAATACAAACATACAATTATCCGAAGAAGAATGTCTTCGAGGAGCAACGAATCCTAAACTTCCCTATTTTCTTGTGGGTGATGAAGCAGTTGCTTTACACAAACACCTACTTCGACCATATGGTGGTCATAACTTGACAGTCAAAAAGAAGATTTTCAATTACCGTCTTTCGAGAGCTCGACGATATATAGAATGCACGTTTGGAATATTAAGCAATAAATGGAGACTTTTTCACCGTCCCATAAACTTGGATCCTGACTTTGCCGTAGACATAGTAAAAGCTTGTGTTGCTCTACACAACTTTGTTAGAGATAGGGATGGCTTTGAAGCAGAAGATACATTAACAATAACAGGACTCCTTGATTTGTCTGAAGGAGGAACAGTTCGAGGGGGATTATCAGCCAACAATGTCAGAAATATTTTAGCTGATTACTTTTTAACTGACACAGGTTCTGTAAAATGGCAACTTTCTAAAATTTGATAGAATTTTATATTAAACTCTGTACTTACCAAAGCTGTTTTTTCTGTGGCCTCCAACTCTTCAAAATCCGGTCTTAATTCTAAAAATATTTCCTTCCAGGCATTTCTTGTATCGTTTCTGTCTTTATAAACATCTCTTGTTTTGTCCCAGATTACGGGTCTTGCTTCTACTAATGATATAAGAATATCTATGTCCACATCCTGCACTACATCCGCACTTTCCATTTTACGCTACACGTTGAAGTGCTCACAAAAAACTATTCAAAAGATCAATGTAAAAAGACGAGAAAATTAAATCAGACTACCGTGAATACGGCATGTGTGAAATCTTCCTTGTACTTCAATACGCGACTGAAACATTCGCGCCGGTAACGGAGGCCGTGCAAATACAGTGGGAAGCCACGGCGACATCACGGCAAAACATTACCGTATACACGGTCGCGGTGCGTGTGAAACTAATGATAATACTCTGTATCCCTTTGCCGTTTATACGGTGCCGTTTGGACGGTCACCGTGCATGTGTGTAACGAGCCTAAGGGTTTCCATAGCTGGCTAATAGTAAAAATATCAGAACGTATGAAAGTTGATTCAAATACATGGCCCATATGTAAAGTGCATAATTTCGTATTTAAAAAAACGAATTTTAAACTTTTTTTTCACGGTCGTCGAATTATAAAGATACCAGAGCGCACAGAAATTGACTGAGATACATGATCATATTAAAAGTCCATTTGTCCAGGACAAAGTCAATATACTTGACACCATCGGTTTACTCATAATGAACTCCAACATCAACGCCATGAGAGAGCTAGAATAAGCATAGTCCCCACTCCAATGACAATTCTACTGTCCTAATTGGAATATAAATCGTATTCAATATCCTATACCAAAGCCATATAGCCGCAAAGCTCCGTCAGCGACTCACATTGGAACTGATACCACAAAATTGAATACGATGTGCTTTAAAGGGTATGTCCCAAATTAAAGTACAAATTCATCATTACTATAAATGCTGTCGTTTATTGATTCTTAAAAACGTCATAGAGGCTACTTGGTATAAAACGTAAATATATTATGAGGTACCATAATTCATGTAACCACCATTCTTTTCCACCGGGAGGGAAAGTGTACTTCATGTACAGGCTTTCTGGATGTGAAGCTTCACTTTTCCGCCCATAGACTCATTTATGGCCCAGGACGAATCGTGGACTCCAATTTCACGTATTTGACTATGATCGCATACTTTAGGCCCTAGATACATAAATAACTATCATTTCAGTTATTTTCAATCATATTCTGATTTAATGCTAATAGCATCTTCAGGCTGATTCTCTCCATATGTATCAGCCTGGGTTAAAAATGGTTGAATTGCAGTCAAGTCTCGGAAAGGCATTAAATGATCCTGTTCTCTTCTATTTTGGTATCCCATAGACCGCAGTAACTTTTTTTGACGACTTTTCATTTGATATTGACGCCATTTCTCCCTTTGCTGTTGTTGCTCTGCAGCGGATAATTCATATATTCGTTTCTTCACTTTTCTTGAATTTCCTATAGATTGTCTAGGGTATATCCTAGATCTTTGAAATGTCATTCCTGAAAAACAGCATAACATCAGGTACACAAATAACTCTTCAGAGCTCAGGTTTTTTATCTGTTCAGTAACATAGACAATAGAATAAACGGGTAGCTATTATTATACAGGGCGGGAAATAGCAATATAAGGTTGAGGGAAAAATACAAAACAAAGTTTAATCCATTTATTTCAATGTTTCTGGGTTGCGACATGCTTCTTACAGCTATATTTATAATGAAACCGTTTGGAGCAGGTGTGACATTCGAACATTGGTTCTTTCTGACATTCGTAATTTATGTGCCTGGTTAGTTCGTACTTCCGTTTGTATCTTCTTTCACACGTCACACAGACAAACAGCCTTTCTGAAAGCGATTGATTTTCAAGCATATTTTCGTTTTATATAACTAGGAATTTTTTAATGCAACAATGGAAGAAATTAACGGATACCAAATCTTTAGAGTTCTACCAAATTGAGAAACTAGTGTTACCTATTAGCATAAATTTACAAGTATTGACGATTTTTTTTAGATGGAATAGTAAACCATTAGCACCGTTCAGTTTTTAGTGCAAACATTTTATAGATATAGTAGCCAGTGGCTCCACCCACGTGGAAGTAGTTTAAAGAAGTCATTCGTTTTGGATTAGTGTGAAGAAGAATGTTTTCGGAGAAAAAATGCAATGTTCAAACTAATGCAATAGTTACTTTCGCATGAACATTTTTTATTCAACATTTTAATGTAGCAATAAATTAATAGCAAATGTATAATCTGAATCAGAAAAGATAATACGTGAAGTATCGCTCAGCAGGTGTAGCATATCTCAACATATCCCCCAATAAATAATTTATTCAAGGTATTATGCTTGAAGCAAAACAAAACTCCGAACAGACCTGAATATGACTATCATGATACGAAAAGGAATGTCGAAATGCAGTAAATGCACGATGCAATTGCTCTATTTATATGCCCTTGCTCATTTCGATCAGACCAGTGACTGAGCGCTTCCAAATTCCATTGAGCTGTTTGGGCTGTAGCCCGTAAAATCGATATTTCAAAGTAATTTACCGGGATAAAAAGTAGCATATATGCTATTCCAGACTACAATCTATCTCTGTACCAAATCTACATTTTCTCAGTTATAAGTAGGAACCACAATTTCTTGTCAAAAAACGTAGATCAAAAACTGATCACAGGAAAGGTATAAACACAGCTAAAATAAGTTTATTCTTTACTTTTTCTAATGTAACATCTGAAACCTATCCTGTTATTTTCGTGCTGATAATCCCCATGTCTTTCTGTGAGCTTCTTCATGTATATCTGATCTAGTTTTAACTTTAACTGTGTTAATTGACATAACCTATTTCTGTGATCACATGGAAATATTGCTTAAAAACCGTAAAGATTGTTGAAAATCGTTAAAAAAAAGTGATATATCCATAACCGAACTCTTTGAACTGGCTGCCCTACAATCAGTCACCGGTCTTTACTCAGGTTTTATGTTTTCATTCACTAATATATTACTAAAAAGTATAAACAAGAAATATTTTCAAAATTATTTAATGTATTGTATCATATAGGGTAAAAAATCTGAACACATTGCATAAGCAAGACAAAATCGGTATGAACAGTGTGAGGGAAGTAACCTCCAGGCATAATATTGTCAAACGGGTACAAAAACAAAACTTCTGGTCCTGACTTGATTCTCATTATCCAACGCAGAGGCGTGCAATTCCTTCCCGTCCGTTTAAGATATCTTAAGAATCTTCTACTTTCCCGGAGTTTGGGGAGTTTACTTATGATCAGCTCGTCCCAAAAAAAGCGGGTTCTCCTCTTCATCCTATAATGTCACCGCTGGTTTTCCCTAGAGATGAGTCTGGGCTCCAGCTCTGTTTCGTGTGTATATCAACCATATCTCCTCCTCTACGATCAGTCCAATCCAAAGCTTTGCTAATGACAGTCCTCTACACGCAGGCTTTCAGTGTGGGAATCTCTACTGATGATCTGGGGGAAGGTAGACTATAGGCAAATTCCTCTCTGGCTAGAGGTTCGATATTGTCACTGCTCGGGGACGCAACAATCTGGTACATAGTGCTACTGAAAACACGGTTAACTAACAACACGAGCCCTACCGTTCATCCGGTTTCGATGATGCCTGGGTTCTGCTAAAATTCAATAGAATTGAGTTCTCCGCCGTAATGGCCTCCAGCACTTGTTTTTGGTCCAAACGAGAATATTACTTGGCATTACTTATTATCTACTGTGCAGTTTTGAAATTATCCTATCTGTGAATCATACGCAGTTGTACGATATATTCAGATCCAATGGTTGAACGTATCACAGTGCCTCTTGAAAGAATTCTTCTGATGGAAAGATTTGTTGCATACTTGACATTGAAACATTTTCTCTTTCTGACACTCATAACGTTGATGTCTTGTCAGTGCACCCTTTGTTTCATACGCCCTTTTTCTGCAGATCTCGCATCGGTATGGTTTAACTAAAAATTAATTTTAAGGTAATACTACAAATATCGATTTTACTTGCATAGATACACAGTAGATAAAAAGTTGATTTATTTATGAAGTTGGCAATTACAATAGAAAAAGAGATGTAGCGCATCAGTGGATTGTACGACTGCTACTATATAAAAGAAATGTCGTAATGCAGCTTTGCTGACATCTTTCCTAAGCCACTGCAACCGCATTTCACCACCTTTGCTTCCGGGTCGCGTGATCCTAAGAAAGGATCATACCATCTATGTGCACCATGTAGTTTATCATACCACCTCTCTCTCTCTCTTTTTTATACAAACTTCGAATTTTAGGTTACCAAGAATATTCAGATATTCTGCAACAAGCTCTATTCATAAAGAGGCTTTGGAGATGAAGCAATGAAACTAAATATAATAAATCACAAACAAATGCACTTTATAAAATTAAAATTTTATTTCAGATACTCAGAACAGCATGCTGTTCTCCAAAAATTCTGAAAAATAACATAAAGCACAACTTACTGCGTTTATGCCATACATGTCAAAATAAGTGATCAGGATGTTGCGTGCTACGATGTTTTTTTAAGACAAACTTGCGGCAGAAAGACTTGAAGCAAATGTTGCATTGAAAAAATCGTTCTGTCTGACACTCGTAACGTAAATGTCTATTTAGGTCACTTTTCCTTTTATATCTTCTTTCACAGATCTCGCATCGGAATGGCTTGGTTTTGCCTAAAAAGCGTTCAAGAGTGACACAAGAAATCACAATTCTATTTTGTTCAATCACTGAATTTATTTATTTATCCTCGCCAAAAGACAAAATCAGTGCTTGTGGCACGTCAACAAAATGCAGAGTAGATACGTACGAACATCACAATAAACAATACAAATTTGAAACTACATATATATAGAGAGAAAGAATGATCAGGCGGAGAAAGGTATATAACAAAAAGTAGGAAAATAATGGGCAAAATCAGCAAACAGGAGGAAAGTGGATTCGCGCAGAAAATAGGATAGGTAACCCGAGCGATACGTATTTCTACTGGTTGGCTTCATCAGGCCCGAAATGAATGCACATATGAAACTACAAAAGTAGATACACATGCCCACACATCCGGATACGGGTGTAACCTGAGGAAACGAAGATGGAGAGGGAAAAAACGACACACGAAGGCCACAATAAGAGCCAACCTACACATTGTAGTATAAAATGGCTAGAAGACCTCGAATTTTCAAGGAGACATCTAACCACAACTACGCGGCCGGTTATAGCCACTTGCTGTGGTACTTCAAGCCCAAAGATCCTTTGAAAGAATCAATTTGAAAAAAAATTTTGCTAGGCAGCGTTTTACTATACTATTTTAATATACTATTTAGGTAACATAAAACTTACATGTTCAAAATAAGTAACCTGGATTCGATCTCGACTAGATGTCAAATGGGTTTCAATTCATGAGCAAAAATACGACATTCCATTTATTTTTCATTGAAGAAAGGTTACCTTGAAATTGTTGTTAATGCGAAGAAAATCACATTCAAATATTTATTCCGTATAATGTAAATATGTACGTTTTTTTGAAAAACATTGAATTGTGTGTACTTTAAGATTGCTTTTACGATGGAAAGCCTTGAAACACAAACTACATTGGAACATTTTCTCTTTCTGGCACTCATATCGAGAATGTCGTGACAGATCTCCTTTTCTTCGATATCCCCTTTTGCAGGTTTCGCATCGAAATGGCTTATCTGAAATTTGTAATAAAACCAAAATTGCAGAAAAAAATGACTCACTGACAATAAACACAATGAACACGACAATTGCAAATTCAGAGAAAGCTGACAATTCATCGTACGCCACTGCTAACGACACATGACTCTGTCTGTACGCGTGGCGAACCTTATCGAACACATCAAAAGCACTTAGATTAGCGGCGTACTCGATGTCAAGCTACATTCCTCCAACTTGTTAATTAACTTATTAGCGGAATTTTCGGCCTTAAAACAACTAAATTTTCAAGTTGATTTGAACACATATATGTCGGCCTCAAACGCTGAAATCCGTCATTCCCTGAAATGCCGGCAAACACCGCAAGTTTGATTATTACAACGTTTGACTAAGCATTTCATTCATTCCCTGTAATGACTGAACAATATCAGTCAAACACCGTAACAACCACATAAACTTCGTTACTGCATTCGCCTATTTTAGTCAAACGCTGTAGTCAATACAGTGTTGCTCCAATGAAGTGCATAATATAACAAAGTACTACTTTGTCAATAATATTAAAAGAAAAATAATCAATGATGAATTAATTTAAAAGGAAAGGAGAATAGATTAAAACGTTGTCTTTATTATTACATTATTGTTTTTTCAATCAAATATTTTTCTATGTATACAAAATCCAGCAACTGGATGCTGCTGTTGAGCAAGCCTATGTTATGTGCGTTATAATTTAGGTTAGGATCACAAAATTATAAAAACTAACTTATCTCCTTTCAATCTTTTGTATTTCATGGTTTTTTCTTATTCACACTGTCATAGTATTTACTTAGTTTCTTGTAAAACAATTCTGAATGCTACGACATTTTTACAAACACAGAAAAGACGTTGTGTATACTCAAGCAAATGAACACAAAACTGGTACAATGAATGACTGAATCAGGCAAATGCCGTAACGAACTTAATGTGGTTGTTACGGTGATAAGAAAAAAGGCTAAACTGTCGTATTCGACGATACACCGTACGCATACCAACCATCCTTCCATGTTCTTCAAACTACTGATTAGCGATGCCTCGAGTACTACTGAATCTGCCTCTCAGAGCCAGAAGTCTCAACCGGCGGTACTTATCGCTCTATGGTAACCCTGCGACGCTGTCATCGGCCTTCCTGGGTCCACGCTCGTTCACACTTATAACTGCGTAAGGATCTGTTGGTCTTCCTAGAAGCTTCTTTTATCGATCGACCGGCTTCGCGGAACCCGACAATTCGACCCCTCTTAAAGTCACTTAGCTGGGGCACTCCGCGAATTTTATGCACTCTAGGCATTTTGAACAATCTCAAAAGGCTTCTCAATAAGCTACAAGAAATTTAACATTTAATTGACACCGTAAATGTACGAAAACTGAATGCTTCTTTATCACCAAACAATACACACAGCCACCACAAAACAGAAAAACCTGACCATTATATCACTTGTTGATTATGGCAAGATAAATCGATATGTGAAAAATTCTTGAATTCTATAAATATACATAGGTGTTTACTTTTTTTGTCAATCAGTATATATTTAAAGTAGACATATGTGCTCATATAAAAATACTAAATTAAATTCCAAAAATGCAAAAGTAAAATAAAACATGAATGTTTAAGGTATACATTGTGTTTCACGTTCTATTTTCACCATTGGGATATCGGAATCGGTAAAGAGATCTGAAGTTCTTAACCGATAGCAAATTTGCACAATAAGGTATCTAAGAAAATAGAATGTTTCGCAATTCCGAGTATTTCCGGTTATCGAAAGAAACTGAACTTTTCCAAAATCGTTTTTATTTCTTCCAGTCTTTATTTGAGATGGGATTTCAAATAAAAGTACATTAACATTGCCACTTTCTCTCCTTTACCAGATGACATATACAAAGTGACATATAAATCCGAACAGCCAGTTTAAATGGTTTTATTTTAATAAAAGTTGGTGAATGTATTTATCTTACTGTAAATAACAAGTGAAAAAATTTTCAGCCTTATCAGTTGGACATTCCGGTTTTTATACTGCTTTTTTTTAATTCACTAACGCTCTAAAAATGAATATTTCAGCCGCACTAAAGAATCAACGTTGGCGGATTTTGGTTCTTGACATCCTTTACGATCGGTGACGATGCCTAGAGTACGGAGACCTGTACGATTTCGTCAAACTAGTGAGTTTGATAGGGGCCGTATAGTGGGACTTCGGGAAGCTGGACTTTTCGGGCAATTGCAGTTAGAGTGCAAAGAAGTGTAGACACTGTGGTTAGGTGTTGTCAGGCATGGCTTCGAGAATGCCGTACGCAAAGAGCAAGGGGCACTGGACGCCGCCGTAGAACAACAGACCGTGAAGATCGCCGCCTAAGATTATTGGCCTTAAGGGACCGTTTCTCCACTACCAGGTCCATTGCAAATGAATGGTTTGCAGAACACGGAAGACCTATTGGCATGCAAAGTGTTTACCGACGAATGAGAAGTTTTGGCTTGTTTTCATACCGGCCACACTGGGTCCTCCCTTTAACTCGAGAACACCGACGTAATCGCCTTGAGTGGTGCAGACTACGGTCACTCTGGGATCTGGAATGGAACAGTATTGTCTTTAGTGACGAGTCTCGATTTTGTTTAGGCATGGACGATGGTCGTGCCAGGGTTAGAAGGCGACGTGGTGAAAGGAGGAATCCACAGTTTTTTTGTTGAAAGACATGTTCATCACACTGTTGGAGTTATGGTTTGGGGTGCAATAGCTTATAGTTACAGGTCACCTTTAATCTTCATCAGAGGTAACATGAATGTGCAGCGTTATATCCACGAAGTTCTAGAACCCCATCTTTTACCCTATCTTGACACCCTGGCAGATCCAACTTTCCAACAAGATAATGCCCGACCACATGTTGCAAGAGTCACAATAGACTTCTTTCAACATAATGATGTCACATTGTTACCATGGCCACCAAGATCTCCCGACTTATCCCCAATTGAGCACGTGTGGGATATGATGGGTAGGAGATTGCTCAATTTGCAACGTCCTCCTCAGACTCTAGAAGCACTTCGAGAGGAGTTGATGGTTGCCTGGAATGAGATACCACAGGAGGACATTGACCACCTGATCAGAAGAACTTAGTGATCCACGTAGTCCGGGAGACCATTCATTTGCAATGGTCCTGATAGTGGAGAGACGGTCCTTTAAGGCCAATAATCTTAGGCGGCGGCGTCCAGTGCCCCTTGCCGTTGATTTTTTACTGCGGCTGAAATATTCATTTTTAGAGCGTTAGTGAATTAAAAAAAAGCAGTATAAAAACCGGAATGTCCAACTGATAAGGCTGAAAAATTTTTCACTTGTTATTTACAGTAAGATAAATACATTCACCAACTTTTATTAAAATAAAACCATTTAAACTGGGTGTTCGGATTTATATGTCACTTAGTATATGTAATATTTATTTATATACGTATACAAAGATACAGTTTTAAATAAATTAGGAACAACAAATGAACCCTAGTTCATCGATTTATTTCTTCTTGGAGCATCCAAACCATATTGGACTTGGAGTGGCCGGTCCACCGTGCTCTCCGGATTTGGTACCTTGTGATTTTTCTTCTACGGGGATTTTTAAATTCCCGTGTTTATGTGATACAAGATTTGAAGACCAACGCCAGATATCGGTATACTCACTGTATGAGCAGCGCTTTATGCTAAATAGCAGTAGCCGTGGAATAGCTTTGGAGGACATTCAAACAATACGTTTATTTATCGACTATGCCTCAGCCGTAGATTAATTGTATTTGAATGCAAGATATGTGCATCAATTTAGATATCATGTATTTAGGAAGCTTCAACATAATCGAGGCTTTTACTTACTGCAAAATTGTTCTACCAGTTAGATAAAATAATATTTTTTTTCAATGTTTTCTATGCTACCCTTAAATTAAATGCAAAAGTTTTATCATCAAATTGTTCTTTATTCTATGAGGTAGAATCGACTATAGGAGAAATACTTTTTTTAGATATTTAGTTTTAAAATACCAATCTCCTTGTGATGATACAGAAAATATCATATCATTAAAACCGAAAATATGACTGTTTACCTATTCCTGGTTCATAAAAGTAAAGAAATGCTTGGCTGACGATATTGTGAAACAAATGACTATATGATAATTTCAAGCCCAACTTAGGAAATGTTGTTTTTGACAGCTTTGGAAATGCCAATGGACATGGCTGTACAACATATCCAAAACAATAAAAATATAATAAGAAAAAATACTTGAGGGCAAGAGACGAAGCGTCATATTGAAATTTTAATTATACCACGTTGTAGAGGAGAAACAGTGACAATGTAAATGTACTTTCCATCTCGAATAAAGTCAGGAAAAAACAAAAATGATTTTTAGAAAATTCGGAATCTTTTGTCTATCTCTGGAAATACTGGCAATTGCGAATCTAAGTGCTAGCCTCTTAGTTATCTAACTTATCAACTTTGCCCCATTTAACCGACGTTGTATCTCTTACCGTGTCCGAGATCGCAATGATGAAAATCAAACTTAAGACTCCCAGTGTACCGGTCAAACGATCGCTTGTGAACTTTTGCAACGAAAATGAGACTTCATGATTTTCTTCATTAATTATAAGGAGTTAATATTCTATTTGTACTCTATTTGTTTTGGGTAATACTTGTTACGACAAGTAAACTAACCGTTATCTACCTCAACCAGTCATTTGACCGGATATGGTAGGTTTGGTGTTATATGCAGAAATACAGTTACGATTAACTTGAAATTTCAATTATTTTCAGGCCCGCTTATCCTTTTCAATACACAAGATCTTCAATATAGTAGATTTTTTCTAGAATAAGGAATGCTTACGACTGACTATGTTCAATCGAGGTTGACCTGCTATCCTCTATTATTTGATGTTTACATGCAAGATGACGTCTGTAACTAGATTTCTGATGGAAAGGCCGGAAACAAATGTAACAGCTGAACATGGGCTCCTTCTTACACTCGAAACGACTGTGGCTTTTTAGGTGCTGTTTTCGTTTGTATCTTCTCCCACAAACGCATAAGAATGGTTTTTCATTTGCTAGAAGTAAATAAACTTGATTAACATTATCTAAATAACTTTCACGCTCATGTAGGGAAATTACTACCGAATGATAAGTTATGTGCGCCGAACTACGAGGGTGGGTCAAGCCCTGGCCCCCCTGCAATAACGCTAGATTTAATTGATATTTTTTTTATTTTTCTGCTCAATCACTTTCAACAAAAATGATCTTGTTTAGTCGGAGCTCTAGTGTTTTAGTATCCTCCCGGTGTCCGACTGCTAAAAAACACTCTCCTACCGCAGATACCACCTGTTGCAAACTTGAACATTTCTTTTATCGTAAATGCGTGAGCTGAGCGGTAAAATCGCAGCTGGCCATCAACGTATCTTGTCTGTCAGCGCGTAGCTGAGCAAGTTTGAGTGGACTGGGTGGCGCAGACCGTCTGTTACATTCTAATGACTTTTATTAAATAAATACTACATAATAAATATACATAATACTGGCATCGATAAATATAAAAAATAGTTACTTACTATACTACGCCTAATACTGACACAGAATGATGAATTACACATTAGCAAAAACAATATTGTGTATGCATCGTGTTTCCAAAACATGGAGCAAAAATCGAAGGGGTCATTCCGTGGCCGATTTTGCGACTGTGTCAGTTGATAAATTTCGTCATACGACTCTTTACGAATATACTATAGATAATACTTTTTAGAGAGTGTATAGATTGCAATAAAATGGTATAGACTGACGAACTGTTCCAGAAACATATGGATCGTTGCTTAATGAGTTATATTCTACAGCTCCATACCCTATTCGTAGTCCATTTACGCCTCGGCACAACAAAGATGCAGCGTGGCAAAGCTGCAGCCGCCTAACCGTTGTAATATCTATTGTCCATTCGGCCATAAGACGACGAACAAGTGCAGGATTCGACAGGATAGAACTCAAGATATTCAAAGACGTGTGGGGAACAAAACAGGCTTATGATCTAAGACAATTTCCAACATTGTTAAATAATATAAATAAAAAATTGTCTCCACCACACAAGAGGGTGCATTACACGAAGCTGTTGGATACAGTTGATAATTTTGACCGGAATGCCATCAGACGCAAAGCCCATCAATTTTTTGAAAGGCAGGAACTTCCCTCCATAGACAAAGTATTACAGGAGGTTACTAGTGATTACCTTAACCTACTTTCAAAAAGACCTCATTCTATAGTTTAATCAAAGAAATTCATTTTGAGTATATAAAACGGAGCAGAAGTAGTATTTTGATGGACAGCCAAGAGACTATTTCATGGAGAAGAAGTTATTTAAAATCAATAAAAAAATACCGCGACCAGGGCAGGAAGATTCACGACATACAAAACCTAAAGTATGGGCCGACTCTACAATTATATCAGCAAGACAAGCCTTCTTAGATCGAGTATCCACTGGCCTAAAAAATCTGTCAGGTACGTGTATGTACCGATTCGTCATTTGTGTTGTGAAAATCGTGTCAAGTAGACTGAATCTATGAGCCCACGCTGAAAATTTAGTTACGCTAAACTTAGCTATATCTGGTAGATTTGGAATCAAGACCTGTTAGATACTCTGCTTGTATTAATAATAATAATAATGAAACGTCTTTATTGGGCGAAGTTTAGCATAAGCTATTCTACCACTTAACCCGTAAAATGTCCATCCAAAAAAATATATACCAACCACTAAAATGCACAGTTTCAACATAAAAAAAATAATAAATTGAATGAGAAAAACATACGTAAATCAAGATTGGATAAAAGTATAACATTATAAATACATATTGATGCATATATTATGAGCACAAGTAAGAGATAAATTGATGTTAATGATTGCTCGAAAATTATTTCTCCTAAATAATTTTTAAAATTCTTGAAATTTAAAGTTTTAGAATCAGGGGGTAAAGCATGACAGTAGCATTATAAGTAAAACATTTAGTAAAAAATAAAATTCTTTGAGGAGCAATTGTTATTGTATCAATAAAGCAAATATCTCGTGAGTGCATAGAACCACGAAATTTTAGCTTATCTTTCAAAAATGGGGGAATTGAGGTAAGTAAAAGCTTGTGAATATAACACAGTAAATGCAATTTGTATTATTATTAGTTTTCTTGAATACATTTATGAAATAATTATTTCTAGGAAAAGAAAAACGATTTGTAATTTGTCACATTGGCAGTGAAGATGGCTTTATGCCCACTGCACTATGGACAATTGAGTCAAAGAAAACGACCGACTACCATGGTGCAATGGACGGGAGTTTATTTGAACGATGGTTTGAAGAAACGCTCCCAAAGCTGGACGACAATGCCGAATAAAGAATTGTGTATGTGCACTTCTTTCTATAAGAACAAAAATTTATTTTTTCAGATTATTCTAACACCATTGAAGAAAATACGTACCTATACAATCTCGCTTTTGGGCATGTTTGGGCATAAATGGACTACGAATGGGATATAGTGTTTGTTCCCTATGGGAAGATATTAATTTTCAACTCCCGACGCGATATCGAGGGGTGTTATAGATTTAATCTGTATCTGTGTATATCTGTTCATCTATCTGTACCCGTATATGTTAGAATTTAAAAAGAATCAGCGTGAGATTCACTTGATGTTTGAGTTTTTTGTAATTCGTCCAGGAAACGACTTAGCTTTGCAAATGATTCTTGATAATGGAAATTCACTTATATTCACACTTATAAACTTATAAATTGGTATTCATCACAATCGCCCAAGAACAAAACAGTCTAAATTTTTGGTCTACGGTTTGGAAACGCCTTAGATAAAGAGATTCAGGCCAACGGATCTTGACATGGCTTTATGGCAACACATATAGCAAACATTTAAGATTCAATAGTACGGGAGTTGATTCATATGCTCCGATCATAATCCACTTGCAATAAAGCTATATTCAATTCATGTTTTTTGTTGTTCTACACGATTTCTTCTAGAATCAGCACAATTTTTCAATCGTTGTTCCAGCTTCACGGTAAAAATTGTATCCTCATCGTCAGACATCACCTTTCTCATTTTTTCTCGAAATACAAATTTTAGAAACAATCTGAAATTACTGGTAGCCAGATCTGGACTTTAGTTTAACGTCATCAAATAAGCATCGTCAAAGTGATCGAGGTGGAGCAAATGGATCAAACCTTGTATCTTTAATAAGCCCGAAGCGCACAATCAAGCGGTGTCAATACATTTAGAAAACGATGAAAATAATATTAAGGCAATGAAAATTGTTTTAACAAATTCTAACGAAGAAATAGTTACACAAATAAGCATACTGAGGACGTTTTCGCTTTTGACTTGAAGAATCCTCAAAATATTCAAAGCCTTTCATATTCGGTTCAGTCTTCAGTCAGTCTAAAAGACCCTTACAAGGATAGGTCCACGCATTTCTCAACGAAATGAGTAACGAATAACAATGCTACATGAAGTGATGATGAAGCACTGATTTGCTGAGTTAGCCACTTTTTATTAAAGAACGACTACTCAATCACCATCTGTAGCAGGCGCATACATTCATCAACAAACTATGATTTTCCTAAAAATATGTTCGAGGTATCCTCTTTTATCCTCTTTTCCTTCCTCATCAGAAACTCCAACATTATTTTCTGCTAATCTCCATCAACGATCGAAATGCATGTCTTGAATGATACCAATGTTATGTTTGAAAAGAAGATGCCTCTTGTAGCTAGACTTGATTTTGAAGTATCTCAAACAGATGCGACATCTAAACATCGGCTCCTTTTGACACTCGAAACGGACATGACTGGTCAAATTTCCCTTCGTTTTGTATCTTCTTCCACACGTGTCGCAAGGATAAAGTTTTTCTGAAATTTATTTTTTATTGTTCAGTCTTAGAACTAAAATGTATATACTTTTTCCTGGAATGGTCATCAAAGCATGCACTACAGGTTTCACGAACTACATAAAAGTTTTCTGCAGTAATATTGAAAAACATATTCTTGTCGACTGCTCTTCAAACAGCTTTATTCTGCTAGTAAGCATAAAACCATTGGAATGCTTTGTTACTGTGAATAATGTTTACACAAAAAATGTAAAGTGAAGGTTTGTGAATATTCTCATTTCCTTCTTCTGTATTAGCATCCGATGATGCAGTACTTTATCAGATTTTGTGTAAAGACGCAGCATGTTGAACCTATTTTATTATATTACACATACAAACTAAAGGCCGTACAGTTAATCATAGAAACATATCTTTGGTATTCGATAGAGGTCTGATATACTCTTATGAACTAGATAATGAGATCTGTATCACAATTACTATACTGTACAGTGTATTTCACACCAGTACATATTTTTTGAGCCGGTCAAGTTAGCAAAGTGAAAATCGAGGTGATAAAAGTGATGTATGACTCGGTGCTGAAGTAACGAAAGTACAGCTATGTACCGCTGATGATAGTTTGACACATAGTTGCAGAAAGTAGTAAGGGTAAAAGTACCGTATTGATTCCCGACCGTTACTATATTAACATCACTAATGTAATAAAATATGGAAAATAATGAAAAATTGCCCAAAGTATGCCAGTTTTTGAAACGGAGTCTCGTACATACAAGTTTTCAAGTTGAGTCATTTATTTTAACAGCTTGTAGAACTCGTCAAAAGAAGTTGATATACCAAAAAACACCTATATAAAAGTTATATAATAAGAGAGTTAATTTAAGCTTCGAAAATAAAATATTGGTATCCACGAGTTAAATCAGAATCATGTTCAGTGCGCTGTTGAAGTTCTTTCAAAGTATTTACTGCTCCGTCCGCAAGACGTTAAATCCGGGGAGCGAGCAGGTCAAGAAATGGGTCCATTGCGCCCTATCCATCTATTCGGAAACCCATTACTTAGATGTTCATGAACTTACTGTCTAAAATGTGGTGGAGCCCCATCATGTGGGATCACATATTCTGACTCACATTTAGAGGAACATCTTCTAGTATTTGTAGTTAATAATTGTGGCAGATTGTGTAGAAGAAAATCTAAATTTCACCGGTCAGTCGAAGTGGAAAAAGGTACGGTCCAATAGGCATATCATTTACTACGCCAGCCGAAACATTTAATGAAAATCTATGTTGAAAATGAGTTCTTTTTACAGCATGCGAATTTTCTATTGCCCAAATATGCCTGTTGTGGAAATGGATAAGGATAATAATGTTCTAGTGTCTTCCTCAATTTGTAACATTTCAGGCTGAGCAGTTCTTCCAGCGTCTTCCTCCTCGTTGTTCTTTTAAATATCCTGTGTCACGAAATCTAATAACTAAATTTACAAACATCCGTGGTGCCGGATGATTTCTTAAAGGAAACCTTACCGCATACAACCTGCATGCTGCTGCCGCATTTGGTTGGCACTCTCCGTATGTTAGTATTATGTCCACTAGTTCATTGTTTTCGTAAGCATGGGCCATTTTTTCGCACAAAATAACGAGACAAATGAAACTATAGGCGCTATATTAAGACTAATACAACTGATCGAACCGAAGACTCTGATACTGAAAACCATACAATAACACAAAAAAATTGCCAAATTTAGATAAACGATAAGGGTAGTAAACAAGAAACGCTAAGATTTTACACGGCAGTGGTCGAAAATATCACATTTTTATTATTTTAAATTTTGAATATTGGAACAGGTAGCGAGCTCGCGAAATTTACCAATTAAAGCGTTCCGAAGTATAATCAATTTGTGGCTCCTACTACAAAGTATTGACCACGACCCAGAACGCATCGTGAGTAGAAGTATTTTCCATATATCACAGATATAGCATATAAATTAGACGAATTAACATCAGCAGCGAAGATACATTCCGATCATCCAAACAAAAAGTCACCAAAATCGGCAGGCCAAACAAGACCGTACACAGCAATGAGATTTCGCCAAGCAGAAATAAAACCATAACAGCAATGGCAAAAACTCCACTTAATCGACCCACACGCTGCTCCACTATGTTATTAACATATGACCACCCAAACAAAGAACAAGCTATAATTTTTAACTCCATAGATGGAGCAAAAATACAGGATTACTTACTACAGTTAGGTCCTATCGTAGATCCGAAGAACATTTTGTTCTGCTCTAGATTATCAAACAATAGGATTTGCATATACTTATCAGCAAAAGACCTCGTGAATCGCTTCCTGGAGAACCCAGGCGAAATTGTTGTACTAGGAGAAACAATTAAGGTTCGAAAACTGGTGACACCATCAGATAGGTTGGTGTTATCGAACGTGTGTCCAGCAATCTCACATACAGTTTTAAAAGAGCAAATCCTACAGCTAGGTTTTACACTACTATCTCCTATATCATTTTTGAGAACTGGAGCACCCATACCAGAATACAGTCACATACTGAGCTTCAGGAGGCAAGTGTATATTGCGCCGCTAGAATCGAACGAAGTACATGAGTCAATCGAAATCAATTACGATGGTCTGTCATACCGCATTTTTCTGTCACTGGACAGCCAGATGTGCTTTAAATGCAAACTAGCTGGTCATATCGCTTCACATTGCCCATCTGCATCCAACACAACATCTACAAGTAACAGTAACAGACAGGATAAGCAACAAAAAACGCTTGCCAGACAATCTCACCAAAACAACGAACATGCGTCCAAAGAAACCACAACTTCCTTCGCAATATCTCGACCTAACGATGAAGCAAAATCACAAGAAACTCTCAACAAGCAACACAAGAAGCATCTAACGCAGCATTCACCAATAGTCAGACACCCACAATAGAAAAAACATGCCACAACGATACTTGACCAACGTATCAAACACTCCGCCATGGACCATTCAGTTTCCAATGGTAAATACCTGGCTAACGAAACTAGACAAAAACAAAGTACCAAATGAAGTAATCAAACAACATTTCCACGAGATTCTCGTAAAATATCCTGACCACAATCAAATATACACAGATGCCTCAAAACAAGGATCAAACTGTGGAGCAGCCATTGTCACACCAACCAGTACCAATGCCCTGAAGGCTCCAGGTGCTGCTACAGTTTTAACAGGAGAACTGCATACAATCCTAGGAGCCCTGAAACACATCAAAAGTAATCCTGTCCAGAAATGGATAATAGTAACAGATTCGCTCAGCTCACTATCTGCTATCAACAAATTATATACCAAAAACCCTTTAGCCATAATAATACAAGAAACTATATCCAATCTTATCAGCAATAATCAACGTATAATATTTATATGGGCTCCATCACACATAGGCATAGCAGGAAACAAGTGCAAAGGCAACAGCAATGAGTAACCGTACAAGTAATCTACAAATACGAGCATCAGACCTAAATCAATATACAGGGTGACTTCGAAGTTGAGTCATTTATTTTAACAGTGAGTAGATCTGATCAAAAGAAATGTTTTTTTCCTTTACCATTTTCCTGGTAAAATTAAAGTAACAAAGTTATAGCCCTTTGGAAGTTTGAGTACCGCCCTGTCTCAATAACAATATTATGTGGTCGTGTTTGGCGACAATGGATATAATCCGCCGTATCGGTTCATCGCATCGGAAACAAAAAAGCGAAAGAATTTGGAACGATGTTTTTACAGGTATCTCATTCATTTGTATACAGTTAGTGTCAGTGAATAGTTGTATGTGTTGCGTGGCTCAAACGAAATAAAAAATGGCACATGTTTATGCGGATCGGTTTCCCAATCGAGTGCAACCAACCCCTCGTGCCTTTGTTAATGTAGTACAACGGGCTTGTGAATCAGGTGACTTAAGACCTCACAGGGGACCTCACGATCAAATACAGGTCCGCACTGAAATACTTGTCGGGAGGACACTTTATAAAACAAGGTAAAAATTTTTTTTTATTTTTTTTTTATTTTTACACACATATTTTGGTTTATCTTCCTTCTACAATCATTATCTGAAAATTAATGACTCAACTTCAAAGTCACCCTGTATAAAACAAGACATGACAGACCCATGTAATAGTGTGTGGGAAAAAAAGCTTTCTAAAATGCGTGAGCTGAAATCAAAATTCGGAGAATGGCAGACAGTTACAGAAGACAGAAGCATACAAACAGCCCTAACACGACTTCGCTTAGGCCACACCAGGATAACCCATGGTTACCTCATCACCCAGCAACCTGAACCAGTGTGTGCTTTGTGTGAAACCAGGTTAACAGTGAAACATATACTAGTGGAGTGCGAAGTCTACGAGCATCAAAGACAACAATCTAATTTAAGTAGGAAAAATCTAAAACATATCCTTGGAACAAGCTGCAACATCCAAAATCTAATCGATTTCTTACATAACTGTAACATGCTTCGTCAACTGTAATATGATACCAATACCGCTGCTAATAGCCAGTTGGCTGATGCAGCTTAATATAAAAAATGTGTTTTTGAATATTTCTATTATGCCACTTTTATATAGGTAATTTTTGATAAATCAACTCCTTTTGACGAGTCCTACAAGCAGTTAAAATAAATGACTCAACTTGAAAAAGACCCTGTAGAATTTCACAGATATACCGTTCCAAAAGACTTACAAGTTAATATGAAACATTGGTTTATTCAAGAAAAAAATCTCAGTATTGGTGAAAGGTAAATCCAGGAGCATAATACATGATTACAAAGAAGGCAAAACACTATACGTGCCACTTTTCACAACACAAGTGACGTCACCGTTCTGTGAATAATTATAATGATGCCCTACTTCATTATATTTTATTTATTTATACCGTATCTCATGTACGATGGAGACTTCAATTTCAATTTGGCTTTAATTTTATTCCACTCTGCGCTTGATATATCCTTAGCTTTATTGTTCACAACGCAAATTGATGTACGCTTTCAACCTGTTAATAGTGTACACATATACATACATATGCAAGTCTTTATAACAGTTTAGTTCAATATGCCTTTGTAATGTACGAGTTGCGTTCTAATATGTTAAGTTTTTTTTTGATTCATGTTATTTATTTAAAGTTTTGTAGTTTCTACCAGTGATTCTGTAACACCAAAGTATGTCAGTCCGTGAGTGTAGAAGCAGTACACTAGCAAATATTTGATAAACTTTATTTATATCTGCGGATAAATGGGATGGCCTCACACAAGATTTTTCTTTCGTGGCATTACTCTTATTTGTCATTTAAAAGAAGAAGGATCTTATCAAAATTGATAGTGTTTTGAAGATTAGTTGTTGAATTATAAGTGATTCAATGTACAAAATGCCCAACTATTGCTTCAACTGTCACTTTTCCGTTAAAATATAGTATTGCATGCATGAATTTTATCACACAGAATTTCAGCTCGCTGACTTGCCTTGTTCAAAAAATCACTACATCACGTTCCGCTAGATTTGGTAATGGATATACTCAGATCAATTCACAAAATGAGAAGAGTTTGAAACATTCAATCTCCTCAGGGCATATTCTTCTCGGAAAAGTAATGCCTAAATGAAAGCTGTCACCTAATAAAGCTTTGTCGATAAAACCATGTTATCAGTAATAGAGAAGGGGTTCATACTTGATTGAATCAACCAAGGTTTATACACGGATTGATTTTGCTCAACATAGTGTACATGTAAGATACAATTATTCTTTTTTCACATTAAATTATCCGACTGAAATTTATCCATGAGTTTACAAATCCGTAAAGGAGCATAGAGAGTAAGTTTGTTCAGTCCTAGCTCAAAAAGTTTCTTAAGATAAGTAAATAACGCAATGGTGCAAACGCGTACATTATAAGCAGTGTCCTTAAGATTTAGACGATTTTAAACCACAGGGTGTTTCCAGAATGGCATGCCAATCTCTAGTATGTGTTTAGATCGCAAAAAATAGCACAGTTAGTTTTTCTGTAATAACTTTTTACTGCTCAATGACTAGTTGGATCCTCATATGGTAGTGTTCATGGAGAATAATTCACACATTCTTGGAAAACCTTATCTTTAAGCTTAGAAAGACAAGCTATATTCAACATCGTTCGGTGTACTGTTGTCACTCTTATACAGTTCTATTAACTATGACACCGGACTCAGTATATTAGTTACGCCCTCTTGGAAAACCTGATAACAGATTCATAATTAGCGATATTTAACCATACTTTGTGGGGGCTGCTGGCAGCAGTGTAAGTTGATAGTAATCATATTGAGACAAGACTACTTTTGGCGTCAAGTAAGTTGGCTCTGTACTTCCAACGCAAGTTAGCCCTTCTGATAAAACAATTTGATACGAATATGTATAACAAAACATTTAATGACCTTCCTAAACCTGAGGGAAATTCCTGCAGGCGCACATGCCAATCCCGCGTGAATGATGACCTTCACCATTCACAGTCGACACATCCAGCGGGGGACCACGTCACACGCATTGACACGCGACTGTTGGAGATGTTTCTAGGTTTTATAGGTAAATGTACGGGGGCATCTATGGTGAGTGAAAAGCTTTTTCGTCTTTGGCATAGTAGTAACATTGTGTCAAAATTTCATCAAGATCCTAGCTGCTTTTTCCAAGGATCAGCCAGACAGACAGTCAGACAGACCTACGGCAATATGTCACATGGTTTTTCGTGATCTACATATCACATAACATCCAAGAAACATAACATCTCACTACCGTCTTTTTTAGCGATTACAATACTTCCTCGCCAGTAGGCGTGGGAAGTGAATACGGCTCATTTTATTTATATATTTAATCAAACAGGAGTAACTTTTTACAGCTATGGTATTAGGCTTTTCAAGATATTATTTTTGGGCAAGTATCAATATTACAGGATGTAGAAAATATCAGCAATGTTAGCACTAGGGCTAGTCTGTGCGTGGCGATCTAAATGAATCCATTGTTTCCATGTAATACTACAACTGGTTAGTAAGCTGACAAGGTTTCACCAAATTATACAGAGTAGTTTAAAAATTAAGAATGCTCAATTTCCAGTATCGTCCTTTAGGGGCTTGTATCCTCGTAGGAAATTATGAAGGATGTCAAAATCAATTAATGGCAACACTGTCCACGTAGCATCTCTAGGCCCCCCACATACAGTAGTGTTTCTGGGTTCTGTGAACAAACTTCTGTCATGTATGTGAAAAGTATCAGTTGAATTAATAATGTCAACAATAAAACTCTTTTACTTAAACAATAATTAATCGAGATTATTTGCTCTGCTTCATCAGATGACCTCGTATGACATTTCTTTGTAACTTGTGGCATTACTTTTTTATAATGTATATGCATACGAGAGATTGAGTTGTTATTCTCGGACACCCTGTAGAGTCATATTAAAAATATATATTTGAAGGTACGTGAGTCCATCCGTATATCCCAAATGTATTTTTTATTTAGCTTTATCGAGAGGTATAGAATAAGAAGCGTTAAACTTAGTAGGAACCTAATTTTCGGGAGTTACACATATCAGTAGGTTTGTGAAGATTGTTTCAAGTGTGTCATAGTGTGCATGTGCAACTGCGACTTATATCTAAACGCTCTACTGCAGATGTTGCAGACAAACTGCGGATCCACACCGCACTCGTATTTCAGATGTCTCCATAGGTTTCTCTTGTGTTTGTACGTCTTCTTGCAAGCTGGACATTCTGGTATGCGTCCTACAACAATTTATCAGTTACGATACTTTTATGTATGATCCACTTGAAAAGAATCTCTAGTAAAAATACTGGCTACCACCCTACAAAGTTCAACATATGTTTAAAATATTCTTCCAACTACCAACACATTGCTTTGGGTACTGTATAGAAAGGTCGAAAATTGTACCAATGAATGCAACATTCCGCATATAAATAATTGTAACAGATAGATCAAGAAGGAATTATCTAATGCAAAAACTCGGAATTAAACACTTAAAAATCAAAATTCAGACTATTAGAAAATATAGAGAATTTTGGCAGTAATCATCCCCAAGGTCCAGAACAGTTTCATAACTTGATTTTATTGATCAAATAATGTCATTGTTAAGGACAGTTGACAGCTTATGAAAAATATCTACTGCCCAGTTACACTGTCTTTCTGAAATCTACCGCTTAGCAAAGTATCTTGAGTTCGACCTCAAATTGTGTTTCTGTTGCGCCGCCCAGATTTGCTGAAAAATTAGTCAAAATAAAGTTATATATAGTAGGAGTCCACATATAGAAACTTTATAGGGCAGTTACGTCAGTGTTTTTAAACAAGCCGTCCTTGGTAGTTGATGCACTCGATATCCTTACAAATTATAGGGGAATTCCAGCTGCCATGAGTTAGCCTCAATGTGATATAACCGTTATTTCGATGTAATGCAAAAACAAGAAACGCCCTATCGCTCATCCGGATTTGATGAATGGCAGAACTGTATCAAAGAGCCGTTTATTTCTGTTATTCTGAGATCACCAAGGATTGGATCTGTCACAAAAACAACTGGCCAATCGCGCTGCTGGGAAAGAGTTGGGTTACTTGTTTTTAGGCTAAGAAGTAATTTTCCCCACTTCTTCAGTCTGTATCAGGCCCAGATAAGACCTAGCCTCGCGTACTGCTCATATGTTTGGGGTGCTGCCGCCGCGACTAGATTATCCATGCTCGATGCCGTTCAGAGAAAAGATGTCCGACTGATCGATGACTCTTCTTTAACAGACAGTATCGGCACACTTTCGCACCAACGGGCTATCTATCGCTATCGACAATCTATGCTCCTCGGAAGTCTCGATGCCACCGGGCGATGAGTCTGCCAGATAGACCTGCAATACTTCGGCCTCCCATCCTAACCGTGTCGAACTTCTTACATCCAGAACTTTCCGGTATGATAGCTCCTTTGTCGCTAGGGGTGTCAAGATTGTGGAACAATCTGCCCGAGGCTTTTACCGGATCTAACAACAGTTGAATTAGCAAACGGTCTTTGAATCCTTAATAGCAGTCGCGGCATCTCCAGTATAAAACAAATCTGGCGACGCCTCTCACACACATCGGATATGTTTCGTCAATTTCACCAACTTTTGCGATATCTGTGCTCATATTTCAGTTAATATTTAGAAACAGTAATTTGAGATCTTCGATTGCAAAGTTATCATAGCCAATGTCCATCTTCACCATCGCCATCAGAACCCTTGGACTTAGCTCATCTGCCTCTTAAAGCTCCACTCAAGTTTTAAGTGTATCTTGTACAACAAAAACATCGAAATAAAGGATAAGCTCAGCTGACATTAGCAAAGCGGTGCAACCGGGCGACGGGCTGTAGGTTTCATGTAGAATCAATGTGTCAATCAAACGTTTGACTCATACAGTTACCATCACAGAGAGCACCTACCATGTCCATCAGTTTGCCAAAGAAAAAACATATTTCTATCATCGTTTTAATAATCTTTGGCATACGATATATAAACAGAATAAAACTATATTTGGTACGAAAATCACAATACGAATATTTAGTATGGCACTACAAATAAAACTTGTAAGCATACGATCTATATATGATATCGATAAATAATTTCAAATTCCGCTTTACGTTCCTGATGAATTTTGGAAACGTGAAGTTTGATATCGTATTTTTGTCTGGTAGTTTTTGGACAGTAAGGACACTTGAATTGATTTTGTTTTCCACATTCGTAACGTAGATGTCGAGATAGCGTTGATTTTTGGACGTAATGCTTTCCACATTTAGGGCAAGTGAACCTGCCAATCCCTGAAAATTAAAATTTTAGTATATAAGATGCCCACCGAGTTTGACGAAAGTCGGCATACAAGGGACATCGACCATCTCAGGTTCACACAGAATTAAAAAATTGTCGCAAGTCAGTAAATGTTGAAGAACTTTTGGGCGATATTATTTTCAATGTTACACATCCACTGTTTCATTTATTACACTGTTACAAGTTATATCACTGTATAGGTGTTTGCGGTTCTCACGAAGTACAAACTAACTTCATTTTTAATACTCAGTTAGTGAATTCCATTAAATTAAAAAACAGCTGACATCTTCGCTTCGACAGCAGCGCTATATTTCAGCATCAAAGTGATACTTGAAAATTTCAAGATGCCGGATGGGTGCCATTTCTAAACATTTATTAAAATTTAATGGTAGTCATGGAACAAACAAATTATAGAAGTTGTTTTTGTCAAAAATCTGTCATTTGATGGTTCGTTGTCGAGTGATTTAATGTACAAAAACGCTCAAATTTTACAGCCTGTCAGTCCGGCATTTTGGTAGATAGTGATTTTGTATTCCGGGGTTGTAAAGTGTTTGTAAAGTAAAATGTAATTACGACTCTTACGTAAATCTAACTGTGTATAAAATTTTATTCAAATCAAATCATTTTTACTGGATATTTTTTTTTTGTTGTCATGGAGTATATTACGTCCTGCATTTAGAAAATGTCAGGTATGTCAACAAAACAATAAGCATGACTCACCCCATGTCATAATATATCAGGAAGATTGAGTGGCCTACCCGTATATTATTCAACCGTTCTAAAACCTCAAAAACCAAACACTACAATGCAATTTGTTGTAAACGAATAAATAATACCCCGGTACTTATTCAGTACTTTATTAAAGGTTTTTAAAGTCGTGCACAAAGTTTGTATTTTGAATTGGTCATAAAATACATTTCTTATAGAATAAACGATTTAGTCAAGCGCTGGTAACAATCTTGTGAAGAGAACATCTTAAACATTCATTATAAAATCACGATATAATAAAACTGATTAGTTCTATCTGTAACAAATAGAGCCGCAGATTCAAGACACCATAAAATATGATGACAATCATTTGCAGTGGAGATGATATGAACAGTGTTCTAGATTGTAGAGGCTCTTACTTGGTGAAACTCTTGCATCATCTGATCGAATAGTACAATTTATTGTACGACTTTCACAGTAAAGTATGTCAGTCGTGACATGCCTCGCTATGCCGGCGCTTCAGATAAAACAAAACGCGGTAAGAGTTCCAATGTGACTTACTGTAAAACTTGTACAGTGAATTGTAATATTCGATTACAATGAAAACTTTTTGAGCCGGCAAAAACGATGTTCAAAATATGAATGACCCATTCCACAGCATCGACATCAAGACAACGGCGATCAGCATGATCCTTTTTAAGATTTGCATGCATATACAGCTTTAGCTAACTGTATTTATACTGTATTTTGAGATCACAGCTCTTGAATATCTCTTCAAACTCCTCGACTTTTTCTTTATGCAGTTTCCGGACATGTTTCTTAATATCGTACTTTTGCCTGAAAGACTTGTAGCAATAGATGCATTGAAAACTGTTTGGTCTACTACATTCGTGCTTCTTATGTCTCCAGAAAGAGGAATATGCATGGTATGATTTTGTGCAAACGTCACAGGCGTATTGACCTAAAATAAAATCAATATATTAACTAATTGTGAATCAAGGTATCAAATAGTGAAATCTATCAGACTAGTATGTATAAAATATTTAAAAAACTAAAAAAGTAATCAAACGGATTAGCCGTCAGCAATCTGTTTAAATTGTGAACATAGGAACACTGAATATCTAACATATATTTGATGAAATGTTCTAGAGAAAAAAAATGCTCCAATGACTATAATAAGAGACTAGAACCATTCCCGACTGAAAATAACAAAATTTACCGTGTAACATTTTTATATTTTTGTCCCCTCTAAACTTTAACAGTGAAAAATAAAATCTTGAATTTCAAAACTATACGATTATTACTTACCTGGTAATGACGCTTGAAAAGTAGGAACAATTAAATATTTCAGAAATCCTTAGAGTAGTTTTTTTGCTACAAGTTTTATGAGATCGATCGATCAATGAACAAAACATATTTCATGTGTGTAAAATATATTCAAACAAAATAGAGATAATTGAAACATTTACACATATACATAATTTATGCCGACCCCTCACAAAGGCTATCTGTACCCAAGTTAGATCATAACACTACGATAGGTAATTGATAAATAGTCGTAGATAAATAGTAAAGCATTTAAATATAACAAATAATATTTGTTCATTACAGTAAAATTATACATTCTATATTGCCGCACATTGGTCCTCCGACAACAATATCTATATCAAATGTTCTGGGTATATAAATATATATTTTTCTAAAAATAATTTAAGGTTTATAAATTACGTTTTATGTCGACTATAAGGTCACTTGGCAGAACAAAATAACATTGTAACAGTTTTGTAGAATTATCTAAGATATTCAACAATATATTCGATTTTAATTTAATTTAAATAGCAATAAAATAAAGACTGGTCATCAACGTTAAATGAAGAAAAATCTACAAATATGTTCTTGAAATTGATGACCATTCAACTTTGGAAGCTGCATCTAATTTCATTAGTATTCAGTCTTCATATATAAATAAAAATTTGATAAAATATTGTTAGTATACATAACCTCACATATATATATAATAACTAAAAATATGTATCTGCTATAATATATATATATATATATATATATAATTTGTATATAAAGTATTGCACATGTTTGCACAACATACTCAGTCAAAATTTCATTAGTACTATAAAAACATTTTGGATTTTTGGGAGCAACTCCAGTACGAATAGGTGAACAACAAAAAGTAACATAGAATATAACAGTAAATATTATCTTAGGTTGAACCTAGAAAACAACTTCAACAATCTGCAGGGGAAGATAGATCATAGCACCACATTATTTATTTATCTGTAGTGTATGGACCAGCGATTAAGCTACAGTTCACTTGGCGGGTTGTCAGGAACGACCACGCACAGTGCAAGAGTTCTCAAATTAACAATAAATGTAATAGTATTATTACCAAAATGCAATAATATTTGACCTTTACTTAGGTTTGGAAATAGTTCAGATATCTTCCACTGCAGAATCAGTACGAATTCTATATTATAGTAATACTTCTCTAATAATATCTGGGATAAATTCGTGTAGACACAGGAACAGTTTTTTTCCAGAAAGGAAAACATATACGTATCAAGTACAGATAGTGATTAGCCATCTCACGCTATAGCATATAACGACACAGATAAGCTGATACAAATAAATGGAGCACATGAAGTGTCTGGTATTTCTTTGCTATACATATTATGAGACTTTAATAAGTATGTTTATGTAGCAATATACAAGTATAAAAATAATGAAATTTTTCATTTTCATTAATGGCTAAAAAGCTTGAAGCAGGACATTATGATAGTGATACATATACAGGGTGGTCCATAAGTCATTTGATATTTCAAATTTGAATGAAACTTTACGGGTGAGTGTGAGCGGCGCGGGCGAGGTGGGGGCAGTATCTTCAGTGTCTGGGAATTCAGTCGCCATGGAGTGTTTCACTGGAGCTGATCGTGCTTTTTGTGTGCGCGCGTTTTATCAAAATAATGATTCGGCAACCATTGCGCGGCGTAAATATCGAGAATACCACAATTTACACAATTTTACAAAGTGTCCAACAGCTCAAACGATTAAGAACTGGGTTGCTAAGTTCGAAGAGACTGGTTCGACGTTAGATAAACAGCGGTGGGCTCGACCAAGGATAACTCGTATTGAAGAAAACATCAGCATTGTGGCACAGTCTGTTCGTCAAAATCCTACCCAGTCTACTCGTAAGCGTTCCAGTGCACTAAACGTACCCAGAACATCTTTACAGCGGATTTTAAGGAAAGATTTACGTCTGCACGCTTACAAAATTCAGTTAGTGCAGGAATTAAAAGATAATGACGCTATTCAGAGACTAAACTTTGCGAATCAAATGTTGAATCGATTTTCTTCGCTCAATAATGTGTTGTTCTCGGACGAGGCTCACTTCCATTTAAACGGGCATGTAAATAAACAAAATTGCCGTTATTGGAGCCCCGAAAATCCAAGGCGTAAGCATCAGAAGCCCTTACACAGCCCTAAAGTTACAGTTTGGGCTGCTATGTCAGCGCATGGCATCGTAGGCCCTTATTTTTTTGAGGACGACAGAGGTCGCGCATTAACTGTTACTTCGGAGCGGTATGTAGCAATGATAGAAGAGTTTTTGACACCAGCGTTGCAGAATTTTCCAGGCTATAATACGCAGACCTGGTTTCAACAGGACGGAGCAACTGCCCACACCTCCAACACTTCTATGCCCGTCGTCTGTCAACTTTTTCCCAGCAAAGTAATTTCTCGAAGAGGAGACATTTCCTGGCCACCACGTAGTCCAGATTTGACCCCAATGGACTTCTTTTTATGGGGCTACCTCAAGAGTAAAGTGTACGACACCACTCCGCGATCAGTTGATGTCCTGAAAGAAAATATCCGAAGAGAAATGGCAAGCATTACAGTGTTGACTTGCCGCGCAGTCATCGACAATTTTAGACGTCGTTTATATGAGTGCCGTGATCGTAATGGATTGCATTTAGACGATGTGATTTTTAAAACATAATTCCCATTCAATAAAGATGATAACAAAATATAACAATTCTTCATAATGTAACTAGTTTGGTTTTATTCCTTTTTTTCCAGCTCAAAGGACTTATGGGCCACCCTGTATATAAAAGAACTATATTATACTGAGTATCACACATATGGAAAATGTTTCCAACTGAATAGATCTTAATCTTCATTTCTCAGAAATATATGCATGTACCTACACGAATTAAGAACCTTTACGTTTGACTAGGAGGTGCTGAACCATTTGGATTGTCCTCATGATGCTTGCGAATGTGTACTTTCAGGTTGCCCTTTTGTTTTGCTTTGTACGGACAGTGTGGACACACGAATTTGGGCTCTTTGTCCCCGCATTCGTCTTCTTCGTGTCTCCTCATGGTAGACTTCCATTTGTATCGCTTGCCACAATACCTACAAATATGTCATTTATTTAATACGTGAAAAATTGAGGAGGATGTGTCTTTAATTTGTATAGTTTCGCAGTTTTTTTTTATTACGTTTAACAAGAATAAAGGTTATTTAGTTCACAGAGTAGTAGCTTCAACTTATAATAAGATAATGACAATCTGATGAAAAATGTATCTGGTTTACGACATTTTAGAACCTGAAAGAAAGAACATACCTGCAAGCAAACTCAGAGTTCGGGCTATATCCAGAGCGAACCATATTACTCGTCAGGTACTTGAATTTTCTAATTTGTTTGATATTTGGACCTATCATCTTGGACGCATTGTTCATCCGGGCAGCCAATATTGCTTCCAGGGTTGAGGGTACCAGGATTTGGTCGAACTCCAAGTATTCTAAAAATAGACCTGTTAATAAACACAAAACAAAATGATCAATCAACTTAAAATTTATTTGAATCAACTTGGATGGGCACCAAGAAATTCGTGGTAAAATGTACATTGTGAAAGGGGATGCCTTCGTTGTGATTTACTTCAACTAGAAGAGCACTGGTTTTTATACCTTATTTCTTTCTTCAGAGAAATAAGTTTCATAAAATGAGAAACACATTGAAACAAACAAGATCGTCCATAAAAACGTTCGCTCACAGTAAACATACGATAATTTAATTGCAGTGTTTTCCATCACTTTTCAAGTAGTTATAATTTATTTTTATTTAAATAATGATAGCATTCAAGTACTGAGACGTCACAAATATGCTCCTCATATTTTTTCTGTCTAGATCTTTTGAAACGGATTCACTTTGTTCTATCGTCTGATGAGATGGGATGTATTTAATATCACAATATTTCATTCATTTCACGATTCCTTAAACTAAAAAAAAAACAAGTGCCGTTGACAGTTGATATGCTAAGCCAATATACAGTTGAACATCAGTCTTCAGCAGAAGGTTTCACAGGAGCCTACAACTATTTCGGGGATGCGATTGGTTAAAGTGGAACTATTGAATATTGAAAGGTTGACTCATCAAAATGTTTTACCTAATTCGTGAAGTAATTGCCTATAATACCAATGTATATATTTCACAAGTTCAACAGACGTATAAATAAATAACTTAAGTAGGTACTGCCATCACAATATTCTCCCTCAACCTCAATTTATCATTAAGCTCTATTAAGTGTCTTCTGACCAGGTGCCTTTTGACATCGTGCTTTCTCTTATAAGACCGTCCACATAATTTGCACTTAAACTTCGTTCCACCATTGCAGTCGTAAAGTGCATGTATTCGGAAGGATTCTTTGCGAGAGTACTCTTTTCCGCAAGTACCACAAACAAAGTCTGAAATGAAAAGCTTAATCGATAATAGTGAAGTGCTTGGTGAAAGTACAGCTCTCGGTAGCTAAAACATGAAACATTCAAGTCGACATAGCTAGAAAAACATATAAATGCCTCATCGTAGCGTATTTTTGCCGGTGCTGGCATGGTTTGTGCAATAGAAGAGATGTCAGCAGAAGATACCCGTGCGTTTGGACGACAGCAAAAAGAGCAGATGTAAAGGAAGTTTTTTCAATGATTTTAAATTAGACAGCTACCAAGTTGTTTCATAAATTCTTCCGAAAAGCCAATATGCTCTGCCAAATCGGACCATTCAGTCAACTAAAATTGTTTTATAACGCGATCCTTCGATAACTAGGAAACTATATATGTATATACACACACACACGCACACACACATATATATATATACAGGGTGACTTCGAAATTGAGTCATTTATTTTAACAGTGAGTAGATCTGATCAAATGAAATGTTTTTTTCCTATAACATTTTTCTGGTAAAATTAAAGTAACAAAGTTATAGCCCTTTAGAAGTTTGAGTACCGTCCTGTCTCAATAATATTATGTGCTCGTGTTTGGCAACAAGCCCAGCTCTGCGTCGAGCAAAACGGAAATCATTTCGAACAGTTTTTGTGACATGCTTTTGGGCGCACAGGTCCGCACTGAAATATTTGTCGCGAGGATACTTTATAAAACAATTTTTCTTATTTTTACACACATATTTTGGTTTATCTTCCTTCTACAATTATTATCTAAAAATTAATGACTCAACTTCAAAGTCACCTAATATATATATACAGGGTGTTTCAGTTTGTTGTTGCATAACTTTAAGATTCGATAGAACTTTTAAAATTAATGCATAAAGTCTATATAAACATGGGTCGAAGAATGCGTGGCTTCCGAAATACAGGGTGTTTAAATTTACTTTTTAAAGTAGTTTTTTTTAAACATCTCGAACAATATTTGATGTATAACAGTGAAAATTGGTATACAAGGGTTCTTTGGTACGACAAAACGAACCATGGGCATAGTTTTACTGTAGCCGCTAGAGGGCGCTCTCTACTGTACCTGTAGTGTATTAAAATGACTTCTTCGCACTTTTCTGCATAAAAAAGCTCTCCTGTGAGTTTTCGTTATATATGTAGTTAGCCGTTTTTGAGATATTTCGATTTTTAAGGTTCGATGCATTTTTAATTATTTATGGGAAAATAATATTTTTTTTACATTTTCGATTTGGGCATTACAAGTAATTAAGATGATCGTTTAGATTGTGTTTTTAAACATAGCAATAATTCCTAACTCCAAATAAACACAAAAAAACTGAATATTAATTTGTTTAATTTTCCAATATTATTTTAAACAAATTAAATAAATTATTTACAACTAAAATGCTATTGGATAGTTAGAACAAACATATAAAATCTAAGGTATTTGCTCGAAATGTAAACCCAATTGTTCAATACACAATTCACATCTACGGATGATCAAATAAGGTCATCACATGCATTCCTGATTCTGTCTATTAGCATATCTCTTGTGGTTACGGGAGTCTGGTACACTTTTTCTTTTAGAAATCCCCACACAAAGAAATCTAATGGATTTAGGTCAGGGGATCATGGAGGCCAGGCGACTGGTCCTCCACGGCCGATCCATGTTTCTGGATAATTTTCGTCCAGCCAGTTTCTAACTATTCTCGAATAATGAGCTGGACAACCATCAAGCTGGAACCAGGCCAATCTTCTTAAATCTAACATAACATCATCCCACATAGTTGCATGTTCAGCCTTTAAAAATTCCAAGAAGGTCGCAGCATATAACCTTGCAGGCAAAAGGTAGGGTCCGAATAGTCGATTACGGTAGATACCAATCCACACGTTCACACTAACTTCATGCTGAAATTTCTTTCCCGAACTGCATGCGGATTTTCATGCGACCAAATATGTTGATTATGAAAATTTACCACTCCACGTCTAGTGAAGCATGACTCATCGATCCATAAAACGTTACTTAAAAACTCCCTATTATTATCAGTTCTATCAAGAATCCACTGACAAAATGTGATTCTTCGTTCTCCGTCCCCTGGCTGTAGTGCTTGCACAGGTTGCAAATGGTAAGGACGTCTATGGTCATTTCTAAGAACACGGTGGACATGGCTTGCTGAAATTCCCAAAGCACCAGAAACTCTCCTAACACTTGTGGTCGGATCTCTATCAAACTCACGCAGAATCATACGGGTAAATCTGCGCTGACGAACATTTATGTTTCCAAAACAGATAGATTTCCAAAACAATTTTCAATTATTTGGCGATGCACTCTTACAAATACTGAGCGAGTTGGATGTCGTCTGTTTGGAAATCTTCGTGCGTATTCTCTGGCTGCTTCTGCTGCGTTTCCATTTACAAAGCCATACACAAAATGAATATCCGCTAACTCTTCATTGGAGAATAAAAATGGCATTTTTATAAAACTTACAAAAAAAACAGGTAAAAGAAACAAAATTTCGTGCATTCACAATTGCAAAAAACGTTTCAGGTTTCAACAGACAACAAAACTAACTGTCCACTAATTGATGTTTAACCTTATTCTACTTTCAATTTCAAAAATATTTGCATGCACAGCCTACTTCTAAAAATTATCGAGATACTGACTTTTTAACGTTATTTTATCATAAATAATTAAAAATGCATCGAACCTTAGAAATCGAAATATGTATCTCAAAAACGGCTAACTATAACTAAAATTCACATGAGAGCTTTTTTATGTTGAAAAGTGTGAAGAATCAGTTTTTTATTCAAAAAGCAAAAAATTGAACTAAGAAAAATTATTTGGTCATTTTATTACACGACAGGTACAGTAGAGAGCGCCCTCTAGCGGCTACAGTAAAACTATGCCCATGGTTCGTTTTGTCGTACCAAAAAACCCTTGTATATCAATTTTCACTGTTATACATCAAATATTGTTCGAAATATTTAAAAAAAACTATTTTAGAAAGTAAATTTAAACACCCTGTATTTCGGAATTCACGCATTTTTCGACCTATGTTTATATAGACTTTATGCATTAATTTTAAAAGTTCTATCGAATCTTAAAGTTATGCAACAATAAACTGAAACATCCTGTATATATATACTCGTATACACAGGGTGTTCCTTAATGATATGCGAATATTTAAGGGTGTGAATCTACATGAAAAGCTAATGTTAGTTTGCTTAATAAACTATGGTCCAAAAACTCGGGGTGTTGAGGTTTTAGGAAAAAAATGGAAATTAATTAATATTTTCAGAACCGCTTCAGATATTTCACTGATATTTAGTACGTAGTGAAAGTTAATGAAGTTGCATATTTTTCAATGCAAAAATAATCTTGAGCTTTAACAGTGGCGAGCGTACGGGTATTTTCAACAAAGAAAATGGTACGCCAATGGTTTTTGCCAGATAAAAATTATTTTTGAATTCCCCGTTTAATTTAAAACAAATGATCTCTCTTGAATTGTTTTCCTTCGATGCGCCATTTTTTAGGAAAAAAATAAAAACCGTTCTATTGTCTAACTTGCAAAATTATTATTAATTTAATCGGAAAAATTAAATACATAACAACAGCAACTGACAACATAAACATAACATTAAAACCAACGAAATGATTGAAATTGTTGAAAATGGCCCACTTCACTTAGTATGCATTCTTCTGCTCTCCTTCTCATGGAATTGCGCACTCAAAATATCCCTGGAGTGTTTTTATTCTGTCACAAGCTGCAACTATTCTTTCTCTTAATTCCTCTACAGTGTTAATGGGACTTGTGTACACTAGTGTCTTAAGATAGCCCCACAAAAAGAAATCTGAACTGTTCAGGTCTGGGGACCTTGGTGGCCCACCGCGGCCAATCCAACGATTTGGATAAACAGTTTGTAAATAATAATTACGAACCGCTACACAGAAATGCGCTAGTGCATCATCATGCATGTACCTCATATTGTTTTTTATTACTAACGGAACATCATCAGGCAGCAAAGGCAACTGTTGTTGAAGAAAATTGAGGTAAGTCCGTCCGTCAAGTCGTCCCGGCAAGAAGAATGGGCCAATAAAGTGGTTGCCAATAATTCCTGCTCATACGTTAACCGTAAATTGGTGTTGGAAATGGGTTTCGGTTACGGCATACGGATTTTCTTCTGCCCACAAATGATTATTGTGGAAATTCTGAATCGCATTTCGAGAAAAATTAGCTTCGTCCGTGAACAGAATCATTGATTCAAATTGCGGATTTTGTGTAATTTTTTCAAGATACCACTGACAAAAGGTCACAAGCATTGAAAAGTCAATGAGAAGTAATGCTTGTACTCTTAAAATATGGTTAGGCTATAACAAAAAATCCACTAAAATTCTCCAAACAATTTGGTGGCAAATATTTAAGTGTCTAGCGATCTTCCTCGTACTCGTTTCAGGATGTTCTTCGACTTCGTGCAGCACTGCTTCCTCAATTTCAGGTGTTCTCACACTTCACCTTCAGATGTCACTTCTCGGACAGAACCAGTTTCAACAAGACGACGATGAATATTAGAAAAGGTTCGACTATGTGGCAAAGCACGATCGGGATATCTCTGGTGATAAATCCGTCTGGCTTGCTCACCATTACCGTCGGCAAGGCCATATACGTAATGAATTTCCGCCATTTCTGCATTTGAACAATTCACCATTTTTAAGAAGATTGTAAAAACTAAATAATGAAAAAGATGTCACAGCGAACAGATTTGAATAACAGAGACTTGTCAGATGTCAAAAGCCAGTGACATATTCCAGAGCAATTATATATTAATTTTCTCGGACAATAGAACGGTTTTTATTTTTTTATTAAAGATGGCGTATCGAAGGAAAACAATTCAGAGGAGATATTATTTGTTTTAAATTGAACGGGAAATTCAAAAATAACTTTTATTTGGCAAAAAACCATTGGCGAACCATTTTTTTTCTTAAAAAATATCGAAGTCAATACCCGCACGCACGCCACTGTTACAGCTAAAAATTATTTTTGCATTGAAAAATATGCAACTTTATTAACTTTCACTATGTACCAGATACCAATGAAATATCTGAAGCGGTTCTGAAAATATTAATTAATTTCCATTTTTTTCCTAAAACGTCAACACCACGAGTTTTGGTAAGGAAACATTTTTGGTCCATAGTTTATGAAGCAAACTAACATTCATTTTTCATGTACGAGTAGATTGACACCCTTAAATATTCGCATATCATTAAGGAACACCCTGTATATATATCCGGTGCTTTTCTTTTCTTGAACGGATGAGTTCAACAAATTAAAACTTGAGGTAATGAAATTAATGCGTGGATACCATATTGTAGAGTAAAATTAACAGACGAAAATGTCAAGATGGCCGCTGGGCGCTATCTTGGAAAAAAATTATATGAAAACGGGGGTCTTGTGGCACATCATTTTGAAGCTCCTGACGAGTAATTTATAACCCTAGAATATAAAGTCAATACCTTTACCTACTACAAAATGGTGGTGTAGTTAATAATTACTTGAACACAAACCCACTAACATGCATATCTCTACAAATAATTGTAATTCCTTGCCGTATCCACAGCAACAGCGATAAAAACTTGTTTTGTTATTTTTTGTTGACAGTGGCAAAGAATATCAGGACGAAAACAAACATCATTGTACAGTTAGAATATTCTTATTTAGTTTTCGGTTTTAGTGCTAGATACTGGTTGAACTATTTTTAAAATGGTCAATTCTCGTCCATTGGAAGAAAAAATCGAAGCGATTATTATTTATGGTGCGACGCGTAACTTTCAGGATTTTTAATGATCGTTTCCCGAATCGACCTATATGTAGAAAATATTTAAATATCTAAATTTACAGCTACTGGTAGTGTAAACAACAAAAAGCCCCCAGGTCATCCGACCATCCCGGAAGAAAAGCAAGTTCAAATAATTTGTGAGATCATAGTAAATCCCAAACAGTATACTTCCTCCATCGCGAATGTAGGTGAGGTTTGTCCTTCTACTCTATGGAGACTTTTGAAAAAGAATAAGTATCACCCAGCGAGACTATGACGGAAACCATTGCACGGCATCATACCTATGTCCAAAATATTTGTTTTAGTGATGAATGTACCTTTTTTCTCAACGGTAATGTGCATAGACAAAATTGTCGTTATTGGAGTGACACCAATCCTCACGTCTTCCGGGAAACTCATACGCAATATCCACAAAAAGTTAACATTTGAGCTATGATATTGGAAAATCATATTGTGGGGCCTCTAGTCATCAAACAAACTTCAACCGGGGAACTGTATTTGGATATGGTGAAAAATACTATTGACCCTCTAATCACCTAAATCGTCGAAGCGAATCCTAATGAATTCGATACTGATATTGTATTCCAGCAAGATGGTGCTCCACCACACTACTACAGACAAGGAATTATTTAGGTAACAATTACCCCAGTCGTTGGATTGGCCGTCGGGGTCATGTGGAATCGCCAGCTCGCTCGCCAGATTTGACAGCTTTAGACTTTTTTTGTGGGGCTATTTGGAGCAAAAGGTGTACGAAACTGAACCTGCGTCAATCTTGCATTTACGGCTGAGAATAACAAATATTTGTAGAAATATCGATGTTACTATGTTTGAAAATGTTCGACGCGAAATTACGGACCAGCTGTTATTGTGCAGGCAACCATTTCCAGCATCTTCCAAACTGAACTCAACGTATTTATTCGAATTATCAAGTTAAATATATATATATATATATATATATGTATATATCAAGAAAAATCAGGAAAATAACAAAGGATTTGCGTTTCGTGATTAAACAAACGATGGTTTGTTGCACGATTTTGGCTTTTTTCGATAATTTCACAAAATGCGCGTGACTCAATAACGATTCGACTTTGTACTTAGGTATATGCTTCTTATTGTGTTCCAAATGGGCTGTACTAACACTTTGTATATGCGACTTTATTGGACAAAAAAAATGGCCTCAAGTAAATTGTACTTCCAACGCAACGCTGTCTTCAGTTCATAAATGATTATGTTAGGCACACGTTAGCCCTGCTGTGATAAAAAATTAAATAATCTTTCGCCTCCCATGAGAAGAATTCATGCTGGCATACGAGATCTTTGCGATGACCAATCCCGCGCCAATGACGATATTGGTCTTCACCATGCACAGTGCACACAGTCCACAGCAGCGCAGAAGCGATTATCGACTGTGACGTACCACGCTCGTCCATCGAAGAACCACGTCGCACGCATTGACGCGCGAGTTTTAAGTGCGAATCTACAGGGACATCTATGATGAGTGAAATAAGCCCAATAGGTGCTTAGAATTACTAAATATACCAAGGTAAAAAAACTGAGATATACCGTCCCCACCCCCTGCAGCCCCGATTTCCCAGTTTTTAGCCCCTACAGAAATTTTTCTGAAAATGATGGAATGTCAAAAAACAGCTTAAGCGTTTTTTATTTAACTCAATTTTTCGAAAAACCCTAACATCCCATAACAAAATTTTCCGAAATTACGGTATTGCATCGCCAGTAGGCGTGACAAGTAAAAACATTATTCTTTGTGTTGATTATATTATCAGTCAAAATATACTGCTACTATTATGCTGACATTATATGTCAACAGCTATACCTAGTAAAACGGCACGGTAGACATAATTATATGGTGACTTGATATTTTGATATCTTGCAGAATACTTGCATATTTTTTTGGAAAACAAAACAAAAAATTAATATTACGTAGACAGTCCTCTGAATGAATTCTCATAAAAATCAGAAAAAAAGATTCATATTCTGTAGATACAGCATGTAATACGACAAAGCTTCAAGTTATTTTGAAAATTTTTACTGTTTACGTCATAGACATATACTGCCGTAGATAAAACTGTAAAGTGTCAAAATCGTAGTCTGAAAAAATTGAGTTCAAAATTGTGGATTTTTTTTCGAACTAAATAAATAGTACTATTGCAACAGAACAAAAGTTAATGAATATTGCAAAGCTACATGACTCATTTAAATGTGATTTTGGATCATAATTTATTGTTGTTGAGGCCTAAGATAAATGGCATCCCGTCTTCAATGGTGGTAATTCAAAAAGCAGTAACATGTGATTTACGGCTTTCATACTCTGCAAAAACAAGTTTACTGCCTTTTTTCGTAGTTTTCATAGTCTATTTATACTGTTTTTTCAAATGACAAACGCAGTAATGCTGAATTTTATTTTATTTTAGAATAATTTATTCATATTGAAATTCACATAATAGCACCCTTTCGACATCTGATAATGCAATTTAATAATTTATGATTACATTTAATAATCACTAAATAAACTAAAAACGTGATGTTTTCTCAAGCTAAAAGAAGAAAGTTTTTTCAAAATCATTGTTTAGGAGCAAAAGTCATTCTTTATAACGATAAATACTTATTCACAAATAATATAATTATATTAAAAACTTAAATAAATAAGCATCAATAGGTTATAAAAGGGTAAAAAGGCAGTACTTGTACTATACAGAGAACAAAAGCTGTATGAATTGAGCACTAATGCTTTCTTGCCTTGATAAATTGATTTAGTGCTTTTATGCTTAGGAAATGTAGTTAATACCAGTATGACATATTTGACAAAGTGAAAAAATAACTATTTTTGTCAAAATTTAAATAAAGCACTAAACTGACTACTGCCTTTTATCTAAGTACGGCTATATAGGCCTTTTCAGGGTTTTGATGGGTTACAGTGGAACTAGAAGAACTGATTTCATACATGCAATGGGCCTTTTTGCGCGGATGTTTGTTTGTTTAATTTCTTAGACATACGTTTTTAGTCTTGCAACACCGCCATAAAAATTTTTGGGTCAACGTATGAGTCTTTCACATTTATGCCTGTCACTTCCAATATGACAACTTGCTTGTCATAGGCGTGTGGTTTGTATTTACCTATGTTATTCGATACAAAACAGTAGTGTCTGAAGATACAACTACAATGTCTATATTAGAAATATTTTCAGAAAATCGATGAAAACATCATCCCTCTATCACCCAATTCGAATGTGTGTGCAAGAGCGAGTAACAGCTGCATTACGGATCGGCTCACGCACTGTGGCAATTTCCTTTACGGAACATGCTACCATTAATTAATTTGTTTACTTATTTCGTACGGCATTGTGACGTAACCACCAAAAACCGTTAAAAAAGCCACACTGGTGTACATTGAAAATGGTTAACTATACAGAAACCATTTTACAGGGTATGTTGCTTGCTTCTTCAGTATATTCACATTCGATCAAGATAAATAAAATTTCCAGATACACTGGATTTTGAAGATTTTGTCCAATTTAATTTACTAATAGCCGTCGAAGTTGAAACTTAGAAACAATGTCATGACCAAAACGGTTGATGGTGAATTGTAAATAGTGTAGGATTTACAAAAATAGTATACTTCATTGGAATAACGAGTAACTTGATATAAAATTATACATGAAAATATAACAATTCAAATAAAATTTGCAGGTTCCACTCCATGCACAGCGATAAGGTGGTCTTTCAGACTGTGTTTTCTTTTTGTTTTGTAGGAACAGAAACTGCACATAAAACCTGGCTCCTTGCCACACTCATACTTCACGTGGTTGTATAGTGATGCTGAATATTTGTACGTTTTTGCACAGTTCGGACACTGGTAACACTTGGCTGAAAATAAAGGTTTATTAGACAACAATTACTTAAAACGCAAGAAAGTAGCCTGTATATTTTAAAATCAGAAATCGAAGCTAACAACACCAAAACAAGTTCCGCAGACCTCAGGTGATTATAGTTAGCAACTTATTTCACAACAGAAGCAATCCTTTCAAATCCCTAAACCTTCTGATCAACAGTTCTCAATGAGATTATCAGATCGACCTCAAACTGACAATAATGTCAATCAAAGTTACCTGCTATTATTTTCTGCATGCTCAGAAAGTTGAACATTATTTTGAAATTCGGTATACCCAACAAATGGATTACATATAACACTGCACTGACAAAAACAAGCATCTACTGTCGCCGTAGTGTCGTGGTGAATGTCTCGTTAGAACATCGAAGATTTGTAGACCTTCCTTGAGGCATGAGACTTCTTTGGAAACGATGGATATCAGATATCGTACTGGAAACAGTGTAATAATGACGCTTCCTTGAGAAACATTCAACTGGGGATTCAAATTTTCATTTCACAGTATGCTGCAGCAGTTCTCACAAGCTGTCATCTATGCCAGATTTTTCTTTGCTGGCCGTATCTATTTAACATTTTGATAATAAAATTGGGATGATTAGGTTTATTTGTGCTAAACAATAAAAAGTGCAGAATAACAATGTGTTTGCTTCCTCGAGTTACACCGCAATCACGAGAAGTAAAAAACTGAATATAGGCAACCGTTTCACCCAACTGCTGTACTGGTTGCAGGTTGTCGATTACGTCTTTAAGTTCAACTACTGCAGTATTTCACAAAAACATTTATATTTTTAATACCCGAATTTTATACTATTATAAATTTTGATGTGTGACAGTTAGGAGAAAGAACTTTATCGAAGAGGAGAAGATGCATTGGATCGAAATACTAAACAAATTTAAAGGGATCATTGGAAATGAAAACAGATAGCTCATTAATAACTTTAAAGCGCAAATTTCAGAAACCTTCAATGAAACTGACACACCCAAAATAATACAATACAAACATCATAACACGCAAACAACTCAAAAAATGATGTGACATCAAACAAAGGTAAGATGAACTATTTTGCAAAAGATAGGTGAATAGTCATAGTTTGCATGAACTTATTTTTACAAATCCATCTTTTTCAATTGGTAAGGCTCATAAAATGTTACAAAAATGTTTTACTTACCTTTGTTTGATGTTATCCCATATTATTTTTAGCTGCTTACTCATCCTTTTGCGTGTATTGGTCTCATTATATATTTTTGTTGCGTGCTCCAAAGCATTGTATTTTAGATGTTTGGCGGAGCCTTCAGTTTTCTTTCCTATTTTCAATGAAAAATTTAAAATTGTCCAATATATCAACCAGATAGATTCTCTGCCTCGCTAATCTTCTTTTTATATCAGCTGTCACACATTATGACCCGTCCACAGTTTATCAAAATTTCAGACATTACAAAATGTTTGAATTTAAACGAGAATTTACAGAGAATTCGACAGACGCAGTCGACAACCCGCAACCAGTAAAGCAGTTGGGTGCAACGGTTGCCTATATTCAGTTTTTTACTTCTCGTGATTGCACTGTAAATCGAGGAAACAAGCACATGATTATTTTGCATTCTTCATTGATGTTTAGCACAAATAGTCGTCCCAATTTTATCATCAAAATTGTAAACAGATACGGACAGCAAAAAATCTTTCTGACGTCGATGACAGCTTGTGCTGACAACTGCTGCAGCCTACTATGAAATGAAAATTTAAATCCTCCATTGAACGTTCCTCAAGCAAGCGTCATTGTTTTACTGTTTCCAAGGAGATATCTGAGATCCTTTGCTTCCAAGGAAGCCTCACGCCTCAAGGAGCTCTTCAAATCTGACTCTCCACCCAACAGTTTTACACTGACTCAAGTTTCAGGAAAAATTAGGTCATCTGTGATGGTGTTTTTCAGAACATAACCGTTAGCATCCCACAATGGGACCAAATACCATAAAACTTTGCCAAAACCTCAAATGTGCTGAGAAGTGGCGAAAACTGTGTATCGGAAGCTGAACAATATGAATATAGTTCTCTAGAAACAGAACACATCCTTCTATCAATAATAGGCATTTGATATTTTGTAAAAAATATAATTGTAAGATGCCCTATGGGAAATTTTCTGCGAATATATAAAAGGATACAGCCAGATATGCGTTGTTTTTATAAACAATGGGAAAAGCTCAAAATTCAGTATTTTGTTTGTAAAATTTTCAAGTAAATAAACTGGAGCATGAAAAGACCTTCAATTCTGTTTTTTAAGAATTAAAATCGATAAGAAATTAGTTACGGTGCTTTTTAACAATATTGAATAAACGTTTATAACTATTGCAATAACAATTGTAAATTGCTAAAAATTTGTGAGAATGAGGGCATCATCGGTCTTAATAAGTGTGCTAAATTTCAGCCGGATTGGTTTAATAGTTTATGTAAAAAATTGTTTATCCCAGAGACGAATTATTTAAGCAGCTGTTCTTGCCCAAGACATTTTACAAAAGTGAAATGGTTTCTTGAAGGTTTCAACTTGAAGAATTTATACAAAAAATAATTTTTCAATTCAAAATTGCTGTTTAAAATTATGTTAAAAAATAGCCATTTTTATAGTTAGTAAACATTTAGTTAGTAAACCTTGTTATCTTTCAGTATAATTCATTTTAACAAGTTGATCTGGATAGGTGGTTAAAAAACGCATCTTTAAAAAACCTTCTACTGGTATAATACCAGTTCCAAACATGGTTAGGCAATAAATTAGATCCAACAAGTACGGGTGGAGGCGAAATGACAACGGTTTCGAACCGATCTATACTATGGACAGTTTAATACCAGACGATACTATCAAACAAAGTTCCTGCAAATGTACTACTAATTGCCAAACGGGTACGTGTAGTTGCAAAAAACATGGGTTAAATTGCACACCGTTGGGCATAAATTGTAATGATGGTAATGATGACACAAAATGCTACAACCTTGCTGTAATTGGAATTGACGTTGATGAAGAGCTGACTGAGAAAGTCGACGACTTATTTGAAGAAATGAGTTATACAAATATTGAAATAGAAGTAGAGCGTCCAAATAAAAGATTTAGAACGGAGGATCAAGATGAATTAAATCATAAAATATAATAAAAAAATACATTATATAATATTAGTATAACACAAAGAAAGCAAATAAAATAAATATAAATGCAAGTCAAACGTGAATCATTATTTTTTACAATGTAACGTATTAGAGTATTTCGTTCAGAGTATACCAACTAACCGAATATGAATTGTTTGAACAATTTTATTGAAAAATATAAATTATTTTATTAGAGTGTGAGTAAAAGTAAATGATTTATTGTTAATTGATTATTTCATAGTAATTAAATTTTGAAGAATACTAGGTGTTAAGTATTCCGGAATTTCCCGATTTTACAGAAAAATGCAAATGTACCAGATGTCACTATTTCGACGAGTTACCCCAAATTAAAAAAAGAAGGCTCTACTCTAGTTAGAAGCCGAGATAATACAAAATTTAACATCGTGCTGTGATTTGAAGACTCAATTTCAAAAAAATAAACCGAACTAGAGCTAATTCCCCCACCACCTCACCCGAAAATACTTGCGCGAGTACCTTCAATTTAGGTGGCTTTTTCTTAAAGGTCTTTGAACTTATAGTAAAATTATAAATTGGATCCTTGCTTAAAATCTGTGTAAATTTCGAGTTTTAATGTTTATAAACGAGGTATAAGTTTGAAAACAACTATCTTGGCTCCTTTTTGTCGTAGGTGTTTTTAAAATATGCGGTTTTTGGTTAATTCAGATCAACTTGTTAAAATAAATTATATTGAAAAATAACGACGTTATTGTAAATGTTTATCACTATAAAAATGGTTATTTCTTTAACAACATTTTTAACAAATTTTATTTAATTATATTTAATTCTTCTCTTTTTACATAATCTAATGAACCCATTCAGCTAAAATTCAGCACACATAAACATCAATGACACCCTCATTCTCTAAAATGTTTAGCCATTTACAATTGTTATTGCAGTAGTTCAACATTGCTAAAAAGCCCCGTATTTAGCTTAATTGTTTATCGATTTCAATTATTAATAAATAAAGTTAAAGGTCGTTTTATGCTCTAAAATCTCCAGTTTACCGATTATTGATAAAATTTAATTTGAGAATTATACACGCAAAACACTGAATTTTCAGCGTTTTCCCATTGTTTATAAAAAAACAACGCATATCTGGCTGTATTTTTTTGTGTATTTGTCATTAGAAAGACCCCTCCTTTCATCTAAAACTTTCAGATATCTTCTAAGCTTTTTTACACGAAATGCTAGGATATGTATATTTCGGTACTCCAGGCCCTCCTAGTGTGTTCGTTGTTGACGGTTTTCTATCATCCCACCCTGTGGGGTGCGTAAATGTATGCCAGATTTACCAAGTTGCTTACTCGTATAGTCCTCTTATCCGCAAAATGGTTTAGTTGTACCCACGTTACAACTTAGTTTTTTCACAAAACGCTAAATTTCACTGAAATTTTCGTTCACTACTTATTGGAGAAGGATTCTGCCAACGTTTTGTTGCTGAGAAGATTTGTTTTGTTTTTATTAGTTCGTCGAATAGTTAACATGCTGAATTTTCAGCTGATTTTGAGAAGTAGATTTTACGCGTCCACTGCTATATAGAAATTTAGACCTTTTCGATAATAGGGGATCCATATTACTACATAATGGCATATTTGTGTCTTGCTTGTATAAAGAAATAGTTGTGTATTATTGAAATCCGAGAAGTTGTGGCTGAGTAGAATGTTTTTAAATTTCTTTGAATATTTCACTTTGTTCTTAAAAAAGTATTTCGAAAGAAGACTGCACACAGCCACTGATTCACTAAAATTATGACTATATACTAAGTAATTTAGTGTCATATTGGCTGTACTACGAGCCCCTTCCCACTTCAGTTGGCCCAAATATTGGAATCTTAGTTTTTTTCTTATCAAACACAAATAATAAAAATGTAGCAGGGTGTTATAGGTTAAAAATATTAACAATAAATATTTTGATAATATATAGTAGAAAACACCAACTTTATCACTCCCTAATCAAATTTGCAGCATAAAAATAACACATTTTGCAATTACAGCATATAAACCTATTTTCATTTCAATGTAAAATAAGTCTATAACGCATAGGTGCCTGTGAAAAATAAAAGCCATGACAATTGTTTATATTAATCACAGCTGTCAGAATACGTTTAAAATAGTTTTGGGTAGTCAAGGTTTTCAAAATTCGTAGAGGAAGGGTTATTAGTGAGAAAATTCGGTTACTGATAATTAAATTTTTTAATTCTGGTAAAGCAAACTCAGAAATTGCAATTTTGTTAGACTTATCGCGGTACAGTGTGAGAAATATTGTTAGAAGATATAACGTAACTGGTTCATTTAATATTAAGCCACGATATGTGAAAAAAAGTAATATCAGAAAGGCCGACCGAAGAGCATTAAGAAGAATAATCGTGAAAAACAGGCGTGCCAATTATTTACAATTAAGTGCTCTGTGGAGTGACGCTGTTGGAAGGAGAATTTCCTAAAGTTGCACAACTTGTTTATAGGCCAAAGAAAAGCCACTATTAGCTCCACTGCAAAAGAAAAATCAGCTTGTATGGGCTAACGAACATAGACAGTGGACATCTCAACAATGGTGTGCAATGCAATGGAGTGATGAGGCCCGATTCGAAGTTTGTGTTGGTGACAGTCGCAGTAGAGTTATTCGCAAAAAAATGAAGCATTTCATGTTGACTGTCTGAAGAGAAAAGTGAAATTTCCAGCATCCATTATGGTCTGGGGCAGTATATCATCAAAAGGAGTAGGAAAACTTCATTTTATTGATGGAAATATGGATACAAACAAATATTTGGCAATTTTAGAAGAATCGCTTTTACCAGTGATGGAAGAATGTTTGACATCCGGCCAAGACTTTGTGTTTCAGCAAGATGGTGCAGCGTGCCATACCTCAAAAAAGGCTATAAAATGGATGGAAGAAAATAATGCACCACTTTTGAAATGGGTCTCTAGCACTCCAGATCTGTCACCTATTGAAACTTTGTGGCACGAGATGAAAAAGGTTCTACGACAACATACTGCTCGTACAATCACCGAACTGAGACAAAAGCTTCAAGAAATATGGGATTGTTTTGCACCAAATTTTTGCCAAAACTTGGTTAACACTATGTCCCAAAGAATTTCAGCCGTAATAAAAAATACAGGTGATGTTACCCAATGGTAATCTTTCAGTTGTTGCTTTGTTAACTTCGCGCATTTATTCGCACATTGTTTATTTGTTCAGATGTTCTATTAGTTATAGGTCTAAGTAATTTCAAATATGTATTTTTTACGACTAGAATGTATCTAAAATGTTTTTGAGAAAATAAATTGTTTTAGAAGTAAATAGTTTCGTCATGTTTAGTTTATTAAGGCATATTTTGGTACAACTCTTGAAGTGGGCCAACTGAAGTGGGAAGGGGCTCGTAGCCTGCTAGATCCAGTGATGAAACGATGTGACTAAATTTACGATTACCTTATGTATCTCGCCATATCTGAATTCTAGAGGTTGTACATTAAAAGCAAACGATATAATCAAAAACTAAATCCAGTTTTTGATATTGCATAATATTCTTAATAATGGGTATGAATCAATTATCCACCAAAACTGTTTTGATTTTTTGGAGTTTGGCCAGGCATTCCGGGCTTTCGACATTACTGTACGCCATAACCAGCTTACTGCGTTTACAAGTTCGCCATGTCAACTAAAATGTCAGCAAAGTCATCATCCGGACGTGTCGACGTAGTTAAGTCATCATTTCAGTAGCTTCATAGAGCGCTACTGAGGAAGTGTTCAACCTCAGGAACTGGGAAAGTGATACGAATTGTTTCGAGAAAAGCTAAGTACTTACTTGGGATAAACTAATTGATCACAATCATTTCTCCGAATAGTTTATTTTATCACAATTATAAAATACAAAATGAAGGTCGTTCGAAAATAGTAAACACAATTATATTTCCCATAGCGTCGCAGAATATAAGGCCAATCCTTCGGGGTTCTTAAGTTATACAACTCTCCGAAAGTCGTATCTGGAAACTGGTTTTTTTCAAGTATTTATAAACGAATCTATATAATTCAATGATTTTTTGATAAAGCAGTAACCAAATAGAGCTTTTTATGATGCCATACATTAATAAATGCCTGAAGATATCAAATTAGAATATCCATTAAAGATGCGCCACAAATGGGATTGATATCACAGCGCCACCTATGAGACAGCAGCAGAACCAAACACTCTAACTCTTTCCAAAGTAGATTTCTTTTTCATTTTTGTGTTTTTTGCTACAGTTTCATAGATCGAGCTACAAACTTTCACGTCCCTGTTTCGTGCTGGAATACATGGTTGGCAGGTAGAATACGTAAATCGAGACTTCAATGCACTATAGCTAAAGGACCCCTCCTACTTATTTTTGAGTGGTTCAAGTTAGCAATCGTAAATTCGGAGTGATGAAATATGTAAGAATACTATATTTTAACTTGAAAGCAACAGTTGAGAGTTTTTTTTTTTAAATAGGTTGGGGCGTCATGAGATACATCACTTTGAAGCTCTTTATCAGTTACTTTATAACCCTAGATAGAGTATTTTTAGTTTACTATCTTTCAAAATGGCGGACTGGCGGGCTGTCTAAGTTGAGTGTGTTTTATAGTATATTGCGTATAACTCCATAACTAATCATCAAACCGTTACATAATGTTATCTCAACGTTGTTCTTATGAAAAGGTATATCCGAACGTGCAATAAAATAGGAGCCATTCAATTTGAAAGAAATGATCAGATTTTAGCATTGTTTAAATGATGTTTCATGCTATATCACATGTTCGGGAAGACTCCTTCCAAGATTTGAAGATTGATATAACATACATACTTCGGTGTTTTGGTTTATAAGAGACTCACCCTAAAAAAAGTTCGTCTTCAATAGCCTGCTAGTCCTTTTGGAAGATATTTCATATAGATAGAGATAAGGAGTTTCTTGAGAAAAAATCATTCTGCTTTAGTACCGTTTCTACCGAAACCAAACTTTATCTCAAAAATTGCCAATTTTCTCAATGTCAAATAAGAATTTTTTCACTTAATCATCAAACTTTCCAGCAATATTACTACAATTTGACAATTATTATACAAGGTGTAAAAGGCACAATATCGCGTTACGGGTAGTCCGTTCATGAAGATCTGAATGACTTTTTATGGACACCATCATGTGGAATTCTGATATTGACTACTATGATGTCAAGTATTCATTGAATTATACGTGTTCTTTAGAAGTGATTTAAGGAATGCCCTTTTCAGAGGTACTGTAAGTTTGTCGCATTATTATAAGAATTATGTTTGGATCCACATTTAACCACATATTTTGGGACGGCATGAATAAGTATTTGAAACCGATCCATGACATAAGTTCGTGTAGTAGCAGTCAGATGTCCCTAATATAAGAAGAAAATGCGTAGTGGATCTTATCCACCACGTTTTCGGTAGTCCAGACAAATATTATCTATAGCGATAAATATAACACCAAGGACAATGTCCACAACATTCATTATTGAATTTAGTACTGACGAAAATGTCAGTGAGAGCTACGCAATGAGATATATATATATATATATATATATGAAAACAAACATTAAATTGCTTCTCCAATAAAGCTAAAAAATCTTTACATATCGAATTTAGAATTACTTTGCGATCAGAGCTCCAGCTCACGCAGTGTCTCAATTGCCGACCATAAATTAGAGCTTTTTCCTGTTTTACAAAAATTTCCTACAGTTAACAGTCAACTTACATACCTTTTTTTCAACAAGTTCATATTTTTCACAGTCAATATATTGCTCAGATCTACTTATTATTTTTCATTAAACAATATAATAATATTAACATGTTAATACCTATGTTCATTGCGTTCCAATAGTGGATTCTAAGACCTATTCAAACCTCATTTACCCGCGTCAAAACAAACTTGTGCGCTCGATCATTACTTCGTATTGCTTGTAGATGCCTGACCAGGCATTTATGACCCGCTCGACAATAGGAGCGCATGAAATTGATCATGACGCGCTGACGCTTATTTTGTTACGTGCATTAATCCATGACACATTATGATATAATTTCACATCAGCAATGTTCAAGTTGGTTTTATTTCCACAATTATTTCCCAGAACCTAACAGTTTTTCAGATGAACAAAAAAAAACAACCCCCTTTTGCTTAACAGAACAAAAACGCGTTAAACGATAAACAGAGTAATTTAAAAATCAATAAAGCAACATTTTCAAAATTCGAAACAAAATCTACCTTTCTCTTTTCCGGATATACACCCAAGAATATGTTGGAACACATTACAACTCACACAGAACCTTAATATTAGTATTGAAGTTCAACAGTACTATTGCAAGCTGTTGCGGTTTTCACATGGCAAGAAATTCTATCAGGACCATAATTCCATCAGTCCGACTCAAGTTTAGTGTCGATGTACTGCTCTTTTATTAATAGGTGAACATCAGTGAGTGAAACATATGCGTCTTCTTCAGAACTGCTTTCATTGTCTTCTTTCACTTTGGCATCCTTAGTTGTCGTATTTCCGCTGTTATCTTTTTTTGATATGTTGTCCACTTTGTCTTTCGTTCTTTTTGATGTCCCTTCGTAGTTTACCTTCACCCCGCCTTTATTAAGTTTCAACAAGATTCGTTCCTTACTACTATCTCGTAAGGTATCCTTTACACCATTAATAGCTTTCTTTAAACGTTTACAATATGAACACTTGTCCCTAGAGGTGTTTGAGCTGCTCTTCATCTTTCCTTTGCACAAAATGCAATGTTTGGATTTGGCCTTATCTTTCTCTTCCTCTTTCATTTTTGGATGACAACTTTCAATATGTCTCATTCTAGAAAATCTAGTCCTGAACTTTGAGTTACAGAAGAAACATCTGTGGCTGAATATTTTACTGCAACTGCTAGTGACGTGCTTTTTCAGAGAGATTTCGTTCTTGAACGATTTTTTGCAATTTGGACAGCGGATATCTGAAACTGATATATGTCAGTAATGGATAAAACACAATAAACTATATTCGATTCGGTTTTGAACTATTCACTACCAAGTATACTACCCCCAAACTATCTTGAAAATATGTGTACCTGTAGTAGTAACTGCGCAACCTGACCTGAAATGTCTAATTCTTTAAGAAATCACTCCAATACCATCTGCAAGTTTAATTGATCCGTTAATATAAACAGAAATAAAACATAATAAAAGTCACAACCAGGATTAAATAATATGAAAAAAGACACAATTTAACATGAAAATAAGATCACCGTACGTCATCAAGGTATTCCTGTAGGGTATAATAAGACTTTTGTAGAAGCAACTCCTTCACAATTCCCTTGAGAAACTTCAAATCATTGATTATTTTTTGCAGCTGCGGGTAAATGGTTGGATGTCTTGATTCCGTCCATAGTGTTTACTTAAATCTGGCTTGGAGATGAGCAAACGAATGTTACTACATAATCCCCAAAAAGCGATGACTTGCCTAATATGCGGCTCCATTAGTTTTGTTCTCTTCAATGTCTAGCTCTCGTGATATAATTCTTACAGCAAAGCAACTAGATACGTAGTGCTGTTATGTGATCACTAGATTTCATCTTGTGATCAATTTTTAATCCAAGAAACTTATTAGATGTTTTATTTTTCAATGTAATGACATTGACAATATTAAATTGTTGAAAGCAAGTTTAACAGACGAGATGTTGTATTGATATTAAAACATAACAGGTTCACATTATAACAAGTGCTACAGTTTCTTTTAGGTATGGAATCTGAATCAGTTAATGACGAAGTCAGCATATGAACAATTTAGGCCTAATACGAAAAATTATCTTCATCAAACATACCGAAATAGATACCTGATATTGGAAACACTAGAAAACTTTACTTGAACTCAACTCGAAAGGAAAGACGTACATATTTTTTGTTCAAATGAAACATAGTTTCGGTCTGCCCTTTTCAGCATCCATCAAGATTTTGGTTCGCCTCCAATACTTTGCATTTTTTAATACTCTTAGGTATAAAAGTTTGTTAAGTAACGCTAGATTGGATGTGAGCGCTTAAAGGAATAAATAGTGGAATAACATACAACAATATTACCTGTCAACTCTGCAGGTCCCAGGCCGAATGTTAAGGTACATGTATCTTCGCAACACTGATGACTATAAGACAAGACACTCATCAATAAAAACATAAAGTCGATCTGTTCAAGAAATACATTAAGCCAATACAATAACCAACCGTGTTCAATGCGTGATCAGCACGTTGATATATTTCAAGAAACGGTGAGCAAAATTGCTATTTGACACAGTAAATGCAGCCTTGCCGGCCAGTTAGGGGCTTCGTACACAAGGCTACGCAAGTCTCCGATAATAATGTTGTATACTACATTAGTATCCAGTCGCGAGTATCGAGTAGCGCACGGTCCGTACACACGACATTGAATCGCAAGACGCGAATTGCCTATTCAGCCACTATAGGCTAAACAGATCACACTTTTACGAAAATGTCTGAAACAAGTGATGATGAAACTATAATTTTGTACTATTTTTATCGGAAACAAAGAAATCGTCGTAACAGAAGATACTGGGTTCATCCGTATATAGAGAGAAACATAAAGTGCAGACTGTTTGTAGCTGCAAAAGAATTACAACAAACAGATGCGAAATTCTTATCATTGTACAGGATGTCCAAAGAGAGTTATACACATTTAGTGGAGTTACTTGTTCCACATATACACCAGAGAGATACACACATGAGAGAGTGTGTGAGCGCAGAGGAAAGGATTCTAATAACAATCAGGTATGATTTCAATTTGTTTTATTAAATATTAACATTTCAAAGTAAGATTGAATTTTAATAATATATAACGGAACGGAACCCCTCAGAAGTCTGCACGAAATCTTAACTGCATCATCAATTCTGAGTATAATTTACTTCACCTACAGTATTTTGGAGTAGTTGAATATATGTAGCTGCATTTACTCCATCGTCGGTTGTATATTCGATTATATCATTATTGGTTTCTATTGGTAATTCTATGTCAGTTGTTACCTGCGAGGACGATTTACTTGGGTGTTGTATTTCGGGTCCTACAAACGGAGATGTCTGCGAAGATAATATACTTGAAGTATTTGGTATATGAACTAAGGCCGGCGCCGGCGTTTGCTTAGATGAAGTGGTAGGTACATTCAGTATGTTATCTATCACATCTATAACTTGACGTTTGAATGATCTTATTTGTGTGGATGTCATAGAATTTAATTCTGGCAGCAAACTTAACAAAAACATCTTGTTGGCGTTATTCTTTGTCGACTCGTCATTGACATTTGGCTTGCTCATTTTCGTTTTCAAATATTCATTGAAGAGTTTATCATTCTCATTCGTTCTATTCTTATGACGCTGAGAGGAACTACGCCAAGTTGAGACAGATAGCGGGGTTGGAGTACGTTCAGTGTGTTGACTGGAGGATGCAGTAGGTGATGTCGGGGGCGGTGGTGAAGCCGAGGGCGATGGTGATACGGAAGGCGGTGGTGATGCCGAGGGCGGTGGTGATGCGGTCGGTGTAGATGCTTGTGATTCATTGTCTTGATTAATCGGATTAGGCAAACTGCCAGATGGAATTGCAGCAGATTTTATATAAGGAAGAGCAAACTGCATTGAATCTGTCAAATAGTATTTCTTTTTTGTTGATGATCCACTAGCAGCAGGTTTTAAGTTTCGTACGAATACAGAACGTAGGTTTTTCCATTTGTCTTTCGCTTGCAGTCCTGAAAGTAATAAAAATATGTCAAGCAACTGTTAACATTAAGTTCACCGTTGTAATACTATGTACAAGATGTTAAATAAATAAGTATTAATACAACTTTTTTTAGGTATTTGGCAACTGGCGCAACATCGATTTCCTTATATTTTGCTCGAGGAGACTCTACAGTATCAAGAATAATTGGAGAAATAACAGCAATCATATGGGATGCCTTGAAAGATATTTATATGCCAACACCGGATAAAAATCAATGGAAAATAATAGCACAATATAATAAATAGCATCATTTACTATGGAATTTGCCTAATTGTTTGGGTGCTCTAGATGGAAAGCACATAAGAATAGCAAGGCTACCAAACTCAGGATCGCTTAACTTCAACTACAAGTCGTATCATTCAATTGTTCTCATGGCATGCAGTGACGCTGATGGCCTCTTTACATACATCGAAACAGGATTTGCTGGCAGGAACAGTGATGGTGGTATATTTCGTGCTTCAGCAATCAAACATTTCATTGAAGGGGACAATCTTGATCTTCCTACTCCTTTACGATTACCCAATGATGACAACAACTACAAGTTTCCATTTTACTTTGTCGGAGATGAAGCGTTTCCGCTATTGCATTATTTGCTACGGCCATATCCACAAAGAGTACTTGATAATAGGAAAAGAATATTTAACTATAGATTGAGTAGAGGAAGGAAGACTGTAGAATGCGCTTTTGGGATGATGACGGAAAAATTTCAGGTTCTAAGCACTGCGATAAGATGCCACGACAATATAAAGATTAATAATATTGTAAAATCAGTATGTATTTTACACAACTATGTTAGGAAAAGAGAAGGGCTTCCATATCGTGCGTATGAAGAAAATTCCAATAGTACACATGGTATAATACAACCTCAGCAAATTCAATTGAATGCGCAATCTTCTCCGAATACGTTAAGAAACTATTTAGCTAACTACTTTCTTAAACCTCAGGTAGCACTCCCATGGCAATATAATTGTATTGTATAAATTTTTTTAGTCTGTTTAAATAACAAAATTCTGTAAATGCAAATAAATATTTTACTGGACCACACACCATTAAGTACTGTAGCAAGTTCTATTTTCTAATTTTAACTATTAATTTAACATCAGATATTCCCTGTGTTCTGTTTATGGTTTAGTGGATACGGATATCTGGTACATTACTAGTTAGTAGCTAATCATGATCCTAGATCACAATAACATGGGTAATCCGGCGGGTTACAACATCGGCTATCATAATAAAATGTACACAAAATATCGTGTATATGCGTAAAAAAATCTTAATAAAAAACATACCGCCAAATGTGTTTTTTCTTTACTAAATTACTATGTTTAATACTATAAAAATCTACCAACCTGTTAAATTAACGGCCCTTCCTACTGATACCCACGCTTTTTCTGTAATATCCTTTCTAGAATATTCTTTTATTTTATAGTTGTATAAACAGGGATACTTCTCACCTCCGAAACAAATTTAATATTTAATAACTGCTCCGCCATCCTGGAAATCGCTGCGACTTATGTAGCGAAGATCTTGTCCGGCAGGTAGCACACGACTGCCTCGATGCGAGTCACGAGACGAATGTCGGCGACGCGACTCGTGTACGAACCTCAATGGATTTGTATGGCGGTAATCGCTTGGAGACTAAAATCGTTGAGTATCGAAGATTTGCGTAGCCTTGTGAACGAAGCCCCTTAGTGTTAGGTCGGTGTTCTGGTTTATAATCGCGTGAAGTATGCGTCACTATGTTTGGGTTCAGTTTCTTTCTTCGATAGACAGACTTAGGACTCTATGGAAACATAAGTAGTTTTATAGGTTTCCATAAAAAAAATAACTTGCAATTCTAACAACTGTCAAACTAGCGGCACAAGCTGGATCAGGCAGCAGCGGTGGCCGCAGTAGTAGACTCTTCGGTCTCCTGATCAGTGGCCGTGCGCTGTGCGGGTTCGAGTCCCGTCCCAGGAGAAATTTTTCTCTTGGCTATGGATGTTCTGATTGTCCGTAGGTGGTAGACGGTCTCTGTCGAACGTGGAGGGACCACCCGGCGGATCTCGTAGGCCGAGCCAGAATGTGTGCATGTTGCATGCACACGTGTTCCCTCGCCAGAGTCCGTGTGGCGTTCCCCCTTTACCCTGTATCCCCCTATAGCCCCACGGTACCCAATGAGTGTTTAGGCCTTAGGCCTTCGTGGTAGTTGGAGTATAAAAAAACCGTGGTGTGTACTCGCATCCTACTATTGACGTTATTTTGTGGTCAAACCAAATCACACGCTAGCTGAGTCTACCAAGCTTTGTTATTTCTGACAGTTTACATGTTCCGACAGATGCGCCTGTCCAGGTGATTTTCTAATGAACAATTGAAAAGGAAATTTAAGCATACATGAATAAGTTATGTTTATTAAAAATGTAATAATAAAATTAAAATTAAAACAGTCATAAATGAAACCTAATGGTAAAACTATATCATGCATAACTAACTTAACTCTGAACGAGATCGCACAGATAGCTTTTTAGGAAAACTCCTTCGCATTAAATGGAAATTTCAATAATGTAAATTTGCCATATTTTATACTAGATGTTCACATATGAAGGACATCGAATCACGAATAACGTGGACAAATAATGATGAATTTTAAATTCCACTCATGAAGCTCATTCAGATAGTATTCGTTGGAAAAATGCAACCAGGAACATTTCACGATAGCGTAAATAGAAAATTCAAGTAACATCAGCTCAGTTTCTTTACAAAATCAACCTGCAACTTCATGTAGATAGGATGAATGATTGAAATTCCACATAATCTATTTTTTATTATCATTTAGGTTGTTCAGGCTGTTGAGCCGGGGTCGGGTTGGACTTTCTCCAGAGCTTTCAGCTACATCTGCGGTAGCCATCTTCAATGGCGCTCGCTGTCGTCGAGAGACTAGTCAGGTCGACTGAAACTGATCGGTCAAGTGGATGGGACTGCGGTTTTATAGGCGATCGGCTAACTGAGGACTGAGCTGTCTGTTGGGTTTACTCTGGGTCCCTGAGCGACGTGGTTTTGGTGATGTATTTTTTAGTATTGGGAACCACGTTTTGTTTAGAGCAAGGCCTTCTTCTTTTCTATTGAAATTTTCCTTGTGTTTGTAGATTTCAGTTGCTTGTCTGTACATTTGGGCTGAGTAGTGGGTGGATGTTGATAAGACTTCAGTTTGGTTGAACAAAACATTGTGTGCGTCTTGAAGTACGTGTTCGGTCACCGCTGATTTATCAGTTTGTTCCACTCGACAGAATCTTTCGTGCTTCTTAATCCGTGTTTGAAAGCTACGCTTAGTTGTGCTTACGTATACTTTACCACATGGTCTTGACGTTGTGTTTCTGCAGCAACCTCCCTATTCTATCAGTGATGCTTTTAAAGGTGGTTCCCTGTTTCCTGTCTGCTTTTTTGTCATGAAATCTGTTCTATTTGTTCCCTGCTATACCCGTTTACTTGTAAAACCATGTTAACATGATCCAGTTCCCCTTGCAGGTATTGAGGTTCACGAATTCGGTGTGTCCTGTCTATCAGATTTTTAATAACACCTCGTTTGTCCAGGATGATGGTTGGAGTCCTTGTGTAGATGTATGTCAGTGGTTGTCGCTTTGCGGTAAACTCTGTGACCCAGCTTTAACTTCTTTCATCTGACCACCAATACGTCTAGAATGGCCAGTTGATTGTCCTCATCATCTCCATTGTGAATTTGATTTTGGGGTGAATGCTGTTAAGGTGATTTCGGAACACTGCTAGTTCTGTTCTTTCGTGGCTCCACACCACAAAGGTATCATCCACATACTGTAGCCAACGCCTTAAGTCACCTTAACAGCATTCACCCCAAAATCAAAATCTCAATGGAGATAGAAGAGGACAATCAACTGGCCTTTCTGGACGTATTGGTGGTCAGACGAGAGAACTTAAAGTTGGGTCACAGAGTTTACCGCAAAGCAACAAACACTGACAGATATCTACACAAGAACTCCAACCATCATCCTGGACAAAAACGAGGTGTCATTAAAAATCTGATAGACAGGGAACACCGAATTTGTGAACCTCAATACCTGCAGGGGAAACTGTATCATGTTAACATGGTTTTACAAGCAAACGGCTATCGCAGGGAACAAATTTCACGACAAAAAAGCAGACCGCCGCCGCCGGCAGGAGACAAGCAACCACCTTCGCAAGTCTCCTTCCTATCATACATTAAAGGCACTATGGATAGAATAGTAACGTCAAGACCATCTACAAGCCAACAAATAGAATCCAGCAACTCTTAACATCAGTAAAGGACCCGAGGGACAGCCTGAGCGGTACCGGCGTATACAGAATACCGTGTTCGTGTGGTAAAGTATATGTTACGTAAGCACAACTAAACGTAGCTTTCAAACACGGATTGACGAGCACGAGAAAATCTGTCGCCTGGAACAAATTGATAAATCAGTGGTGGCCGAACACGCACTCCAAGACGGCCACAATGTTCTGTTCAACCAAACTGAAGTCAACATCCACCCACTGCTCAGCTCGAATGTACAGTGAAGCAATTGAACACTAGAAACACATGGATAATTTCAATAGAAAAGAAGATGACCTTGCTTTAGACAAGACGTCGTTCCCAATACTAAAGAACACAGCACCAATACCACGTCGCGCAGGGGACCTACAGTACCCCCACCAGACAGCCGCACACCCATCGAGTTTACCGATAAGTTTCAGTCCACCCGCCAAGCCGAGCTCTTCAGTCTCACTGAAGATGGCTCCGCAGATGTAGATGAAAGCTCTGGAGAAAATCCAGCCCGACCCCGGCTCAACAGCCTGAAAAACCTAAATAAGATTAGAACTAGCCGTCAAAGCCTTCATTCTTCAATCTATTTGTTTTTTAAATATTTTGCATTTGATGTAAACAACACATAATGTATGAATGTAACTAATTTTTAAGACCAAAATGAGAGACTCTTTCCTCTTTCGCTTTGGTTAATCTGTGTTCTTATCAATCGAGAAATGGACCATGTGTTTAAACATTTTATTTATCATGAGTTAGCATTCCACATAAAGGTATTACTATAAAATTATGTCAGGTCTCAAAACTTCACCCTATATAATCCACAAATTCAGTACGTTTCTATACTGTAGCCTTTTTTCACAAAATTATAAAACATATTGCAGGCAGATAAATAAAATATATAAGTGTATTATACTTCATAGTTTGATGAGCCATGTATTTCTTATAGTTCTTTAACGAGCCTATTCACCAGTAAGTAATTCGATATCTTTCAAAGATATGTAATTAGGTTCGTCTTCTTCATATTCGTTATATGTAACCTCATTTTCACCCTTTCTGTTGGCAGATGAGCCTAAGCTCTGACTATTTTCATCAAGAACGTTCTCTCGGCCATTTTCAGTGCTTGGTGCTTCAACATTTACGAACTCAAACTTGTCGTCATTTGCTTGTATAGTACTCGGATCGTTAGCTTGTCGCAACTCCTTATTTGCTTTTAATGCTCGCAATATATCTTTGTATTCGCTCCTTTCCCTGCATTTATAACAGTAATCTTCATGTGGTTTTTTGACTATTCTCTTACAAATACTGCATAGCTTCACTACCTTCTTTGCCTCATTAGACCTAGAAACTTCGTTCTCAGCAGGGCTTCCATGTTCTACCGCATCACTCGTATTTGTTCCAGCATCATCTTCATTACTCTTCTCAGCCTTCATTGCTTTTAATATCTTCTTATATCTACTCTTCTCTCTGCATTTATAACAATACTCTTCCTCTGGTTTCTTGACAATTCTTTTACAAATTCTGCATAATTTTGCTACATATTTGAATATAGCATCGTTTGGTCCTTCCTCCCCAATAGGCTGGATGGACTTTAATACGAGCTTGTTCTTTTTAGCCTCAGCAATCATTTTTGATTTTTCAGAAGAAATCTTAGGATGAGTGAGGCGTCTTCTTAAAAGGTCAGAGCATCTGGTGCATTTTTTGGAGTTATTTTTCAAAAAACGGCTGCACTTAGAGCATTTGTACATTTTGATAATATTCCCGGTTCTTGATGTATAGTAGGACACTTTAATTTGGGAATCCTTTTTCACAGCAGACTTACGCAATTTGCATTTTGGTTTACTTTTCTTTGCAGTGTCTTTGTTTAGATTATCGATCTCTAGTATATTAGCTGATGAGTCTTGTCTCATTGATGACTTTCCTGTACTTGACTTTTGATAAGGGTTAGTGACATCTTTGACTACTGAGTCACTTGTTGAGTGTGACTTCGCAGTTTTAGATACAGATTTTTTCTTGAGAAAACTTCTGTTAGTCGTGACATTTTCCCGCTTTTCTTTTCTTATAAGACAAACATGGCACTGCTTTGCATCCTTAGCCAAAAATGAATGACACCAGCCACATTTGTCTTTATATATCACTTTGTCATCTTTGTATCTATATGCGCATGAAATTCTCCACAACTTATCCGCTTTTACATCTTTATCTATTTGTTTTTTGTTTCTTGACTTTATCTGTTGCTTTCGAGCACCTATTCCACACTTGAAATGTATCTTGCCTTGCTTGTGGGTAAGGCACATGATACACTGCGTTGCATTTTTGCTAAGAAAAGATTTACACCACCCACATCTATATACTCTATATGTCTTATCATTTCTTTGAACTTTTTCTAAGACCCTCCAGATTTTTCCTTTCTTCTTCTTATTGATATCTTCCTCATTACTGTTTATAATTTCCACCTTCTTTAGTTTTAAAAGTTTGCCATTAGATTGGTTAACTGATTCCTTAGAAAACTGGTTTAAACTCATGGATGTAGTATCGACACGTTGTAAACATACAGCCTCTAGTATCCGTATAGATGGTTGTCCTAAAAATTAAAATTGTTAAACTTCTGAAATATAGTCTTACTACTACTGACAAACAGCTACTATCTAACTTAGAATTCTTCAAAGATCATCTACAGACTTGCTAGGATTGATACATAACCTATATTAACTACAATGGAAGACAAATATCAACACAAAATGAAGAATACTGTGCTAAGGGGTGTTTCAAAGTTCACGCATGATTTGAACTAAATAGGAAACAGTTTTTCTTCTAAAGAATTTTACTTTTTATTGGTGCGCTCAAGACGGTACCTTGGTGCCACATGCGATAGATCCCGTGAAACACTGCAATTTCGGCATAAAATAACTGACTCCCTAGACCTGCCTCGGGGCTTCTAGCTGCCTAGGTTGGACAACGTGTGATTCCAACAAGACGGTGCCAATATGCCATTCAGCTCAAGAGTCAACTGAATCGCAGCACAATGGGCCCCCTAATTTGTGTGATGTAACACCATTGGATTGCGTTTTAAGGAGCTATTTGAAGTCAAAGATATAAACTAATAAGAAACACTGTGTTTTCTATATAATTCAAATCTTGCGTAAATTTTGGGACACCCTTTATGAGATCACACAGATTATGAAATTTTCAGAGACTTTTTATTGGCCGATCCTGCATTGTCCTTCCTAAGACAAACAAGGTACGGTTTTGGATCTTTATTGAAAAATACAACCCACATTCACAATGTCTCTATACATCTTGTAGTCTCTATTCCTCAAACATATTGAATGCTCCTTTATCTATAAGTAGGTTTTTTTTCTTCAATTCCTTTTCTGTTCCTTTTCCGCTTTTGAAATGTACTCTGCCTCGATTTTTGGTGACACACATGACACACTGCTTAGCACGTTTGCTCAAAAAGGACTTACACCAACCACATCTGTAAATCTCAATCGAATTACCATTTCTGCTTTTAATTGTTGACACAATCCTCCACAGTTTTGTCTTATTATTTTTGGCCATTTCATGTTTTTGATGTGAAAATAAGTCACTAGGCTTTTTGATAGTTTCGATGACAACTGAGCTTCGCGATGTATCAATGGGTTGCATACGTGCAGCCTCTATAACTTTTATCGGTGGCAGTTCTAAAACATCAAACATTTAACTTTTGATAAAAAATGATCTGAAATATGCCAGAGCATCAGAAACGTAAACCACCTATGAAAAATTCACAACAAAGTTCAGATTCCGAGACTGTTAATTACCACACACAAACACAATCTTCGCTGAGATGTGTTCACCGGTCATTTCTCAGTCGTCTGAAATAAAATCTTATATCATTTTATAGAAAAATGCGAGGCCATTTTCTTGCACATAATGTTACTTTTTATACTCCCTCACCAGAATGGAAGAGAGTAACATAATACCTTTGTATTGTTTTGTCAGTCTTCCACCTAATAAGAGACACATTAACCACCTTATCTTCAATAGGATTTATTAAATACTTATTAGTAATGAACAAAAATATACAACGACTCGGTCGAAGCTAAACTCAAAATAAAACTGGAAAACCATCATATACAGCTTATCCTAAATAACAGAAGGAAATCTAATTCTAATACTAGAATCTATACTTAGAGAAGTACAACATGTTGCTCATAAGCAAAAAATGTACCAGCTTTATGAACTAAAACATGATAATAAATACTTTCCAAACGTAAGGGATGGTTATTTTAAAAATAAAAGTATGGTCAGCATAAGTAATGAGAAAATACAGAAATGTCTTACAATCTTAGATGGTTATATGAGAACTGCTTTAATAAGTACGTACAAACGTAAAACTGTCGGAGGGTCAAACATTAATGAATTTTGTGTATACTTATCAAACATAAAGTAACAAAATAAATATGTATTTGTTTGATCGTATACAACATATTCTTTAACATAAAAACAGTTGCTTGTGTAACACGTGAAAACTGCAACAAAACTGAAAAATCAAAGCACCATCTTACACAGCTAATACCAAAATCACTTGGATGTCATCCTAACACCTATACACAACGCATTAAAAAAGCAACCGTTCGTTTGCTGCGCTTGCAAGATGGAAGTTCAACAGAAAGTTACAATAAAAGAGGTATTTACAAAACAGTGATGTCAGAAAAGTTTATGGAAAACACGGTTGAAGCCCACCCAAAAAGACGACGGTTGAGGGTCTTGTAACAAAAAAAAACACTTTTACAAGTGCTGATGTTCCAAATAATATAACTCATGGACAAAGAGAACAGAACATCCAACAAAAATGTATTTTAACAGATTTTGTACGTTGTACATCGGAAATGTTCGAAAAGACTGTGATAGAAAATATTACCACGTTTCGCTTTTTGAATCCATAAGATGAACTTGCAATTTTTATACACTTTTACTCAGTCATAAATGAAACCTAATGGTAAAACTATATCATGCATAACTAACTTAACTCTGAACGAGATCGCACAGATAGCTTTTTAGGAAAACTCCTTCGCATTAAATGGAAATTTCAAAAATGTAAATTTGCCATATTTTATACTAGATGTTCACATATGAACGACATCGAATCACGAATAACGTGGACAAATAATGATGAATTTTAAATTCCACTCATGAAGCTCATTCAGATAGTATTCGTTGGAAAAATGCAACCGGGAACATTTTACGATAGCGTAAATAGAAAATTCAAGTAACATCAGCTCAGTCTCTTTACAAAATCAACCTGCAACTTCATGTGTATAGGATGAATGATTGAAATTCCACATAATCTATTTTTTATTCTCATTTAGGTTAGTCAGGCTGTTGTGCCGGGGTCGGGTTGTATTTTCTCCAGAGCTTTCAGCTACATCTGCGGTAGCCATCTTCAATGGCGCTCGCTGTCGTCGAGAGACTCGTCAGGTCGACTGAAACTGATCGGTCAAGTGGATGGGACTGCGGTTTTATAGGCGATCGGCTAACTGAGGACTGAGCTGTCTGTTGGGTTTACTCTGGGTGCCTGCGCGATGTGGTTTTAGTGATGTATTTTTTAGTACTGGGAACCACGTTTTGTTTAGAGCAAGGCCTTCTTCTTTTCTATTAAAATTTTCCTTGTGTTTGTAGATTTCAGTTGCTTGTCTGTACATTCGGGCTGAGTAGTGGGTGGATGTTGATAAGACTTCAGTTTGGTTGAACAAAACATTGTGTGCGTCTTGAAGTGCGTGTTCGGTGACCGCTGATTTATCAGTTTGTTCCAGTCGACAGAATCTTTCGTGCTTCTTAATCCGTGTTTGAAAGCTACGTTTAGTTGTGCTTACGTATACACCACATGGTCTTGACGTTGTGTTTCTGCAGCAACCTCCCTATTCTATCAGTGATGGTTCCCTGTTTCCTGTCTGCTTTTTTGTCATGAAATCTATTCTATTTGTTCCCTGCTATACCCGTTTACTTGTAAAACCATGTTAACATGATCCAGTTCCCCCTGCAGGTATTGAGGTTCACGAATTCGGTGTGTCCTGTCTATCAGATTTTTAATAACACCTCGTTTGTCCAGGATGATGGTTGGAGTCCTTGTGTAGATGTATGTCAGTGGTTGTCGCTTTGCGGTAAACTCTGTGACCCAGCTTTAACTTCTTTCATCTGACCACCAATACGTCTAGAATGGCCAGTTGATTGTCCTCATCATCTCCATTGTGAATTTGATTTTGGGGTGAATGCTGTTAAGTTGATTTCGGAACACTGCTAGTTCTGTTCTTTCGTGGCTCCATATCACAAAGGTATCATCCACATACTGTAACCAACGCCTTAAGTCACCTTAACAGCATTCACCCCAAAATCAAAATCTCAATGGAGATAGAAGAGGACAATCAACTGGCCTTTCTGGACGTATTGGTGGTCAGACGTGAGAACTTAAAGTTGGGTCACAGAGTTTACCGCAAAGCAACAAACACTGACAGATATCTACACAAGAACTCCAACCATCATCCTGGACAAAAACGAGGTGTCATTAAAAATCTGATAGACAGGGAACACCGAATTTGTGAACCTCAATACCTGCAGGGGAAACTGTATCATGTTAACATGGTTTTACAAGCAAACGGCTATCGCAGGGAACAAATTTCACGACAAAAAAGCAGACCGCCGCCGCCGGCAGGAGACAAGCAACCACCTTCGCAAGTCTCCTTCCTATCATACATTAAAGGCACTATGGATAGAATAGTAACGTCAAGACCATCTACAAGCCAACAAATAGAATCCAGCAACTCTTAACATCAGTAAAGGACCCGAGGGACAGCCTGAGCGGTACCGGCGTATACAGAATACCGTGTTCGTGTGGTAAAGTATATGTTACGTAAGCACAACTAAACGTAGCTTTCAAACACGGATTGACGAGCACGAGAAAATCTGTCGCCTGGAACAAATTGATAAATCAGTGGTGGCCGAACACGCACTCCAAGACGGCCACAATATTCTGTTCAACCAAACTGAAGTCAACATCCACCCACTGCTCAGCTCGAATGTATAGTGAAGCAATTGAACACTAGAAACACATGGATAATTTCAATAGAAAAGAAGATGACCTTGCTTTAGACAAGACGTGGTTCCCAATACTAAAGAACACAGCACCAATACCACGTCGCGCAGGGGACCTACAGTAACCCCACCAGACAGCCGCACACCCATCGAGTTTACCGATCAGTTTCAGTCCACCCGCCAAGCCGAGCTCTTCAGTCTCACTGAAGATGGCTCCGCAGATGTAGCTGAAAGCTCTGGAGAAAATCCAACCCGACCCCGGCTCAACAGCCTGAAAAACCTAAATAAGATTAGAACTAGGCGTGAAAGCCTTCATTCTTCAATCTATTTGCTTTTTAAATATTTTTCGCTTGATGTAAACAACACATAATGTATGAATGTAACTAATTTGTAAGACCAAAATGAGAGACTCTTTCCTCTTTCGCTTTGGTTAACCTGTGTTCTTATCAATCGAGAAATGGACTATGTGTTTAAACATTTTATTTATCATGAGTTAGCATTCCACATAAAGGTATTACTATAAAATTATGTCAGGTCTCAAAACTTCACCCTATATAATCCACAAATTCAGTACGTTTCTATACTGTAGCCTTATTTCACAAAATTATAAAACATATTGCAGGCAGATAAATAAAATATATAAGTGTATTATACTTCAGAGTTTGATGAGCCATGTATTTCTTATAGTTCTTTAACGAGCCTATTCACCAGTAAGTAATTCGATATCTTTCAAAGATATGTAATTAGTTTCGTCTTCTTCATATTCGTTATATGTAACCTCATTTTCACCCTTTCTGTTGGCAGATGAGCCTAAGCTCTGACTATTTTCATCAAGAACGTTCTCTCGGCCATTTTCAGTGCTTGGTGCTTCAACATTTACGAACTCAAACTTGTCGTCATTTGCTGGTATAGTACTCGGATCGTTAGCTTGTCGCAACTCCTTATTTGCTTTTAATGCTCGCAATATATCTTTGTATTCGCTCCTTTCCCTGCATTTATAACAGTAATCTTCATGTGGTTTTTTGACTATTCTCTTACAAATACTGCATAGCTTCACTACCTTCTTTGCCTCATTAGACCTAGAAGCTTCGTTCTCAGCAGGGCTTCCATGTCCTACCGCATCACTCGTATTTGTTCCAGCATCATCTTCATTACTCTTCTCAGCCTTCATTGCTTTTAATATCCTCTCATATCTACTCTTCTCTCTGCATTTATAACAATACTCTTCCTCTGGTTTCTTGACAATTCTTTTACAGATTCTGCATAATTTTGCTACATATTTGAATATAGCATCGTTTGGTCCTTCTTCCCCAATAGGCTGGATGGACTTTAATACGAGCTTGTTCTTTTTAGTCTCAGCAATCATTTTTGATTTTTCAGAAGAAATCTTAGGATGAGTGAGGCGTCTTCTTAAAAGGTCAGAGCATCTGGTGCATTTTTTGGAGTTATTTTTCAAAAAACGGCTGCACTTAGAGCATTTGTACATTTTGATAATATTCCCGGTTCTTGATGTATAGTAGGACACTTTAATTTGGGAATCCTTTTTCACAGCAGACTTACGCAATTTGCATTTTGGTTCACTTTTCTTTGCAGGGTCTTTGTTTAGATTACCGATCTCTAGTATATTAGCTGATGAGTCTTGTCTCATTGATGACTTTCCTGTACTTGACTTTTGATAAGGGTTAGTGACATCTTTGACTACTGAGTCACTTGTTGAGTGTGACTTCGCAGTTTTAGATACAGATTTTTTCTTGAGAAAACTTCTGTTAGTCGTGACATTTTCCCGCTTTTCTTTTCTTATAAGACAAACATGGCCCTGCTTTGCATCCTTAGCCAAAAATGAATGACACCAGCCACATTTGTCTTTATATATCACTTTGTCATCTTTGTATCTATACGCGCATGAAATTCTCCACAACTTATCCGTTTTTACATCTTTATCTATTTGTTTTTTGTTTCTTGACTTTATCTGTTGCTTTCGAGCACCTATTCCACACTTGAAATGTATCTTGCCTTGCTTGTGGGTAAGGCACATGATACACTGCGTTGCATTTTTGCTAAGAAAAGATTTACACCACCCACATCTATATACTCTATATGTCTTATGATTTCTTTGAACTTTTTTTAAGACCCTCCAGATTTTGCCTTTCTTCTTCTTATTGATATCTTCCTCATTACTTTTTATAATTTCCACCTTCTTTAGTTTTAAAAGTTTGCCATTAGATTGGTTAACTGATTCCTTAGAAAACTGGTTTAAACTCATGGATGTAGTATCGACACGTTGTAAACATACAGCCTCTAGTATCCGTATAGATGGTTGTCCTAAAAATTAAAATTGTTAAACTTCTGAAATATAGTCTTACTACTACTGACAAACAGCTACTATCTAACTTAGAATTCTTCAAAGATCATCTACAGACTTGCTAGGATTGATACATAACCTATATTAACTACAATGGAAGACAAATATCAACACAAAATGAAGAATACTGTGATAAGGGGTGTTTCAAAGTTCACGCATGATTTGAACTAAATAGGAAACAGTTTTTCTTCTAAAGAATTTTACTTTTTATTGGTGCGCTCAAGACGGTACCTTGGTGCCACATGCGATAGATCCCGTGAAACACTGCAATTTCGGCATAAAATAACTGACTCCCTAGACCTGCCTCGGGGCTTCTAGCTGCCTAGGTTGGACAACGTGTGATTCCAACAAGACGGTGCCAATATGCCATTCAGCTCAAGAGTCAACTGAATCGCAGCACAATGGGCCCCCTAATTTGTGTGATTTAACACCATTGGATTGCGTTTTAAGGAGCTATTTGAAGTCAAAGATATAAACTAATAAGAAACACTGTGTTTTCTATATAATTCAAATCTTGCGTAAATTTTGGGACACCCTTTATGAGATCACACAGATTATGAAATTTTCAGAGGCTTTTTATTAGCCGATCCTGCATTGTCCTTCCTAAGACAAACAAGGTACGGTTTTGGATCTTTATTGAAAAATACAACCCACATTTACAATGTCTCTATACATCTTGTAGTCTCTATTCCTCAAACATATTGAATGCTCCTTTATCTATAAGTAGGTTTTTTTTCTTCAATTCCTTTTCTGTTCCTTTTCCGCTTTTGAAATGTACTCTGCCTCGATTTTTGGTGACACACATGACACATTGCTTAGCACGTTTGCTCAAAAAGGACTTACACCAACCACATCTGTAAATCTCAATCGAATTACCATTTCTGCTATTAATTGTTGACACAATCCTCCACAGTTTTGTCTTATTATTTTTGGCCATTTCATGTTTTTGATGTGAAAATAAGTCACTAGGCTTTTTGATAGTTTCGATGACAACTGAGCTTCGCGATGTATCAATGGGTTGCATACGTGCAGCCTCTATAACTTTTATCGGTGGCAGTCCTAAAACATCAAACATTTAACTTTTGATAAAAAATGATCTGAAATATGCCAGAGCATCAGAAACGTAAACCACCTATGAAAAATTCACAACAAAGTTCAGATTCCGAGACTGTTAATTACCACACACAAACACAATCTTCGCTGAGATGTGTTCACCGGTCATTTCTCAGTCGTCTGAAATAAAATCTTATATCATTTTATGGAAAAATGCGAGGCCATTTTCTTGCACATAATGTTACTTTTTATACTCCCTCACCAGAATGGAAGAGAGTAACATAATACCTTTGTATTGTTTTGTCAGTCTTCCACCTAATAAGAGACATATTAACCACCTTATCTTCAATAGGATTTATTAAATACTTATTAGTAATGAACAAAAATATACAACGACTCGGTCGAAGCTAAACTCAAAATAAAACTGGAAAACCATTATATACAGCTTATCCTAAATAACAGAAGGAAATCTAATTCTAATACTAGAATCTATACTTAGAGAAGTACAACATGTTGCTCATAAGCAAAAAATGTACCAGCTTTATGAACTAAAACATGATAATAAATACTTTCCAAACGTAAGGGATGGTTATTTTAAAAATAAAAGTATGGTCAGCATAAGTAATGAGAAAATACAGAAATATCTTACAATCTTGGATGGTTATCTGAGAACTGCTTTAATAAGTACGTACAAACGTAAAACTGTCGGAGGGTCAAACATTAATGAATTTTGTGTATACTTATCAAACATAAAGTAACAAAATAAATATGTATTTGTTTGATCGTATACAACATATTCTTTAACATAAAAACAGTTGCTTGTGTAACACGTGAAAACTGCAACAAAACTGAAAAATCAAAGCACCATCTTACACAGCTAATACCAAAATCACTTGGATGTCATCCTAACACCTATACACAACGCATTAAAAAAGCAACCGTTCGTTTGCTGCGCTTGCAAGATGGAAGTTCAACAGAAAGTTACAATAAAAGAGGTATTTACAAAACAGTGATGTCAGAAAAGTTTATGGAAAACACGGTTGAAGCCCACCCAAAAAGACGACGGTTGAGGGTTTTGTAACAAAAAAAAAAACACTTTTACAAGTGCTGATGTTCCAAATAATATAACTCATGGACAAAGAGAACAGAACATCCAACAAAAATGTATTTTAACAGATTTTGTACGTTGTACATCGGAAATGTTCGAAAAGATAGAAAATATTACCACGTTTCGCTTTTTGAATCTATAAGATGAACTTGCAATTTTTATACACTTTTACTGCTCTATATTCATTGTCATTAACTTTTGCTTACACCTCAGTATAATTTGTTTGAACTTGTTTCACATCCCTTGGTATTGCTTTTCAAATACCAGAAGATAAATGTATTATTTCATCTAGCCATCGTGTCTGTGTGCTACACGTGCCTTTGAAGCCGGACATGATTATCTTAAAATCTAAGCTCCAAACTACTAAGTACTATAGTTACGGGATTGTACAGTGAATGAGATAGTTCATTTTTCAAAGCATAACAAAATGCTTGAAAATATATGTGTGACGCATAGTCTGCAAACGATGGAATGAATTAACTAAAAAATATTTGTATACACATAAATGGTGCAGATCTAGTTTTGAAGAATCAACCCTAAATGTGTATCTAATTTAGATAAATGTATGTTTCTGCTTACAATAATACTATAAAATCGACAAAATGAAAAAGTTTATTTCTGATGAAATCGGAGGTCAATAGAGCACACATTTTTTTTGTGAGGAAGGTTCAACGTAACAATTTAGTTTTCATCATCAAGAGCTTCAATCCCGCTCAATGTTAGGCAATATTCTTGTTCGTCATCATCCACATCTACAATCTCAATGACAGCACTATCAGTTAACTCACGAGTAGATATTTCCATGCCTTGATTGTTATCATGGATCAACCTAAGAACGTTGCTGGTGCTTTGTTCTTCTGTATCCTCGCATTTCGCTTCACTTTTTCTACTACTGGTTGGACTTGCTTTTTCTGCAGCGCCGCTGTCCTCTTTCTTCATTTTCATCGTATCTTTGTAATTACAAACATAGCAATAGTCTTCTTCAGCCTTTCTGACGCCTTTTTTACAAAGTTTGCACGACATAACTATAGGTTCCTCTTCCTTTTTAATTTTTTTCTTGAGTATTGGTTTTCTTTCTGGTTTAGCCTTTATTTGTTTCTTGGTTACTGCTCTAGTTGTTAATTTCTTCAATCTGGCTGCTATATGTGGAGTCTCAAAACGCCTTTGCAGCCTTTGAATGCATTTGGTGCATTTTTTGGTGTCTTTGCTCAAAAATGCGCTGCAATTGGAACATCTAGACACTTTAATGACATGTCCTGTCTTTTTGGTAACTTCTATTATTTCAATTTTATTCTTCCTCTTTTGCGGTCCCTTCCTGAGACCCTTTTGTGATCCCTGAACCTTCTTAAGACTTGCTTTTGTGGGACTGTCTTTCTTTTGACCTTTGTTATTAGGTGAATCATCTTTACTCACAGGTTTGGTACACTTTTTTCCAACCACTTGTGTAGAAGACTTCTTGGATACTTTGCCAGGTGTTGAATCTTTCGTAGTAGTGCTAGCTGATTTTTTGACAGAACACATTGCAGATTTTTTCTTGCCCGTACATTCAATACACTCCTTGGCATCTTTGGTCAAAGAGGAGTTACACCAGCCACACCGGAATGACACATAAACCTTTCCATCTCGTCTGAAGGTAAACGCCTTCTTCCATAGTTTATTTCTTTTGATTTTATCTTCTCTGCTTTTCTTCAGTTGTTGTTCTTCTATCAACATCGAGAGTTTCTCTGTGGGTTTGCTAGTCCTTTTAAATTTTGGTCTTGGAGCTGGTGTCTTGGGTACAGTGTCGATGTGTTGTAGGCCCAAAGCTCCGAATATTATGCTCTGTTTACCTGAAAAGTACTAATATTAGAAGCTCGTGATCGGAATCTTATTGCTACTGACATATGATTAACATATAAAACGTTCAATTTACAAAAAAATATAGAAAAGGTAACCATGCAATAAATACGATTGTTTGTTCACTAATTAATACAGTTTAGCGATTAAGGGCCGTATCATCAGTCATTCCTACAATTGTAGTACGCCACCTTGATTGTCATAATCTTTTCTCTCCTTGAGAAATTTCTAGATTTCACCTGTTCTGTGTCAGCGTCAGCGCTCTCCTATTGTGAACTTATGTTTTTTTTTTAAATTGTAGGAAATTTCAGGCTGATAAAACAGATGATATAAATCAAAAGCATGAACAATTTGATGCAAAGAGATATTTGTGACATAACCTCAAAATAGGCCGCTGACACGGAAAAGGAGAAAACTGTGACAATCAAGGAAGCCATAAAGGCGTCCTACAATTTTAGGAGCGATTGACGATACGGCTTTTAGGAAGATATAGAAAAATGGTGGATGGACAATTTATCAGATCAGGTGAATGTGTGGCATTCATCATTGTCTACAAATCTTCTTAAGATCATTAAGACAGTTTATTTACTTCGTCTCTCACTCTTTAGATGCAGCAATCCATAAGAATAAGATAGAAGATCATACTTTTCAGGTCAATTGGCGAGGAGGCATTGCCATAGCGAAATTTTTGAAAATGGGATGTTTCCCTTGGATATTATAAGACGTGTACATCACGAAAGACCATGTCACTCATTTCTGTCGATCTCTCTATTTGTCAGTCTCTCTGACAGCTATCCCTTAGCCCATCTGTAACTTGGAAAATATCTCTCAAATTTTGATGAAATTTTGACACTGGGTTACTATTATGCCAGGAACGGAAGAGGAATCGATCAAGTAGATGCGAAGATACGGATAAAAGAAGAAAAAATAATCTGTGATCTAACTAACGTCACGTTATGATGCTTTAGGGACACCTAACATATTCATTTTCAGGAGCCTTTTCGTTGGGTAAGAATTGGCGATTGTTGGGGTCAGTGGTTGCAAATGTAACATTTTTGGTGTCAGTAAAAAACGTTCTATTGTTGATACTACGCATCTACTATATATGAGTTATACACAAATATGTCAAGTAACGCTAGTAAGTTCACTCACAGAAGATCATATAATAGGAAGGTTCGACATTTTTCGTATTTCTCTTATTTTGATTAAAATCGGGGATTTTGTTATTAAAAAACGGTCAAAGAAATTTGAGTGCAACATATTAATATTTACGTCGACGGAAAGCATTTTAAAATCAAGGATCGACCCGAGGCTAGAGAACGTACCTGGAGACTAGACCGCGTGACGTCAGTAGCCAGACACGTGCTGTCGCCCTCATAGATTACTTGTATCTTGTATTGTCTTGTATACGGATTACGGAGTGAAGAGTATACGAATACGAATTTATATAAACTGGGGCCGACGTTTGTATACTTTATTTATTTGTGCTAGCACAATCCTCCAAGCTTACCTATCAGAAAGCTGATTAGCGAAATTTACCCCATGTGAATGTGGAAATGGTGTACGAGTTTTTGGCAAATAATGCAAATTTAAATGAACCTCAGAGCAGCGGTGTTAAAGTTGTTCGGTAAGTACCTATATGAAGCTATTTTTTTTTGTTTAGCTCCAATAGGTAGTATTTTTTTGTATCTCTCCACAAAAATTGATCCAGCTTTGCCTTAGGCCCGTATCGTCAGTCGTCCCTACAATTGTAGGGCACCTTTATGGCCTCCTTGATTGTCATAGTTTTATACTACTCCGTGTCAGAACTCTATTTTGAGGTTATGTCACAAACATCTAGTCGCATCAAATTGTGCTTGCTTGTGAGTTATATCATGTTTTATCAGCCTGAAATTTCCTACAATTTAAAAAGAAAACATATATTCACAATAGGAGAGCGCTGACGCTGACACGGGACAAGTGTAATCTAGAAATTTTTGAAGGAGAGAAAGCAGTATGACAATCAAGGAGGCCATAAACGCGCCCTACAATAATTGTAGGGACGACTGCCGATACGGGCCTTAGTCTATTGAAAGCTAATAATATTAAGACATAATAATGCCTGCTCATGACAATAATTTTTAAGGCTATTTATACATACATACCTTTTTACCTTGTTACGCCTATTGAGAGCCCCGAAATTGGTTCTTTTTGCATACATAATGAGGCTTTTTTACACTATTCAGAAGTAAAGTATGGTACCTAATATGTTTTCAATGAGAGAAATTCCAGGGATGTAGAGAGAATCTTATTTTTTTAGGGTCTATTGGGGAATACTTAAATTAGGGGGGAGGCAGTCACATTATCGAATTTTATAGCTACTTATATAACAAAGTTTAGGGCTGCGTTCAGATACCTCCTTTATTCTATCAAACCATCCCCCCCCCCCTTAAAAGATTTACTGATATATGCCTTAAATGTCCAGAACAAAGTAAATATTACATATACGGTACTAGTAAAAGACGTTCTGTTGTTAGAGACCCAGTAACATTACGCACCTTTCATACATATTGTCCATACACTTGCCAGTTTTACGACATATTAAGTAAGTTACATGAGCACACCTAGTCAACCTTCGATTTCATTACAGTCTTTTGAATAAGTCATTATTGTTTATTAAACATGTGAGTAGTTAACATTTTTTTAAGAGGGTTTGCCACATTTCCGTTTTGGCAGCCACAAATACAGCAGGTACCTCCGTGTTATCTTGCACTCTATACTTGTATAAATGCCTCGAATGATTTTTTCATCATCGTTCATAAGGCGATAGATTTGTAAATAAACCGAACATTATCTAATTGATGACAGACTTGCGTGGAAAGCACATAATCAACCTACGTTTTTTGTTTTTCATAGAATTGAAAAAGGAAACTTCACTGGGATATTCAAGCATATATTTATTTTTATAATAATAACAGTATGATCGTTCAATAAAATGCATAGCATCTTACGTCACTATATAACAATGTTATAAGTAATAAAATTATACGTACTGATCTTGGAATTATTTATTAAAAAAATATTGTGATACGATAGAAAAAATGCTGAAACTCACTTTTGCAATAATGCAAAAACAACTAAAAATATCATCTAATTTAGTGGATATTCGGACGTTCTTAAAAACAGGTGGTAAAACTATATATCATTCAAACTTATACGTTTTTGTCATGGCGGTCTTAAGCCATGTAAAGTGGCCCTTAGGCAGATATCAGCTCGCGACCTGCAGTTGAGGGGCCCTAGGGCAGTGCGAAATCTTAAACCCTCTTTATAGTGATGTGATTTCTAGTTCGTTTCGGTGAACTAGTTCAATAGATCTCGTTCGCGAACTCTTTCCTAGAACTATTTTAAGCAACAATACCACATAACCCGTTATAATGCCGGTGAAAATGCTGTTAGTATTTGGATGGATAACCACTTCGGTATTTCTCGTCTTTTTGATTTTTCTGGTTCTCCATTTTTTTCTGTTAATATACCTAGATGTTTCAAATTCAACTCTTGCTCGCATAGTAGATATACCTATGCCATAAACACATTTTCTAACAAACTCAAAGAATGTGAGATACACTTTTGTTTGTTGTTTCCACCAATTAAGATTTTTAATGAATAATACATATCTCTGATAGGGTTGCCAGATGTCTTCCCACCGGGAGAACCGTCGTCTTTTTTAGTATCGTAGATGCAAGTCAAGCGGAAAATGAACCGAAGAAGAAGAAAACAGGCTCAGACCCTTGGGACCATTTTGAACTTGATTTTTTTTCTGTAACTTTGGTTTGATTTTTGGGTACTTTGGGTAACCATCAAGCGGTGGCCCTGGAGGCGTGCCCTTGATACCCATAGTGTTAACGTGGAATGTATTTCTACTCTAAGTTGCAGGCATATGTTGCGAGCGGTATTTGAGTTCCAACCTGCTGCAAACTGTGACCATTACAATGGATTTCTGGCTCTTGCCCGCGTAATATACAGTCTGCCAAAACCAAAAGTTCGCCAGTTTTTGGCCTAACAGACATGCTTGAAAATCACCTTAAAATGAAGTAATGTCAAAATACTTCTCGAGGTTTTCTAAAGCAAGGTCTACACTTTAACCTCGAAAATTATTATTTTGGACCGAGATTTTATGCGTTAGATGTACCCACTTTTAGGGCTTTTCAGACATTAAATAGCTTATAACTGTGTGAGCTTTGCATAAAAGATAGTGGAAGCTTTTCTTGTTCGGAAGGATTCAAAAAACCTGAAAAACAGTTTCCTGGGCAAACATTTTAATTTATTACATTCAGTGGTTAAAATTCGGTAAAAAGATGCATTTTAAGGTCCTCAGGTATCTTAATTAAAGTTAAAGCCGTGCTAATTTATACTGAGGCGATTTCAACCTTATTTTTCATGGCAAAATTGTAGACTGGTGAAATTGTGTATTTACCATCGATAACATCCAAGTTGATTCAGGCAAAAAATGCGGCTTTACGAGTATTAGGAAGACCATGTTGCTAAATATTTCCGCCGCTATTTGGAATTCCAGCAAGACCTCCGATTTTATCCACGGTAAACTGGAAAACCCTGTATTACACAAAATATGCTTATCAAAAATTCTCCTGAGGATGATGACGTCTTATGTGCTTGGATAAGTTCTCCTTCAATTTCGCCTTATAGCTGCAACTGTCGTACGGGCAAAGAAAGTCAGCTTCTCTTCCACATTCAAACTTCAAATGCCTTTGAAGAGATCGTTTGTGAATATATGCTCGAAAACAGGTCTTGCACTTGAACTCTAGAATCGGACATTACATTAGAATATTCATTTAAATAACAATTAACCGTGGGTTGAATTTAAACACGGTCAGTGCGCTCAGACTTTTAGTGCTGTCGAGATTCGGGAAAATATTGAAAAGTTGAGTGTATCACATTCAGATTTTACAGCACTGAACAATAAATGTAAATTTTATGGTGTATTACATGTTTCTTCATTAGAACCATTAAGCGCATATTAGCCCTAGAACTGCACATTTATTTTTTAACACAAGAACTGCACAGTGGGGTTTCTGTAACCACATAAAGATTTTTTTTCCATTTATTGCAGATTTTATTATACGGTTTCATTTTTGTATTAAATAATATAAATGCATATCGGTTTATATATTTATAGTATAAAAATAATTGAGTTCTTAGCTAAGTATGTTTTATTGCGAAAAATAAAAAAATGCACATTCTTAACAATGTCATAAAAAAAATTAATATATGAAAAAATCCTGAAATATATTACAAAATTTCTTCTTAATTTCAAAGGAAACATATTTATCTTATGTAAAAAAAACATTAGATTCCGATAATACCTATACCCTTTCTTAGCCACAATCTGCAATATTTGGTTCATTCGTGGTGATGTTCACACTCGCAGCAAAGTCTAGCCCTATGTAACATGCAGTAGGGCCTATGACACCCAGCACAAGCATGCTTTATTTTCCTGTCCTTGTGTCGTGGGCATAAAACACATCATCTTGATTGTCTTGGCAGATTTACCTGGGGATAATCTTTTTGTGGAATATCTAGCCGTAAAATGTCGCTAATATTTCGACGCAATGAAGTTTGTAACGTCGTAACTTTTAGCCTCTCTCGTAGAGTGAATTTACCAATTCTTTTATAAAAAAATTTCGATTATTTTTCGGATTGGCGAGGGAACAAGCACCATTGCATTTATACCAGCAGCATCCAGCATGTTAAAAAAATTCTCGTTTTTCTTGATGTTGTATATGAGTGTCAGAGCTGATCAAAAGTATCGGTTCCACCTTTAGTTTCATTGTAGGAATGAATTATATTTGGTTTTAGGGTACCTGGATTCATGGATGAATCGGTGTGTAATGTGGTCAATACCAAAACAATTTTCTGTTTCTTTGGAGTAAATGAAACAAGTGTTTTTTTCCATCGTACGCAAAAAGAGCTGTACCTACATCTTTTTTGGTCAACAAACTTGGTGGAAGTTCTCTTTTATTTTTGCGTCGGGTACCCAGGATAGTAAGTTGATGATGTTCAAGTATTTCATCTGATAGAGGAATGGATGTGAACCAATTATACATAGTGATAGTACGCCCAGTTCCGTATATTGGTTCTGCCAGTTTTCTTACGTAGTATGAAGGCACTGGTTCTTTATTTTCAACCTTAACTTTACCTACATATGGAATAGCGTTTATCATATAGAAAGTTTTTGAGTCATTCATCATTACTATCTTTACTCCATACTTATCAGGCTTATTTTGGTTATATACAATTAATGGATATCTTCCTCGAAATCCCACCAGTTGTTCGTCCACAGTACAGTGGTCAGATGGAGTGTAGTAGGATTTGCAATTTTCGACAAAGTGATCCCAAATTTCACAAATATGTGTAAATTTGTATGCCTCTTTCCTTTCTTTCCTAGTATTTTTGTCATCAAGACTTAAGCATTGCGCTAAAAACTGGAATATCTGCTGGGACATAGTGGCTCTAAATAAGCCATTCCCATATTTTATCGATCATAATTCGTCCAAACTAGAGTTTGAAACCCTTAGCACTCCAACAAGATACAGTAGCCCAATAAAAGCTTTTATCTCTACAATGTTAGTTGTCTTTTTGTAGCTCTGTGACATATATTCTGATCATTTCTTTGAAATCTCTTCATTTGTATGGAGTAAAATAATCTTCAGTATTTGGTCACTAAACAATAATTCCCCAGCATCAATTTTCCAAATATATAGAAAAAACAAGTAGCTTTGCATAAACTCAGAAGTGGTGGGTTGTATGATGTTTTTACTTCGGTGTTTCCGACGCACATCCGTTTTGGCCTGATGAAGTCAATAAGAAGAAACATTTACCTTCACCTATCTTTATTGCGGATATGATCACAAGTGACTTCTTGTCTTTTTAAATATGACACTAAAACATGGATCTAATGACAAAACTGTCAAAAAATTAGCTGCCAAGAGCACTTGTAGTATGCAGAATTAGGAGACAAACAAATCATTTACTGGCTACCTATACCTAGTCTGAACTCGTTGATACAGATAGATTCTAATTTGATCAGATATCACCTAGAAGGGCATTTTGATCTTTGAACCAGTGCGTTTAACCATTCGTCATTTGTTGGTCTGGGCGGTCCGTAGTCACTGTCTAATGTACGTTAGTTGAATATGTTAGTCCTGGTTGCCCAGAAACCAGACAATGTCAAGGGGTTAGAGCGTGTGTGATAGCTCTTCCGTGTGAAGAGTCATGCTTTTCTGGGAACTGGGGAAGGCATCGGAAGAGAGAAACTACTCCAGACAAGCTAAAAGGTTTATAGATGATCCTGAAACGTCGAACGCTCTGGTTAAATTGGGAGAGAGAATCACATGTTGTTCTAGTAGGTATTTCCACAAGGCACTTCACACAGGGCAGGTCCTTGTCAGAATGAACAGAATGTCCATCTGCACCAAGTGGTTAAAAGAAATCAAGACCACATGATGCTTAAGCGAATGTGAACATAGTTTTGAACCTTCTCATTAATAGAACAACGAAAAGAAAAATATTAAGATTTTTGTGTTGTATTTATTATCAAACATCGAATTATAAAAATATATAATTTTTTATATTTATTAAAGTTCAAAAACATTCTTTCATATGCTGACGTCTTAAGTGCTTGGTTAAGTTTTCCTTTAATTTCGCCTTGTAGCTGCAGTTTGCATGCGGACAAAAAAAGTCGGCTTCTCTTCCGCATTCGAACTTCAAGTGCCTTTTCAGAGAGCTTTTGTAGTTATAAGTGCGAAAACATTTTGTGCACTTGTTTGCTGCAAGTCGTGTGAGGTTAGAATATTTATCAAGAGAAAAATATAGTAGATCCAGACCCAATAAGGATTAATCACATCCAATTTATTAAAGTTTAATAACAGAGTAAGACCCAAGTCATGACTTCTCAACAATTCAATGCCAGTTGCAGGACTGTACTGTTACTAGCATCAAGATGGTGACGTTACTACCATGGAAGAATCTTAGAGAGGTAGATTCTCCTTTTAAACACAATGTACCCTTTAAGCACGTTTAACACCTAAGATGTGTCACTGACATCGTAGCCAGTTTAATGTGAGCATCAATTATAACCCACTGGCGAGATGCAACTATTTAGGCGAAACCACGTGGACAGCGATTGAAATATTAGAAGGTAAGCTAATTCAAATATTTACACACGTTTCTTATGGAGTCTTCGCTAAGCAGTAAATACTTCGGAAAATAGTGCGATGCTCCAGGAAGCAGCTAATAAAGTCACATTATCCTTTCACAATCCGCCAATGAGGTTAAGCACTAAAAAAATGGTCAGAAGCAATAAAAGTATAATTGGTTCCTCCATCATTATTTTACTTTAGACTTTGAGCGACTTCAAATCCTGCAATTCTGTGGAATTTGAGGATATTATGTGAAAAAAAATCTTCAACTTGACCCATTGTATTGAATGGCCATTAGGGTTAAGCAATATTCTTACGGTTTTGTCCAAAGAAGGTGTGATTACGATTTTATAGAACCTCTTCCACGAACGTCACTATTGAGTACAGGTGTAAATAATATTAATAGCATTTTTAAAGTAAAAGTTCTGAGGCGTGTTGTTATGTGACTGTTTCCTATTCAACTGGTCTCCGTCTCCGATGAGTATTTATCACATAGGCTGAAGACGTATTCAACCCGTTTTTGATAATCAACATCACTAGAATTACGGAAATTTGAGAAAAATATAAATCGACGTAATCTGTGAAGCTGTAAATACAAAATTCAAGTCACCTCATTTCTGTCTGCCATCTTATGTTTAAGCACCGCCATCTCTAGGACTGTGCTCTTCGCCACTGAGTGAGAGCGTACTTTCCTGCCATTAATTTTTGCGATTATTTACTGTCAGGAAAGCTGGTTTTTCCGTCACAAGAGGAATTAACCGCAATCTTTCTGTGAGGATTGTTGACTTGCCAACTCGACACGCACAATATCATAAAAAATTAACAAATTTTCCCACTAACTGCCAAATATTCAGGGAGGAAATACCGAGGAAAACACTTTCCATCCATAAAAAAGGAAAGTCTTGTAACAGGAAAGAATAGCATGATTGAATTGCAGGAAATGGAAAATAAAACTGTCAAAATGCCGAACCTACTGTAATATTTGACAATTAATAAGAATTTGTGCGTGTTCAGTTAGCAAGTCAATTAACTTCAGGGAAAGCTCATTTCTCTGCTGAATGAACAATGAGTTTTCAAGACAGGAATAATGATATGATTGAATTGGCAGAAAAGAACATTCGTGCATGGGCTGTAAATGCACTTCATTATTTTCAACGTGTATTTGTCGATTTAAAGTCAAATTATCTCCCAAAAAGACATATTCTTATTGTAAGTGAATTAAACATGTTATAGACAAGTTGTCTCGAACTTGGATATAACATAAACTGCACTTGAGGCGTGCGTTTATTGGTATAGATAAAGAGTTACGGGATCTAAGCTTATAACTAACATACCGGAGAGTTAAGGCATTATCGTCAGTCTTTTCGAAAATTTATTGTAGGATGCCTTTATAGCCTCCTTGATTTTGATAGTATTTTCTCTTCTTCAGAAAGGCTGGGGTATTTCTAGATGTCTACTGTTCCGTGTCAGCGAGGACGCTCTCCTATTGTGAGTCTATGTTTTCTTTTTGAATTGTAGGAAATTTCAGGCTGATATAACAGAGGATATAAATCAAACGCATGAAGGATTTGGTGTAAATATAACCACAGAGTACTACACATAACCTCAAAATAGAGCGCTAACACGGAACTCTAGAAAGCTGTGAAAATCAATTGTAGGACGTCTTTATGGCCTCCTTGATTGACATAGTATTTTCTCTCCTTCAGAAAGGCTGGAGTATTTCTGGATTCCACCTATTCCGTGACAGCTTCAGCGCTCTTCTATTGTGAAGTTATGTTTTGTTTTTGAATTATAGGAAATTTCAGATGATATATCTCAAACGAATGAACAATTGTGATGCAAATAGATATTTGTGACATAACCTCAAAATAGAGCGCTGACACTGAACACTAGAAAACTATGAAAACCAATGAGGCCATCAAGGTGTCCTATAATTTGTAGGAACGACTGACGATACGGCCCTTAGTAAGCTCAAATGTCCAATATTTCGTTCTAAATCCTTCCGAGTTGGTTAGTATGAAAGAGAATTGAAAAGTTAGTCGCTATTTAGAGAGTTAGGCCTTCATTATACTTCAAGGTAGCGGCGACGAGTGCCGAGCAGAGTTTCCAGCTGGACCAGATAGAATATGCACATTTATGCAATCATCGCACCCTTATATTCTCTTATTCTTGACTGATCAATACTAGCGCGATCGAGCGTGGTTGTTTCCTTGTTTTGTCGTGGGGTAATTGAATGAAGCTATAAGAGTTGAAATTGTTTGGTTGTGGGTAGTTTCACACGCCTGAAGACGAAACCAGATACCCAAAAAATGCCCAAAGCTTTCAATTTTAATTATACCCAAATAACCTCATAGAAAATCTCCCCCTCCCAAAAAAAATCTCAGTTATATAGCTCCGACCAATCTATTCGTCATTTGTTTGTCTGGGTGGTCCGTAGGACCTTTACCCATTAGTCTCTGTCTAATGTATGTTAGTGGAATCTGTCAGTCCTGGTTGCCCAGAAACCAGACAAAGTCAAGGAAAAAGAGAAAGGTAAAGAGAAGAAAAAAGGAGAAGAGCAAAGAAATTAGATGTGCTTAGTTTAAGAGAAAACACCTAGGCTTTTTGACTTGGTACACGGATTAATTTTGAGGTGAACTAAACAAATTTTTTATTCGGTTTTGTTAGAGTGTAATTTTGAGTTTACTAAAAATTCGTGCAAGCTTTTGATTACAGTGCGAGCCATGGCCTTGAATGTTTATGAACTTGCTCCACTGTGTAGTCCACTGAGTCACGTAACAGACGCTTGCTGTGCGATTCCGCTTGACTATAACGTTGCTGCGCCTGAAGCTTGACATAAAGACATAAGGAGTGTCAAGGTCTCTGTGTAGTGTCTCATTTGAGACATACCATGGAGCACTGCAAATTGTCCGCAAAGTTCTGCTTTGCAGTACTTGAAGACTTTGCATGTGTGTCTTGGTAAGAAAACACCAAGCTGCACATGCATAAGTAAAGGCTGGTCTAATAATCATTTCATCTAGTCGAACTTTGTTTATCAAACTCAATTTGGAGGATCTGCATAGCAAAGGATATAGTTGCCGAAACGCAATTTGGAATTTTGTTTTTATGGATGCTGTATGTTTTTGCTAGGTCATGCCATTATCAAGGGTGACACCGAGATACTTGGCAGAATTTGTCCATGGTACACGATTTCCGTCTACAAAAACCTCTGCTGGGTGGTCGCGACGTTTTTTGGTACAATAAATAGCCTGCGTTTTCGAATGAATAATTTTCATCAGCCACCTTTTCGCCCACTGTAGAACTTCGTCCACCGCACTCTGCAGCCCATCGCGAACCAGATCACCAGTAAACTACTGGGCGACATCATGGATGAAAAGCGAATAAAGAATTGGTTCTAGGACCGAACCCTGAGGAACACCGGCCCATACTAGCCGTGTTGTTGACAAAACATTGTTAATTTTGATTCCGAAGGGAAAACCCTTTTGGATTAGTTTATAGAGGAGGTCCGCGTGCCGCATACCTTGTCAAAGGCTTTTGAGACATCCAAAAGTAGGATGCCAGTACTCATGCTGAGGGTGAACCCTCTGGTTACAAGCTCCACCAGCCTGACTGCCTGTAGCTCGGTGCTATGCTCGGGCCGAAAACCGAATTGGGCGTCAGGGATCACATGGTGATTTGACCAAAAATTCTCAAGGTGACGATAAATCACCTTTTCGGCGAGCTTAGAAGGAGATGACAGCAGACTTATCGGACGGTAATCCTGAGGAAATGTCGAACCCACCTTCTTTGGAATCATGATGACCTCAGCAGTCTTCCACCCAGCAGGGAAGTACTGGATTCTGAGCGTCGCATTGATTATTGTCACCAAATATGTCAGGGCTTTCGGCGAGAACAGCTTCAACGCCTTGTTGGTGATTTGATCCTCCCCAGCTGCTTTACACACCTTGAGGTCTTTAATATGACTTAGGAGCTTCGCTGGTTTCCAATGTGGAAACTCAGAGGGTTCCGCTAATGTGCTATGTGGAGCCTCAGACGAATCTTCTGAAGAAGAGTCATCTGAAGAGGATTCAGTGCCTCCGCTAACGCCGTTGGCCCTAAAATATCTCCTGACGGATCGTACGATGTGCTGTTCCTTGTCGAGGTCATTATCGAGATCGTAGTTGGGAGAGAACTGTTTTTCCATGGCATCAGCGAGAACCTAGATCTTATCCTCCGTTATGAAGACTATGCCTTCAAGACCGTGGATGTGTGGGAGTTGTTCTCGCTTTCCGTTTCTGAGTGACTTTGCGACCCTCCAGAGAGAAATACTTGAATCAAGCATTCTCGCCAGAACGTCGCTTCATTGCTCTTTGCGGAGTTCAAGCAGTGCATTTCTCACTTCATGGACAAGATTTGTAGCCCTACGTATGTCATCAGGACGACAAGACCTTTTTGCCTGCTTAATAGCGGCTTTTTTGTCAGAGATTTTCTGACGAATGTCGGCAGGCAAAAAAGATCTGCTGTGTCGTTGTACAGGAAGTACGCTGTAGAGCTGCTTGAATGAAACTTGTCCACTCCGCTTGAGCGCTATCCATTCCAGACTCATCATCTATAATCGGGATATTGGGAAACTCTCTAACGAGCAGCTTGTATAGGTCCCAATCAATGCGTTTCCTTGGAGGAGCTGCCTCCTCAGAAGTTTGCTCATTGCCCACATCCAAGACAACAGATAGATGGTCACTAGAGATATCATACAAAATTCGAGAAGAGATACTGTATCTACAGTTTTTAGATATCGCCAAGTCGATGACATCTGGTGCTTGAAGATGGTTGAATGGATGGTGAGTCGGCTCTTCAGTGCTACGTATAAGGTACCCATTTCGCCTCACATCGTTGTACAATCGAATCCCACTAGTGGAATTCAACCTAGAATCCTGCCACAATAAGCGGACCCGAGAAGTCCAAAAGGACCTCCAGATCCGCCTGTTGTAGCCTGGCACCACACCTGACATACACTGATGTGATCTTCAACGAGACACCTCCCGCCATATCGACCACCACAGAAGCTGCTTCGGTGCTATGCATCTCCGCATTAGTGCTTCTATAATAGACTATACTGCGCTTAATCCACACTGCTAAACCGCCACCTCGACCATTCAATCTGTCGCCTCGGGTAACATCATAATCCGGGAGAGCTAAACGATCTCACGGATTAAGCAACGTTTCCTGCAGCAAGGCCACATCTATACCATCCAAAAGAACTTGATGAAATTCCCGTTTTTTGGGAATATCCCTCATGCCCAAACACTTCCAAAAAAGAATTTTGATGAATGCAGGCTGTCTACTATTGTACCTAGACATTGACAGAAAATATCGCCTGCAACGCTTGGGTAGCGCTAATCAGTGGGCTTATTATTTGTTGTAAGGACCTTAGCGCGGTTGCCAGGTCCACATTTTGCGTGCTCAAGGGAGGTTGGGCAGAGGGGGCAGGCAAGGTTGCCTCCCTAGCTGCGTCCGCGTATGATAGATTGCGCCTTTGTGCTATAACTTGCAAGTTCCTCCTTGAAGTGAACTTGCAAGTCCGGCTATTTGCAGGATGTCCGTCTCCACAGTTCGCGCACTTACGCTCTTCCTCTTCTTTGAGGGGGCGTCATGTGGTCCTTTGCACATTTTAAGCATTTGGGCGGTGCAGTGTAATATGACTGTGCATGCCCATACTTTTGGCAGCGGTGACACTGCCCAATGAGTCTGGAGTTCTTCTGAACCTCAACTCGAAGGGCCAGTCCCAGCAGTTCGTGTTTGTTGAACACTTGCTGAGACTTTTCAGTCTTCATGACCACCAAAGGGCATGGGCGCGCCGCCGCTGCGCTTCAATCGAATGATGTGCAGAGGGCTATATCCCCTCTGCTTAAGTCCTCCCGTAATCTCAGTATCTGAAAAATTAGCGGGAACTCCTTGAACCACCGCATGGATGTTCCGTTCCGAAGGGAGAGAAAAAGTGTGATGGGGCACTTCTTCCTCTCGGAACAGGAGATCTTACGGTAGTCGTCCTCGGATTTAGGAATAATCCTGATTCCCACATCGACGGCAACCGCGCGATCTATTTTAACACCTAGGGAAATAAACTTGAAATTTAAAGTAAGCCATCTCGTCCCGTCGCGTAAGACGATCGGGGTTATGCGCCCTTGTCGTGAGGGTTGTGTTGGTGCCACGACGGTTGGACGAGATGACGGAGTCACCTGACAGATAGATAACGTGGTCTCTGGCTTGCCCTCTTTTAACAACTTGGCCAAAATCCTTCTTTCCGACCAATCTATCGTGGTAGTATTGATTAGCGCAGGATAGAATGCAGACCGCGTAAATGCGATTTGAATATGGTGTAATGTAATATGCTTTGATTCTATTCGTCCCATCTGGCAACCCTGTACGGCTCCTGTTGCCGCCACTTCAAAGTATAATGGAGGCATTATACCTACATTACCAGTTCACTGACCAAAAAGTAATAATTTTAATCTTTCACATGTTCGAGCATTTCAGGGACCTTATGGCTGTTAGGTAAGTAGCAACACTGTAAAAGCCTAATACGCATCCGTCAGTAGGTCCAGTACTTCTAAGATTATGGAAACTTGACTCCTACGAACGATTGCTCGGTTTTATTTGTTGTTGACCAGAAATAACAATGTTACTGTCAACGTTGATTGTGTTAATCAATGAATCTTCGAATATGTTCGACAGAAGTCGAAGTGCGGGATGTGGTTGATGCAACCTTTAATGATAAGAAAGGAGAGGTTATAGAAAACGTTACCGATTTCAAAAATCAACAATACACAAAATTCTAAAATGAGGGTAGCTCTGTGATTGGTAGCTTGCACTTATTGTCGCCACAGAGTCGCTACCCCTATGAAAGATTATTTTTCCAGCAATAACGCCAATAACAGAAGACTGCTACTGTTCAATAGATGGTATAGCAAATACATATAAAGATCAATGATCAGCTGGACCAACTGTTGTTGAAACCAGCTTTCTGTCAGATTACCGTTTTGAGCCTTCGGCTACCGCAAACTCCCAATCTCAACCATTTTTTTATCGCGCAAATTTCGAATATATGCGCCCTTTTTAAACATGCAGGCCAGTTTTTCAATTAAAAAAGCATATTGCTATATGCTCAATTTTATTTGTTATAAAATCCCTTTTACTACCAATAAGGACACTTAATTTTGAAATATGTGTTGCTGGTATCTTGTAACAAAAGGGCTTGTGATCTCAGCACGCTGTATCGCTTCAGTACATTTACAGTCTAGAAGGAAGATATACCATGCTAATGCTATAATAAGTACAATTTAGTTCCAGTTAAAATAAATACTTTATTTTATATCACATTGCCTAGGTTTAATCCTACAAAGAATTGCTACTGTTACATTTGACTACAAATTCTGTACAAAAGGGGAAAGAGGTTCCTCGGAATGCTTGACGAGTACATGTCTACGCAGACTAACTTTTTGATGAGCTCTATAATCACAACCTGTTTCGGGACAGGAAAACTTGGGCTCTTGATTGCATTCCAGCTTCACGTGTCTAACTAGGGATCTTTTATGTCTATACATTTTTCCGCACTGCGGACAGGGAAAAACGTCCATGGGCTCTCCAAAAGCTGAAACACAATATAGGTTAAGCTAAGCGTGATATGGTTCTTGTAAAAATGCATAGAGGATAACATCGAGATGTATAACTGGCAAGTCTATTTCAATGTTGAAATTCGCCATTGGCATTTATATTGTAGTCCAACGCGAGTGATTATCTGATTAAAATGTGACCAACATTCCTTACGCTGCGTTCACATTGACTTTGACATGCTAACGTGATGCTCGCACTCAAGAAATTATCTCCGTCTGAACGACGTGAGTTTGCTTCTGACGTCAGTGGGAGAGAAGAAAGACCCCGACTCCTCACGCTTTTTATCAAACACGTTAGATTTTCCGAAGTTGAGACATCAGTCGAGAGCGAGGCAGGTCTCAATGTTGGTCTGGAAAGTGGTGAAATATGTTACCGAAGTAAGTCCAACTTATTTTCAGTCATCCATAGCATATTTTACAAACCTTCACAGTGTACATTTCTTAGTTCAGAATCTTTCAAACTGTGTTCGCCTAGTTTATTCTTCCAAGTGTCCCCTTCCTGGCCCAACAAAGCATTTTCAGAAACTTTCTTATCTGTCCACGTTATGGCGGATCAAATCACATATATATATGGAATTTTGTAGAGACTTTGACTTGGATGGATTTGGGGGAGACAGTAAATGTTACATGAGGGAAAGTATTTTTCTATTCTGAACAAAAAAATATATACATTTATAACAGTAGCAGCTCTTTTATTCACTGCTTATAACACCGAGCCTTAAACCACGACGACGTTACTGCCTCAAACTGTTCGCAACTACACCACTACAATGATGACCAGCATCAGGTTCACTTTCCAGCCTTCACTCAAGAAAAGAAGTCGAAAGCATGCGACACTACTGTTTTTGCTGTGAGAGAACCTAGCCTAACATCGGGCAAACTAATGCTGCACGTACACTGAGAAGAAGCAACGCGGAGAGAATCGCGGCCACATATGTCATTTGTACACGTCAAATGCGACACGTTGCTTCTCATCAATACGCTCTACTACACAGGCTCTCATTTGATCGTCTGCAAAGCGACCGTTTGGTAGAGTTTAACTTACCTTCTATTCGCATTTCTTTCCCCTAAAACATACTATCCAGCTCGATCAGTTCACAATCCGACTTATCACATACAGATTGACCGCACGTTGAACTTTGCCTAGAGCACTCAAAAACAAATCAAAAATCAAGTTTTCTGTAACACCAAATTATTTAGGTTCCATTATCTCCTAACAGAAATGATGGAACGACTGAAACTCTCATTGGCAAAACCTCGTTCTTCAAAGTCGCTGAATATAAGTGATGTGCTTTGCACTTGCCTTCGATGAGCTTAAAAATCTAATATTCCCGTTAGTCTCAAACTCAGCGTTTTTGAAAATCGCTTGGGGACTTTGAAGCGACTACTAAGCCATTTTGATTTATATCTAGGGTGTTGAGTGTTATTGATACAATATTGTGGGAGTCTTTGAATAGTTGAATTGCCAGTACCTAATGACATGTGAAATTATTGGCGTTAATATTACATACACCACGCTTCACTTAACGTTTTGAAAACATATGTCTTCCAAAACACAGAACGAGAATGGCACTCCAGAGTGGAGAAGAAAGAAAAATAATTGTGACCTAATGCGGGTCAATAGAAACGCTAAATGTCATTTCTTTAGAACTTCGACCTTGGATGGTAGAAGTAGTAAAATTGGACCATGACAACCAACAGTTTCATTTAAGCTTGTTATATTGGAGCTAGATAGAATAAAGGGTAGCGGATATCAAGTTCCATGAAAACAATATATTTGTCGACAATTTAGAATAAGGTACCCTGATAAATTAATTTCTTCATTATAACATATAGTGAACGTTTTGTCTGTGTTGCTTTAGGTGATAACTTCTTTTTCCCTTATACGGACAATACTCGCATTGAAATGATGGTTCCTTTCCACACTCATACCTAACGTGATTGTACAGTGTTTGCCTGTGCTTGTAGAGTCTGCCACATATTTTACATTTATGTTGACCTGGAACTAAATGTATTTGTTAGAACAATATAGGATCGTGTTTCTCGTTTTCATGGTTTTGATATCGTGAACGAGGATAACGGGGTCAGCAAAGGGATCAAAGGTAGTATTCGAATACTCGGTATTTTGAATCATATTCAGAATACATTTTACATTTGTGTGATTGGTATCTGGTATTCGAATGAATACATTTTTGGTCAGTACTCAGTATACTATATTCTGAATACGGTCTCTGAACCTTAATATTCGAATACCCACTTTGTATTAAAATCCTGGTATTCGAATCCTGAAATGGATGGCACAAACCAAATAGCTACGCAACTTTATTTTATTTGCGTGGACGGAGGCGCTTCTCAATTCACGATGCTCAAGGAACGACATCAGATTAAGTATGCTATTTTATATAAAAAATGAATACCTCATATAATTTGAGTGTGATACCAGATAAATTAGTTATATGAAAAGGTAAGTTGTTGATTATACAATTAATTTGTCTAACCTCAATGTGACACTGTATCAAAATATTATTTTAAGTTTTATTTAATATCGTTCATGTATTTTTTAATTGTGTTATATATTTTTAAATTTTAAGTACATAAATAAAAATCAAGTTTAAAGTGCGCACATGCTTTCTTTAGTTAGAATACCCAAATAGTGTTCATATTTAAGATATTCAAAACAGCAGCGGTATTAAAATACTTTTTCCTTTTATTCGAATCTTGAGTATTCGAATACGATTTAAAATACAGAATTAAGAATTCGCATCCGAATGACGGATTTCAGTATTCGACTCAAGTCTGCTCCAGGGTATACGAGTATAAGCTGTCCTAGCGTAATGCGTCATCCGTCCTCCTCAATTCTTTATCGAAAAATGTAGAACCGATACGAAAATGGTGATTATATTTCACTACATTTTTGTATCATCAAATAAGTCCTAGAAATCACGTATTAGTATTTCCAAGCCCATTCGTTCTAAACCTACCTTTAGTGAAAGCTGCATTATTATCCATTATGGCAAGCGACTAAATATCAGATATTTATGATCCATTAAGAGACAAAAGTTATTTAAAATGAATAGACCGTTAAGTGTCACTATTTTTATTAAAATATAATCTGAGTGAACAATAACATCCTAAAACCCCAACATCCATATTTAGAACCCAACTTGTATAAAATATATATTAAAACGTACAATCAACAATATATATATAAGGTATTCAAATTGAGATATGCGTTAAACACTATACTTAAAAAACTATAATGTGCAATCTGGGTATATATATGTATGTGCGAAATTCCAAAATTGGTAGACTTCATATCATTGGTCTTATGAGCCACATAAATAGCAAGTAAGAAGTTTTCTAATACAGGATGTCTCCACAACATAGACCAAATACTCAAGGGACGATTCTTTCGACTATTGTAATTCTATTTTATCCTAAGACTCCATTGTCTGGCCGAATCAAGTCACATACAGGGTGCCTCAATATTCCGTGTACATAGAAGTAGCACGTGTTTTTACACTCAAAGCCGGTCAATTGGACACAATTTACCTCTACGCAAAAGTGCTTCGTTTGACCGCTAGATGGCTTTTCCTTTTAAGGCACATTATTTATGAAGCTTGTCAAAAATAATCTGACAACGAATGACATCCCACTTTTCCGCGAACCAGATGTCTATTAGATACTAACACTTGATGTTACAAGAATATTTTTTAAAAACCAGCTCCGAAAAACATACATTACATTATTTTAAAAAATGCGTTTAAAATACTTTAGCGCCCTCTAACGGACAAACGGAGCACTTTTGCATAGAGGTAAATCATGTCGTATCAATCAACTTTTTTTGAGTCTGAAATGAACTGTTGGGTCATCATGTATATATTTGAATTACTCTTTATTTTACGACGCATCGGCCACCACGATTTCCAGAGCGACAATGCTGCGGGGCAACGAGTTTACGGCATGAATCTGAGCGTCTGCGATAAAAAGTCCAAACAATGAATCCCAGTGCGTACTAGCCTTTAATGTTTATTATGATACTGTCTTCGATATACTGTTTTCCATTTTGAAATATATACTAACTTTGGTAAAAAATACGAAATTAGTAAAAAAAATATAATATAAATTTCCAAATCACTTTAGCAAAGTTCTAGGCTTTTGTTCCTTTTGATCCTCACTACAGAGTATGAGAATTGAAAGATACAAATTCTTGACTGGCTCATTCTATCAAGTCTGAATGAGTTTGTGTAAATCGATCGGTAGCAGCTTTGAAAAACAAAACTGTTTTCTCCAAAAGGGTTCATTGATCACAAAAATATATTTTTTCAGCAAAGGATAACGATTCCCAAAAATACTACTTCTGAACCATTATTGTACGGGGTGTGAATATAGCAATACTAGTCCATCTCTAGTGATCTAAAATAGTTAAGTGTGTCCTATGCACTCTAACAGGAGATGCCTTAACTAGTTACAATGCAGCCAAAACTTCGTAAGTTGTTCAAGAGTTATTCTTCAAAAAGATTTTCAGAGGCGTCCTTTAAGGGCATGTATTATGCGAAATGAAGCAGCACCCATAATATGTAAAGTAATAGCTATGATATAAAAGCTACATATTCTCAGGTAAATGGCACAACGACCATCATTTACTTAAAATGCTGCAACCCATATTTTGCCAGCATGGTTTGTGGATCAATCACATTTTGCGGTTATAACCACATGACATTTAACGTGTAATTTCGTCTGCACAATAGCCGACGTTTCTGGCCTTCCAAACATCCATTCCTTTGCAATATATCACTAGGATAACCTCACAATAATTTAGATAATTTGATTGTAGCCTATTTGTTCATCTGTTATTGCGTTTCTAAGCTGGATCCCAGCGGCGTGGAAGACGAATAGAGAAGCGTTTCTAAGCTGGCAATATTTTTCTAACCCGGCTATACTTTTTGACTTTTCCGACCTACTTTCGTGTGTTGCTGTCAGAATGTGGAGTTATTGAAATCCTACTTAATGTAATGTAAGTAATGTTGAACTGCTGTGATCAGTCATGTTTGTCTGATTCAGTAGTCCTGATGAAAAATTCTGACCAGGTATGCATCTGCAAATTGCAGATAATATTGCCAAGATATAGCTGATATATTCGAAATATATTGCCCGTTTAGAGGCTCACCAATGATAGATTTTCGTTTTCATCTGTGGCATTTTCCAAATTCAGATAGAGATATTTTAGCATCATATGAAAAAGTGCATGCGCTACAAGTTTCTGTCTTTGCATATTTGAGATAAATACCAACGAAACCATTATAACTACAGACTATAAGTGCACTCATCATCACTTTACACTGCGGTGTTTCCTTCAGGCTAGAGTATAAAACCTACAGCTTAGGCCGTGGAAGCATCCGTTATTACGATTTCTGGAGCGGAAGTTATATCACACAAAGCCACAGCAGATAACTTCAGTATCTTGACGTTTAGGCAACACACACAGCTACTAGAAGTGAATTTAAAGTGAATGACAGCCGGTTCCAAGGTGACAATTGTGACGACCAGATCACTATACCTGTTATTTTGTAGTTACGAAATAGTCTTATATATTCAAAAGTTGAACAGGTCAAAGACGCTTACGTGAAGTTTGGACATATTTCTTGTACCGTTCAGAACCTTTTCTTACTTTTATTTACTTTGAAACCGATTGAAACAGTAAGTTGTTATTAGACATATTATATATGCAGCTCATAACTCCAATGAGCTGTATTACTAGATATACCTATATTTCCATACCAACAAAAGTATAACTGAAAAATTACTCATTCTGTATAATGGATTGAGTATCATTATTAAACTAACCAATATAGTTCAAGTGTAAATTTTATTGTTGAATCAAGCAATTGCTTATACTGATCCCAGATGAAGTTGTATATATCCTATAAAACATTAGTCTTATAAATAAATTGCTTTCAATATTGAGTAACATTGCCATAGATAGAAATTTTAAACCTAAAACATTTTATCAAACCTGATCGCCAGACGCTAAAAGAAAATACTGATTAAACAAGCATTCACTTGAAATTCAGTCAAATGTAAGACTCCACTGTCTGGCCGAATCAAACCAAATATGCTTTGATTTCTATTTGTTGTACGACGAACGTTTTGGTCACCATTTATTCAGTCAGTTAAATT